GTTGCAAGGCCATTCAGTACTAATCAAGCTGGCCAATTGAGACATTCACACTTGCGTCAAGCAGACAAGAGTTCTTTCTCCCAACCTGGACATTCCACAGATATATAAACCGCACTTGCCTAGTTTCCAACAGACCCCTCAACCTCTGAAGATGCCTGCCATAGATGTGGGCTAAACGTCAGGAGAGAATGCTTTTGAAACATGGCCACACAGCCCGGAAAACTCACAGCAACCAAATCCAAATATCCTTGAAGGTCTTGGGATAGTTGTGCCTAGCTAAACTACTGAAAGCCTTCCTCTACTCCCAAATTAACTAGCTTCCAGCACTAAACCAAGACCAAACACATGATTTTGCAGCATTTTGTCTCAGTTTAACAGCCGCTGAGCTGCAATTGCCTTTGGAATGATGTGTTCTTTCTCTGTGTAGTTGAAAGATAATAGTATTTGAAAATGGCTCTTTATATGGATATACCATATCACAGACTGCCATCTAGTGTACGCCTTGGCTTCCTGACAGGTGTCATAATAAACAAAAACAGACACACACACGCCCCTCTCTATTGACTAAACAAAATGCAAATAAATATGCTATTGGAACAAAGTATATACAGGGTACCCCCTAATGTTTACTAGCACAGTGGAGGAAGATTCCCTCTACACACCCCAGCTCCTTCTCTCAGGTGAATTTTTAGTCCAAAGACAGTACTTCACTGCCTTGGGGGTGCCAATTATTCTTAGTAGGGAGCTGCATTAATCTTGGCCTGAAGCCATTGAATCTTAAAAATTATGTAAATTTGATTTACAATCTAACAGATGATTTAATGGGTTTCCTCTGCTTGGGACTAGCAATTGAATTGATGCATTTTGTTTTCAACACTAACATACAAGGATCAGATAGCAGAGCAGAAAGCTAGATGAATAGAAGATTGAAGTGATGGAAGGAAAGCGCAGTACTCTGTGCACGTGATCTATTACAAAAACTCTCAGCACCTGTGGCCTTGTGATATAATCCTGTATATGATGCTCAGATGTACGTTCCGTCGATTTCACTGGGAATGGCTTAGAGTCAGTAAGTATAAGCCTGAAATATCCAGAAGCAAGGGATCAGAGTTCAGTGCTTTGAAGATAAGTAGGGCTTTTAGCTATATCTACCACCATGCCCCAGTATAAATCTGCAGTCTGGTGAACACTGGATAATAGGCATGGGACTGGTCTGCACAACTTTTAAATTCTTAAAAACTCTTGCTAAAAGAACTACACATTGAAAAACAATTAATTATTTTTATAAATATGTAACAGATTTCTTATAAGGTTTACATAATAAACGTAACAAATTGGACTTTAACTTTTATCTCTTACCACTTTGTCATTCTATTAGATGTGGGGCAAGATAGTGTTTCAGATAGTTCAGTGTTTCTCAACCTGGGAGTCGGGACCCGGGGGGGGGGGGTGCAAAGGGGTATCAGAGGGATCACTAAAGACCATCAGAAAACACAGTATTTTCTATTGATCATGGAGGTTCTGTGTGGGAAGTTTGGCCCAATTCTATCATTGGAGGGGTTCAGAATGCTCTTTGATTAAAGGTGAACTATAAATCCCAGCAACTACAACTCTCAAATGTCAAGGTCTATTTTCCCCAAACTCCACCAATGTTCACATTTGAGCATATTGAGCATCTGTGCCAAGTTTGGTCCAAATCCATCATTGTTTGAATCCCCAGTGCTCTCTGCATGTAGTGAACTACAACTCCAAAACTCAAGACCAATGTCCACCAAACCGTTCCAGTGTTTTCTGTTGGTCATGGGAGTTCTGTGTGCCATGTTTGGTTCAATTCTATCGTTAGTGGAGTTCAGAATGCTCTTTGATTGTAGGTTAACTATGAATGACAACAACTACAACTTCCCAACTCCACTAGTGTTCAAATTTGGGTGTACTGGGTATTTGTGCCAAATATCTGCATATCAGATGTTTACATTACGATTCATAACAGTAGCAAAAATTACCATTATGAAGTAGCAACAAAAATAATTTTATGATTGGGGGTCACCACAACATGAGGAACTGTATTAATGGGTCGCRGCATTAGGAAGGTTGAGAACCACAGAGATATTTCATAGAGCTGAACYGAACCCCATAGACCTCACTGAAAACACATGCTAGAAATGAGACAGACTCTCTAGTACTGAAAACCAAAAGGATCMGTTCTTTGARGATACCATTTARCAGAATGATTGTGACCCAAGGGCTCTCAGCCAGTGAACATATGCTCTATAGACTTCACCTCCTGYTAATATTTTGGCCCTCCAAAAGTAAAAATAGCTTTGAAGCTGGATRGCTTCCATAGCCTGACCCTGTCTATTTCTGAGAAAAGTCWGTTCAATGAGACTTAATCCCAMGCAGTCCAGTTGGTCTTACAGGTGAGAGAGTGCATAGGAAGTGCACATSACTGTCTGTTTAAAGTATATGTGTGTGTTACTCTATGCSCAAACKGAGAAAAATGATATGTTGGCATTTAGGTYACATCTAGATATTGTAAATCAAATGTTACCTGCTGAAAAAGCARGCCAGTATATGATCAAAGGAGGRCTTTTTTAACAATATGCATAAAATGAGCCTTTTTGATGAAATGGAGCACAGTTTCCTTAGTACTGATCTGAACATGATATTGCCGCTGTCCCTGGTGACCACATCCTGGAACCTTACATCCTAATTAAGTAGAGAAGATCAATAAAGTCAGTGACTTCCGTGCATCGCATATACATCTGTTTAGTATAAGAATGTTCTTTACTGTTTCAAGGGCACCTGTCTACCTGTTTTATTGCACTGAACTATTTGTCATCACATACAGGAGAGAAATAACTTGGAAGCTGACATGCAGGGCAAAAATATGGGGTATCCTTGTGCCCGGAGGAGAGACGGCCGTTCACAAACCCCTTCTTTTGGAGGAACATCCCAAAGGACCCTTCTACACAGCCCCATATCCCAGAATATAAAGGCAGGAAATCCCACATTATCTGAGTGTGGATTCAGATAACCCAGTGGATTGTGGGATTTTCTGCCTTGATATTCTGGGATATAGGGCTGTGTGGAAGGGCCCTTTCATAACTTTTTGCCTACTGCTCCTTGTCATGGGTATCCTCTGATTGTGACATGACAACTGAGCAAAAGACTGCTTTGAATGACACTAACAATTGGCAAAAAGAGGAAGTGTTTGTGTTCCTCTTTTGGGGGCGATCATCCAAGCAGCAGCTTTGCAACAATCCATAGGGATGTGTACTGCAAAAGCGTGCATTACACCATAGTGAGCCAGTTGCTCCTAAGAGACTAGAGCACATGTGTTAAACTCAAGACCCGTGGGCTGAATCCCTTCCACTATGCCATTTTATGTGGCTCTCAAGATGCTGGACTACAACTCATCATAAGACATCATGACTAGAGCTGACGGGTTGTGATACAGTAGCATCTGGAAGGCTTCGGTTTGCTCTGTTTAGTCAGGATAGTGGGGTTTGAATCTAGATACAAGGCTTGTAAATGATCTTTGACTTTGAAATGCCCTTTAACTTTTCTCCAACCTCAGAGCCACGAGTGCTTTTGGGTTGAAATTCCCATTATTCCCAATACACATGCCAGATAGTCAAAAGTGATGGGAGTTCTTGTTCCATAGCATCATGGAAACTCAAACTGGATAAAAACTAAAGAGCAATGGCAACTATCTAAAACTGGCGTTGGCCCTCAGCATCCATAGATTCCATGGATTCAACGGTCCTTTGGACGCAACCATAATTCTGAAAAGGAGTTTGACACTCATGGCCTAGAGTAATGGTTCTCATCCTGGGAACCCAAGATGTTTTTGGCCTTCAACTCCCAGAAATCCTAACAGCTGGTAAACTAGCTGGGATTTCTGGGAGTTGTAGGCCAAATATATCTGGGGATCCCAGGTTGAGAACTACTTGCCTAGACAGAAGATGGTTAAGTCCTTTTGCACAGTTTCTCTTTGGTCTACTGGAGTAATATCCACATTTTCCTTAATCACAATCATAATAGTATTGCCTACTTTCAACTCTGCTTGGGAGAATAGCATTATGGTTCCAGTATAATTATTCCACTCCCTACTTGCACTCTGGATCTGTTTACACACTTTACACCAAACCCATTTTCTGCTAAGGAAAAAGGTGAAAGACTGCCATGCTTCCTAGGCCAGTACACAGCATCAAGAACTAATTTAGTTGTGTAAAAATAAGGACAATCACTCAAGGTAGCTGCTGTCTAGATGACTGGATGACAGTGCATAGCTTCAGTAAACAATGACTGGAACGGCGATTCGATGGACGAGACTTTTATTGTTTTAATGATTGTTTTATTGCTTGTGGATATATTGTTTTAACTTGATTTATGTCTAATTGTAGTATATAATTGTAATTGTTTGTACTGGCATTGAATTTTGCCATTACTTATGTGGAAACTGTTTTGAGTCCCCCTCGGAGTGAGAAAAGCGGTATATAAATACGTAAATAAAATAAATAAATAAACAAGAAGATAAAAGATGAGAATTCTTGGAGATAGAAAGAGGGAGATTAAAACTAACTGGGAACATAATTTAGGATGAGACCTAATCTCACTAGATACAACTGTCATACAAAATTTCAAAACGTTTAATATTATGAATGTATATAATTTTTGTGTGCATATATATGGTAATATATGTCTGTCTAAAGCAGTGGTTGTCCCCAGTTGTTTTGGCCTACAACCCAGAAATCCCAGCCAGTTTACCAGCTGTTAGGATTTTGGGAGTTGAAGGCCAAAACATCTGGGAACCCACAGTTTGAGAACCTGTGGGTTAATATATTATATCTAGTCAACTTTGTGAGTTTTCATATATGCAATTTATGAAGTATGTTTGGCTGTCGTTATATTGGACTATTTTTTCCCCATTCATAAGAAACAAGCACTTTCTGCTGATATTTGGAGAGCTCCTCATTTCTTCCTGCTTTCTTTTGTAGGAAAGTTTTCTTCACTGACTATGGACAAATACCAAAAGTGGAGCGTTGTGATATGGATGGACAGAATCGCACCAAGTTAGTTGACACCAAGATTGTTTTCCCCCATGGTATCACCTTAGATTTGGTCAACCGGCTGGTATATTGGGCTGATGCCTACCTTGACTACATTGAAGTGGTGGATTACGAAGGGAAGAACCGGCACACCATCATCCAGGGCATTCTGGTGAGTGCAGTATGTGAGTGTGCAAAGAAGTCAAAAGGTCCCTTGGAAGAATTGAATTGGCATTCTCTTCTCCACATTTTTAAAAATTTCAATATCACAGAAAGCTGTGATTTCACTTTATCTAAAGGGTATGCAAATACAGCGGCAGAGATGATAGTCTGATTCTTAAATGCAGGAGATTGCGGCAATGTCAGTATGTGATGTAGAAATATTTATTACATAGCTGCAAATTCACAAGTCATTCAGAGCATCACGAGAGTTGTTAAGAGATTTTTAGGCCAAAAAGTCTGCCCCTTCTTCACTCTCTAATACCTTTCTCCTTCTGAAGAAATATAATATGACATAACATAACATGTTATCAACAGAAACAAAATTTCTGAAGAGCAGATCTTTTTGCATGACACAAGAAAGCAACCCAAGCCAAACTGCACAGAGCAAAGCAAGAAATTGTCAGTTCCTCTGCACAGCCTAATCTGTAAAACATAATATTTCTGCCTTCTAGATAGAGCATCTCTACGGCCTGACAGTCTTTGAGAACTACCTGTATGCTACCAATTCAGATAATGCCAATACCCAGCAGAAAACCAGTGTCATCCGAGTCAATCGATTCAACAGCAGTGATTTCCAAGTGGTAACCCGGGTGGATAAGGGTGGAGCTCTCCATATCTACCACCAACGACGACAACCCAAGGGTAAGTAGGGAAGGGTGAAAATGCAGGCTGGGGAATGGCTGGAGGGAACAATTTGGGACTTCAGGGGTCTAAGAAACAATGAGAATTGCCAAAAGAACATTTGTTGCTTTGACTGCTTATCGCATATGATATTTGGTGGGGATCTATGTGCTTAACGAACCATTCAAGGCTGGTTACCGAAATAAGGTAGTTCGTGTGCAGTTTTCAAGTATGGTGCCAAAATAAGTTAGTTGTTTGCTACAGTGCAAACAACTAATTTCTAGTACATCAATATAGATGTCATTGGAAGATCTCTGTCACATTCTGATAGCAGCAGAAGGCTTAGTCCATTCTTTGCATCCCATTCATAGATGCAGTATCTAATCTCTGTCGTAACTATTATCAGTTTGGCATCAGTCTGGGTAATTATTCTTGTGCACTATGTCCTGCTCACATAGCTCACATGGATTGGTTGAGCCATTCGTTTTGTATCTACGGTCTGCCTGTATTGTGGCCCAGTTATTATCCTCATAGCATCAGCCTGACTACACAGTTTTGCTCTCTCTGTGTCCTCCCTGCACTTAGATTTCTGTCTTTCTTTTCTCAGATAACATGAGATTGATTGATCCTTCCATCCCCTGCTATATTTGATTTTATAGATGGTCCACCTTTAATAGGATCCTACAGAATGGTGGCATGGGGAAGTTTTGCCATCTTGCCTTATTCCATGGATTTTCTTATCAGTAACATTTTAGATGATGTAGTATGTTTATTTGACTAAAACGTCTAAGTGGTTTTGTGGTAAATTTCAAGTGACAAACAGTTTCCCATTATGCAGCCTCTGCTCATTTTATAGGCAACTGCATAAAGCTAACAATGCATTTACCCAGAACTTACCTTTCTTGAAATGATAAGAGTTACTAAGTGGTATAATCTAGACCTGGTGGCACAGCAGGTTAAATCACTGAGCTGCTGAACTTGCTGACCGAAAGGTTGGCAGTTTGAATCCGAGGAGCGGGGTGAGCTCCTCCTATTAGACCCAGCTTTTGCCAACCTAGCAGTTTGAAAACATGCAAATGTGAGTAGATCAATACGTACCACTTCTGCAGGAATGTAACAGCGCTTCATGCAGTCATGCTGGCCACATGATCTTGGAGGTGTCTACAGATAATACTGGCTCCTCGGCTTAGAAATGGAGATGAGCACTGTACCCCCCCACTCCCCACCCCAGAGCTGTACACAACTAGACTTAATGTCAGGGGAAACCTTTACTTTTACCTATAATCTATTCAAATATCAACCGAGGTGGAAAGATTACCTGCACAAACTTGCTGAATTTTATTGAGAAGAGATTCTTTCTAGATTTCAGCTAATGCTGTTTTTAATGATATACTGTAAAGAAAACATACTAGCAAGCTTTGTTAGACTTGATAAGCTTTATGAAGGTAACATTTTATCCCTCTCAAGACTAGTTGTCATAAAATGTGTGTATCAGCGTGTTTGAAGGGGAGATGTGCACAAAACTATGCACATATTTTTGAATGCAGATGACTAAAAAGCACATCATTTAAAACATTTGAACATAAATTACACAAAGTAATTTACAAAGTAGGAAAAGTGGGAAGAAAATGCAATCTTGAAACCCAGTGTGACAGCAGGATTGAAAAAAACGTGGGTGGCATTTGGAGAAGTTCAGCAAAATCAAGCTTGTGAGATTGTCCATGCCTTGTCAAGGGACCCAAGAATTGTTGCTGTCATCTGCATAAAGCCATCCAGATAGACTAGAGGAACTTTCTGGTTAGTTTAAAAAAAATACACAGTGTCTGAAGCTGTAAATGTGTCTTGCAGTTATATTTTTAAATTCTTAAATTCTCCATCTTTTAGAAGGTAATTTTCTTGCATTTTAACAACAACAACAACAACAGTAATAAAACTTATTTATACCCTGCCACCACCTCCCATAAGGACTTGGAGCAGCTTACAGAATAGCACATAAAAGTGCCATACAATACATAAAAAATACATCAACATATAAAATCAACAACACATTACATAAACCAGGAATATAATTGAATAAAACAGCCTCTAGAATCATTAAAAGATCAGGCGTCAGGGTGACAAATGAAGCTGCTACATTTTTCAAAGGATTACAATTTCTTTTTAAATGTGTAGATTTTTGATAGTAATTCTCTTTTTAATTTTTTTTAAATGGCCATGGCTAAACAGAATGAGGTTGTAACAGACCATATATGACACTGTTCCTGTAGAGAACTGAGTTCAGAAAACAAGAACATGAAACTACAGTACAGAGTGTCAAATTGACAGTCCTACATACATGAATATTTTGGTTTTACTATAGGAACTTTCCTCCCATTTTCTTACCCGTGTATGCATGATTGCATGATAATATACCAAGTGTCTGATGAAAGGTTCCTCAACCCATAATCACTTATGCAACAGTGAAGCTGCAGTCCTAAACTATGAAACTATTTCATTGTAAGCCAGAGAACATCTTGCTGAATAAATGTACATTGGCCTCTAAGCCAGTGGTTCTTGACCTGGGGTCCCCAGATGTTTTTGACCTTCAATTCCCAGAAAACTGGTTGGAATTTCTGGAAGTTGTAGGCCAAAAACATCTGGGGACCCCAGGTTGAGAACCACTGCTTTAAGGTGTCAGCAGCTCCCCTTCATTTCACTAAGAGAGCACAACTATCTGCTGACATTTATAGCTCTAAGTGCTGAGTAAAGGGGCAGTCCTTTACTGTTCCAGTTAGCAGATTTTTATGATTTGAAAATAGGTCTCTTCTTGTGCTGGATTCATAAAAGTGCTCTGCAAGCTGCCCGTGGCTGGTGCCATTCCCGTTGCTTTCCACCAGATGCATCAAGAATGTGGCTAATTAACTTGGATCTTTAAGGGTCACTCTTCATTTACTTTCCCCTAGATTCAGAAAGATGTTAGCTTAGTGAGCATTTTCTGCTCATTTTGGCAACAGCAGCAGCAATGCATCTTAGGGGCTCTTAGGTTTAAGTGACACATTTGCAGAAGAAGCATGGTGAGTGTACTTCTCAAACCTATGCTTCAGCCTAGCACCGCCTCTGCTAATGTGGGGCCTCTTGGAGATTGTGAGGCTTTTAATTGATTGCATCTTAAAAGAAATCAAGACCCTAGACATTTTGGTGCTGCAACTGTCATCCAGCTACACCTCACCAGTGCACCTCCAGTTTATTTGTGCATCCGATGCAGAAGCATCTTTCTCCATACCTGTCAGAAAGGATACAATAAGAACAAATTGAAATATATCCTTTTATGATATCTTTAACTTTTGGCCTGGAGCAGCCACATTAAGTCCTGGGTAGATGGAATGAAGAATGACTATATCTGGAACTATTTTCAAAATCCACCTGGTCATGGCAGCAAACTCAAGGACTGCACTATTGTTTTCTCAGTATCCATTGAATGGTACTGTTGGGAGCAGCCACATTGGTAACGCTCCTGAGCAAAACCCTTCAGAAAGTCATTAGATGATTTCACTACAAATCAGAAAGTCTATGGTTGAGGTGTAGCATCTGCTATAAACTTCCTAGGTAGACTTAGTTTCCCGTTCATGAATGTGTTTGCACTGTAGAATAATTTTGACCGCCATGGTCCAGTGTTGTGGAATCCTGGGAGTTGCAGTTTGGTGAGGTATTAGCACTTTTTGGCAGAGAAGGCTAAAGCTCTTATAAAACTACAACTCCCAGGATTGACGTCATTGAGCAGGAGTTCTCAAACTAAGGCCCGAGGGCCAGATACAGCCCTCCAAGGTTATTTACCTGGCCCTCACCCAGGGTCAACCTAAGTCTGAAACGACTTGAAAGCACACAACAGCAGCAACAACAACAACAACAATCTTATCTCATCAGCCAAAAGCATGCCCACAATTCCTATTGAAATACTAATAAGTTTATATTTGTTAAAATCATTCTTCATTTTAATCATTGTATTGTTTTTAAGTGTGTTTTGCATTACAAATAAGATATGTTTAGTGTGCATAGGAATTCATTCGTGTTTTTTTCAAATTATAATTCGGCCCTCCAGCAGTGCAAGGGGCTGTGACCTGGCCCTCTGTTTAAAAAGTTTGAGGAGCCCTGTCATTGAGCCATGGCAGGTGAAGGAGGTGTCAAACTACATTAATTCTCCAGCATGCATGCATGTCTTGTGAGAATATGGTGAATTTCTAAAGAATGCTGGCATCTGAATGGACCTTAACATCTCTTGCACATTACATTATTTATTTATTTATTTATTTATTTATTTATTTATTTATTTAGGTCATTTCTACCCTGCGCTTCTCACCCCCTAGGGGGGACTCAGGGCGGCTCACAGTTCGGCACAATTCGATGCCAACAGTTACAATAAAATGCAATAGCAATAACACAATAGTTAAAACAACAATTAATACAGTGCAATACAATACAATACCATTTTTAAACCTATGTCTAAAATTGAATTGTGGAACTGACACAGGTGTATGAAAATAACATTTTAGGTTGTAGCTTTATGCAAACCTTGCTCCCTTGCTTTGAATTATCTGAAATGCCTCTTGTTGAGCCCTTATGGGTGATCAAAGTGTGGCCCTGGGGTTCCATCCTCCCCCACTATTTTTGTGGCCATCACTTGCCTCCGAAGAAATGAATGGTCCTTTGTGGACACCTGCAGTGACAGTTCACATTTTCATGACATCACAGTCCATCTCTATTGATTGATATTTTTTTTAAAAGAAAGACAGAAATAGATTTCTTGCTACCTCTTTCTGGCTGCCCCGGGCATTTTTTAACCAATCTACACAATTTCCTAAAGTAGACATTTCACCCATAGAGTACTAGGGTTGTCAGAGTAAAAAGGAGAAGATTTTGTCCCTTTTTTATCTATCTAGAAAAGTTCTTTTAGGTGTTACATGATACCTGACTAGCCACAGGTGATAAGCAAAAGTTGTTGCAATTCCCTTTTCTGCACAGTCATTAAAAGTACAGGAGTCCTCTCCAGTTTTCAATCTGGCAAGTTTACTAAGTACTGTTCTGACCAGAGTGTGCATATCAGCATTAATTCAGCCGCTTTGTTCACGGAATCACTTTGCAAAATAGAATATAAGCATTCCTGAAAGCTGATCATATTTTGTCTGTGATCTGTTGGGAGTGAGGGCATTCTTGCCCCACTGCTGCTTCCATAAATAGCACCCCTGGGTCAGCTCCTTCCAGCTCCTTTTGTAGATCGTTGTCTAGTACTCTTAGTAATGTCTGCCCTGATTTCTAACTAGAGTCTTGTGGCTTGCTTTTAATTAAAAACGAAGTCATTGGAAATCATTGCCAGGGTGCCTAACATTAGCGTCTTGGTTGTTCCTAACCCTAAAGCTAATCACCTCCCCCGCCCCCCTTGCTGTAATGTGATACATCAACCATGCCCCAAATGGGTCCTTCAGAGCATTTCATTATCTCTCCGCACCCTCTCGTAGAGGGAGAGAAAGTAAAGGAGAAGGAGAGGGAAGAAAGCAAACTTGAAAGCTGTCCCCAGAGAAGACTGTGTGGTGTATGATTGATTGATTAATTACCGCCTTGCAGAAAAGGAAAGAATTAAGCAGATGTGGCATCTTAAAATATTAATGGCATCCTCTTAAGGGTTGTTGCTACTCCTTCCTCAGAGCAGAGAGATATTAGACTCGGTCAAAATGCTCCCAAGAAAATCATTATGGCTGAAAGGTCCCCACCACTGAGCTGGATGTCTGGCTCATTTATTCCTGTTCCCATCAATCACTATCACCTCACATCTTTGCAAAAAAGAAGCCAATTCTTGTAGTTAATAGCTTGCAAGTTGAAAATCCTCTAACAGTCTTTGGTCTACTGCTTAGGATTCTGTGAACTTTAAAACTAATCAGGAGATTTCAGGGTGAGATGTTTCCATATCTTCTGAGATGGCTACCATTCTGTAGGTCCCCTTACCCCCAATGTGGCCCTTGGATTTTTCCTTAAGGCCAGTTTGTTTCTGGTGAGGAAATAGGACATGATTATGCCTTGACATGGGTTTTCTCTGGTTGTGACATGACAAAAGAGTGAAGGGCTACTTTGAATGCCAAAAAAGTGCCAAAAAAGGCAAAGGAAGTGCATGGGATTCTTGCATCCTCTTTGTGAGGTAACAACCCAAACATCATCTTGTATAACAGTCCACAGGAATTTGTGCCTCAAGATCATAAGCCAGTTGTTCCTAAGGGACTGTAGAGTGGATTGTCATAAAGGGCACCTAGTTTCTGCTCCTATCCATAGGACAGGAGGTAGCAGATGTGTTTTCAAAATCACAGGTAACAGAGAAAAGACAGTGGCAGCTGATTATTTTATATTTTATTATTATTATTATTATTATTATTATTATTATTATTACATTTACATTATTTTCCTCTATTATTATTGTTATTATCACATTTATTATTTTACTTTATTATTGTTATTACATTTATTATTATACTCTATTATTCCATTTATTATTTTACTCTATTATTATTTTATTACATTTATTGTTTTACTCTATTATTATTGGAAGGATACATAAGCACATTTACATTGAAGAAGGTTAGAATAATGGTTTAGTCAGAGTTGGAGAGTCTTCTCTTAAATTACAGTTTTATGTAAATATTCAAAAACATTAAACCTACTAATACCTCAATTAATGTAACTTTTTGGTGTCTATTTTTATTTTGAAATTTATCAGTAGCTGCTGTATTTCCCACCCTCGGCTTATACTCGAGTCAATATATTTTCCCAGTTTTTTTGTGGTAAAATTAGGTTCCTTGGCTTCCATTTGGGTCAGCATATACTCAAGTATATACGGTACCCTAACTGCCCAACGGGTTGACTTCTGTTTCAAGATCCATTCAATGCTGGGATGTTTTCTTTAAAGTTCAGGCTAAAACCCAGAATAGACTCACCTCTCCACTAATTTAAAATCCACCAACTTTATTCTCTTTGTAAAGTGTCTCAAAATCTTCATAAATAATTTAAAGAAGCCCAAGAAACAAGGGTTTCCAAAATGATGAAATCATGACATGTTACAGTTACACAAAAAGGTAAACACAGTTTAATGAGTTATCAGGTTGTCAAGTTTTACTCATCATTTTGAGCCAGAAACAAATTTAAAACATAGCTCTGTAAATGGAGACTATCTCATATTAAGGAGTTGCCATCTCATGCATGACTGAAGCTAAGGATTATTTCTGCACTTTGAGAGGCATCTAGTGGTAATGATTTGGGTGAATCCCACCCTTTTTAAAGTTGCAACAGTTTTATTCACATGTGGACCATAGATGCAGAGATGTAGTGATATAATAATAATAATAATAATAATAATAATAATAATAATAATACTTTATTTATATCCCGCTACCATCTCCCTGAAGGGACTCAGGGCGGCTTACATGAGGCCAAGCCCGTCAAATACAAATACAACACTACATCAACAAACAAGCAAGCAAATAAAACAATATAAATAATACAGTTGAACTATATGTTCAACTGTATTATTTATATTGTTTTATTTGCTTGCTTGTTTGCTTGCTTGTGTGCAATAGCACACAAAAAATTTAAACAAACATTATGGCCGGGCCAGATGTAGATTAAAAGTTTAAAACCATGGGCATGTCCAGAGTAGGGTATGTCTAGGCATGAGGGCTTTAAAGAGTGATATGGGGGATCAATCCAACGGATACATAAAATGCTTCAGAGGACGTATAGAAGGAAATTGGTCATATCGGGCATTATTTCCTTTATTGAGGGAAGGCACACTGGAACAGCCACGTTTTCAAGCTCCCCCTAAAGACTTCCAAAGTGGGGGCTTGTCTGATATCTTTAGGTAGAGAGTTCCAGAGTCGGGAGTCACCATAGAGAAGGCCCTCTCCCTCATCCCCACCAATCATGCCTGCGAAGGGGGCGGGAGTGAGAGCAGAGCCTCTCCAGGTGAACGAAGAGATCGTGTGGGTTTGTAAACAGAAATGCGGTCACGCAGGTAGGCAGGCCCCAAACCGTTCAGGACTTTGTAGGTAAGAATCTGCACCTTGAATTGGGACCGGAAGATGAACGGTAGCCAATTGAGGTCTGTCATTTTCAAAACACTCTATATTATAGGTGCTCAGGCAATAGTTGCTCTCTGCCAATTTGAACAACAGATTCTACACAAACAGCTTGAATAACCTCTCTTAGCCAATAGTGGCATCTTGTCTTATTGAAGCAACTTTCAGTTGAAGTCAATTTTGATTTACCATAAAAAAAATTATGGGTGTGTGACAAGAATTTCTAACATCAGGGAATAATACTAGACACTTCTGACTGTGGGTCAGGCAGAAGCCAGCAAGGTCACAAATCTTTAATATCAAACATAATTACTAGGAATACATAGAATTTGAAATCTTGCAACGGGAAATCTTGCAATGCCGTAACTGCATTGATCTACATACAGCACTGCATGGTTCAGGGGCAGCATCTGAGGGTTTCTCTGTTTGCATGTCCTCAAGAGAGGGCTTGTGGTTTCTCTTAAATGTCACAGTAAAACGTAAGAGATGTAATTATGTTGTAATAAGCTTTATGGGTTTTCTCTGTGGTTGCAGTGAGGAGCCATGCCTGTGAACCTGACCAGTTTGGCAAACCTGGTGGATGCTCTGACATCTGTCTCCTTGGAAACAGCCACAAGACCCGGACGTGCCGTTGCCGATCAGGATTCAGCCTTGGCAGCGATGGGAAGTCTTGCAAGAGTGAGTAGCATCTGGAGACAGGGTGGGTGTGGTGTCGAGGGGGAAGGAACTGAGCGGAAGAGATTCGGTCTTGACCTTGAAGTTTAGAGTTGCTTTTTCCATATCACATAGAATCATAGAGTTGGAAGAGACCTCACTTTTGTTTAAAAGCTGCCTTTGCTAATCATTGCTTTGAATCAAGAAGGAGAGTGGTTCATTTGCATGTCTTGCTGACAGGAAGCAATCTGGTGGTAGGTGAAGTGAAGAAAAGAGATGCTGGTGGGTGAACGTAGGCAGCACAGAAGCTGGAAAGAGAAACAGGCAAACAAAGTAGCAGTTTATGACAGATTTGTGTGAAATAGATGTTTTGACAAAGTGTGGCTGAATCTTCCTGATTGTCCACTGAGTCTCAGGGTCCTTCCACACAGCTCTATATCCCAGAATATCAAGGCAGGAAATCCCACATTATCAAGGCAGGAAATCCCACATTATCAGATAACCCACTTCAAAGCAGACATTGTGGGATTTCCTGCCTTGATATTCTGGGATACAGGGCTGTGTGGAAGGGCCCTCAGTTCACCCAGTTCAAAGCAGATATTGTGGGATTTTCTGCCTTGATATTAAGGGATATAGGGCTGTGTGAAAGAGCCCTCAGATAACCCGGTTCAAAGCAGATATTGTTGGATTTTCTGCCTTGATATTCTGGGATATAGGGCTGTATGGAAGAGCCCCCAGATAACCCGGTTCAAAGCAGATATTGTGGGATTTTCTGCCTTGATATTCTGGGATATAGGGCTGTGTGAAAGAGCCCTCAGATAACCCGGTTCAAAGCAGATATTGTGGGATTTTCTGCCTTGATATTCTGGGATATAGGGCTGTATGGAAGAGCCCCCAGATAACCTGGTTCAAAGCAGATATTCTGAGATTTTCTGCCTTGAAGTTCTGGGATATAGGACTGTGTGGAAGGGCCCTCACATCATCCTGTGCCATTGCATGACTTCTTAGCATTTTAGGAAAATTTAAGGCTGGGCTTCTGAAGTTGTGCCAGTTTGATTACCCTAGCATTGCCCATTTGTTTCGTGAATGCTGAGGTGAATTCACTGATGATGGCCTGTCTGGAAAGAAAATCTTCTCCCCATCCAAGGACCTTTCCACACAGCCATAACACTCAAAATATCAAGGCAGAAAATCCCATAATATCTGCTTTGAATTGGGTTATCTGAGTCCACACTGCCATATATTTCAATGCAAATCAGATAATGTGGGATTTTATTCAGCTGTGTGGAAGGGGCCCAAATTGGCAGTAAGGAAGATCTCAAAGGAAAATCCCAGTTTTTCCTTTTCTTTCCCAACAGTCACAATAAAAGGATTGTCCTCTCTGGCTTTGCATAAGTTAGTGACTCTATAGACTTCAGGAACCCATGCCTCAAAAGTTAATGATATCTCTTTACAGGAAACACATGTTTTCGTTTCTTTGTATTTAGAGAATCCAATGGGAGCGGGTATTATGTATCAGCTTGCTATAAAGTAATTTTGGGGGTCTGAACTGAATGGCTGGAACAGCCATTGTTAGGGAGGAGTGAAACCAAACCCCTGATAGATTTCTCGGAATACCAGAATGCCTGATGACGCTATGTGGCAGATACACTGTATGAGCCAAATTCTTTGTGGATGTAAAATTCCTGGTCAGAGCCAGACTTGTGGTTAATTTTAGGTCAGAAAAATTATTGCACAAGAAGACTGAACTGCCAGTGTATCCCATTAGTTACAAATAACTGCCTGGTTTCTTTATGTCTTTATTTCTCATGTTAGTTTTTAGGAGAAATGCCAGCACCTGCAGAAGTTGCTGATGCCCCGGTTTCTTTCATTTAGTCTTATGGATGATACTGATCAGGCCCAAGGGACTTGAGAGCCGAGTCATTAACTGGATTTCCTGGGGGACTGGCATATATTCACACTGCCTCCTTCCCTAAAGTGCACCTGTTATAAAGTCAGTAGTAGTTTAGCAGGGAATGGCATAATGAGGTAGTTGTTGTAGGCAGAACACAAACACATTGAGCCTAGAAGTAAGGGGCAAATATTAAGCAGCCAGAGTGAATTCATACTGAGGAAGACACAGAGTTCTCAATAGGAACTTGCTGGGATATGGCTGTTGTCACAGAAAAATGATCAAAACAATGAAGGTACAGGAATAGGATTTTCTATCTTTTGTGATTTCTACTCCCTGTAGGCATTGTTTTTTTTTTAAATGTACATCTAGTCGCTTAAGGTGATTAGTGACAACCTTTGATACCAGTGGGGTGGATACAGGATAACCAGCAGTAAGTGGAACTGGCACCCGTGGTTAGCAGACCTCACTAATTTGGTTGTTGTCTCCATATAACACCACTGTAATTAACTCTTAAATGTCACACTATCAGAGTAATAGCAGACCAAAGCACAGATTAAAGAGTCCTTTCAGCATATGTGTACATGAGCTTGCACCCACGTAGATAGATCCTTTTCCATTTCCCCTCTGCCAACATCAAATCAAATCAGTGTGGCCATGAGGTGGGAATATATAACTCTCCAGATGTTGTTCCACTACAGTTCTCATTAGCATAGTGAGTGGTGAGGGTTTACAGAAGTTGTGTAATCCAGCAAAATCTGGAGGGACCCATGTTTCCCATCTCTGGACTAAACTGCAGCATAAAAGCAGGCAGCTTTCCTTCACTGGGTGATATAGTGCCCCTCGCAGGAGCTTGGAGAGCTGTAACTCCCACTGAACTTCCTGCAATATTTGCGTTTATATGCCCCCTCCTAAACACACTGACCAACAGGTTGTTGTTGAATGTATTTTGGAAGGTAGGGTTATACGAAGCCTACTGGCCATAGTTCCTTACTTCATGTTGTAGAAATCATATATCTTTCTAGTTTTTGTGTGTGAATATAGATGAAAACTAGTTTTCCAAATGAAGGCTCATTTTAAAGCATTGGTTCCCAACCTTTTTTTTAAACCAGGGACCACTCTCCAACATTAGTACCAAAAGGGTTTTGGCCCACATTAGAGTCGGTTTCGTTATTTGAGGTGCTGATTCAGAAAATGGCATTAGCTAGACCACATCACCTCTAGTTTCCGCTACAGAACATATGCCATCCAGTAGTCGCCATCTGCTCACCCACAGAAAACCATATTTTGATGTGGTAGTAGTAATCTTTTGTGGGTAGTCAGCCTCTCCCCTCCTGACATCCCCGTTGCCTCAGCACCATAAGAAGGTTTCATGAGATGAGTCGCTCTTGTTGTTGTGTGATTTCGAGGCAGTGGTGTAGTAATGGTGAGGCCGCGTACCATATTTTCATTCTTGTGGACTACTGGTGGTCCATGGACCACAGGTTGGGAACCACTCTTTTGAAGGGTTAAGAAAAAATTATGAAGGGTAACACTTAACAGTGGTAACTGGGTTAAAATGGCTATGAGTTGCCTCTTCAGTTAAGAACAGTGTGCCATTGCTTGGAAGAAACAGAGAGAGAAGGGGAGCTGTTGCCTTCTTGTCTTACAATCTCACCATATGGACTAATTTACCAGTCGTACGCTGGTTTCTCTCCCCTGTGGCCATGGAGCCCATTAAATGATGTACAATTACTCTTGGCAGGGCTTTCTGGCAAAAGGGGAGAGGAAGTGGTGTATGTTGCTGTGGTGGCAACACAGGAGGCTTCCTGTGTTGAATTTGCAACCATGGGGGGAAGCTGGGTGGCGGACACTCCCCCAGTGGGATGAGGTTCTGGGTAAGTTGGGTGATGCAGGGCATGAGGTGACAGGTTCTTCATGCTCCCGCCAAGACCCCACAGATTTCCCATGATGCGTGGTGAATTCTGACATTAATGTGATAAGGTCTGTATTTTGAGTGACTTCCTACAGACCGCTCTGGCAGATTGGATGCCATTGCTTTAATGTGAAAGGCCTTTCTCTAAATTCTTATTGATTTTAGTTTGATCGTTGTAGGGAAAAAGGAACGCTACACTTCTGATGAGCTTGAAAGGAAATCAAAGTTGTCTTGACTCTTTTATTCCTGTGTCTCCCTTGTCTTACAGAGCCAGAGCACGAGCTCTTCCTTGTTTATGGCAAAGGTCGGCCAGGCATCATCCGTGGGATGGATATGGGGGCCAAAGTTCCTGATGAACATATGATCCCTATTGAAAACCTGATGAATCCCAGAGCCCTGGACTTCCATGCAGAAACTGGCTTCATTTACTTTGCTGACACCACCAGCTACCTCATTGGGAGACAGAAGATCGATGGGACTGACAGGGAAACAATCCTGAAAGATGGTATGTTCACTGCCTTCTGCCTCATCAAAGACAGTATCAGTGGGCTAAGTGTTGGTGTGGTTTCCAGTAGAGTGGGGCATGGGACTTTGAAAACACAAGTCGCCACTCTCTAACCCCCCCCCCCCCCGGTGGCACAGTGGTTTAAACCCCTGTGCCGGCAGGACTGAAGACCGACAGGTCGCAGGTTTGAATCAGGGAAGAGGCGGATGAGCTCCCTCTATCAGCTCCAGCTCCTCATGAGACATGAGAGAAGCCTCCTAGAAGGATGATAAAACATCAAATCATCTGGGCTTCTCCTAGGCAACATACTTGCAGACGGCCAATTCTCTCACATCAGAAGCGACTTGCAGTTTCTCAAGTCACTCCTGACATGACAAAACAAAGCCACTCTCTAGATGTGAATGTAAATAGAATTGGGCTGCAGAGAGTCTTTATTCAGAAAGTAGACCAGCCAGTAGTTTCCCAAATTAAATACATTTTGCTATTTTTATGCTTGTTCAATTTTTTATATATAAATTGCCTGTGGGTGTAAGCCTAAATGCTGTGCTCTGCTGTTGACTCTGTCCCTGCCTCATTGAAGCAGGTGGCGTCGTCGGCACATGTGTGTCCATCAAGCCCTGTGCCCTGTCTGTTTCACTAGAGATCAGGCAGTGGAGCGCATGGCACCATTCATATGGTCATGTCACTTTCACTTCAGCCCTTGGTGTCTGATGTGTCCCCATCTGCCTGGCGTGTTGTGTGCCGAGCACATTTGTTGATTTAACTCCTTCCAGGCATTCACAATGTGGAAGGCATCGCTGTGGACTGGATGGGGAACAACCTCTACTGGACTGACGATGGGCCCAAGAAGACCATCAGTGTTGCCCGGCTAGAGAAGGCTGCCCAGACCCGGAAGACTTTGATTGAAGGGAAGATGACTCACCCTCGAGCCATTGTGGTGGATCCCTTGAATGGGTGGGTGAGACTGCTGTTTTCTAGAGAGTCCTATTTTTGCTGCTGTTGAGACATAAAGCAAAAAAGTGAACCTGCAGAGTGCCGATAATCTGAGTGATATTTGTTTGAAATTGTCTGTTGGGATTTCTCTCTTCTAGAATCTCCTGTAGGATATGTATTTCTGATTTTTCTCCTTGCATGGTTCATGCCAGCAATCGTTTTCTGTATCATCAAATTCTAATTCTGGGAGTGTAAAACTCCGTGGCATACTGGAAATGGAGGCTTTCATTTTTAAACAGTGGATTTATAGCCTTTCCATTTGCAGTGATTGGTTTTGTCTGGGTCATGCCTACTGAGCTATGGTGAGTCACAGATTTCCAGAACACATGTAGCAGACATTCATTCATTCATCTATCCATTTGTGCATCCATGCACTTGCTTATTAAATCCGAATCCTTAATCCTCAGCACTATCAAATTCTCAAGACACCACACGCTATTTTTTTATAATACTGTCGAATTGTTTTGTTAATAGAATTATTTTAGAATTGTTTTTAAATAATTAAATGTAATAGAAATTATGAGACAGAATAGAGTAGAACAACAACAAGATAAGCAGCTATCTCAGTGACTTATTCAAGGTCTGAGAAAATTGGTTTATTTGTTGGCAAAATGACTTTAGAATAGGCAGGAAGGAAGTATTACAGGGGAGAGAATTTGTAGTTGAGAAACCTCTTTCTCCCACAATACCTTCTTCCCTCAAGAAAGCTCAACCTGAAAAGACAGTCCAATAATAGTCTCACTCTTTTTCCAATTGATACAGATGTGATCAGTCCAAGATATAAGATGCTGTTACAATGGAATTAAAACTGTTCTGTATGCAGCAACAGAAACAACCCCCTTTTCAGCAGAAGCTCTCCCATTCTGGTTTTAGGAGTAGACATACACTAACTAGAAAAATACTTTATGCAAAGGAATATTTGCAGTACAGGAGAAGACTGGGACTCTTCTCAAACCCTTCTGCCAGGCACTCTCAAGTAGTTGAAACCTTCTTACTTGCAAAAGGCTTTCTCTTCCTCCTCCTTCTGGAACTTTGCAGCTTTCTCTCAAACAGTAACTCTCAATCAACACAACTCCTTCAACTCTCAAAAACATAGAAGCTTTGTACTAGTTTAGTACATTTACGTCTCCACCCTGGCTGTAAAGACCAAGCAGGTGGCTTGATTCTTAATACAGTACTAGCCGTCCCCTGCCACGCGTTGCTGTGGCCCAGTCTGATGATCTGGAAAATAAAGTAATGAGAAAGTGTTGGTTTCTAATATATGTAATTTATTTATGCTTGTGGGCAAACAGTATTTCTTGTTGTTTCTTTGTCTGTGTTGATGTGGAGATTGTCTGGTTTGCCTACTCTGGAACAGGCAACATATCATCGTCCTTCTTTAGGGGTCCCTTTCAAATCTATGATACTATATCTCTGTGTGTGAATCATATATATCTATCTATCTCTATGGCTGGATGATTCTTTGTCAGGAGGACTTTTGATTACGTTTTCTTGCTCTGTTGAAGAGAGTTGGACTGGATGCCCTTAAGTATTTTCTGTTGGTCATGGGGGTTCTGTGTGGGAAATTTGCCCCAATTCTGTCGTTTGTGGGATTCAGAATGCTCCTTGATTGTAGGTGAACTTAAATCCCTGTAACTATAAATCCCAAATGTCAAGGTCTATTTCCCCCAACTCCATTTGTGTTCATATTTGGGCATATGGAATATTTGTGCCAAGTTTGGTCCAGATCCATCATTGTTTGAGTCCACAGTGCTCTCTGGATATAGGTGAACTACAACTCCCAAACTCAAGGTCAATTCCCACCAAACCCTTCTAGTGTTTTCTGTTGGTCATGGGAGTCCTGTATGCCACGTTTGGTTCAATGCCATAATTGGTGGGGTTCAGAATGCTCTTTGATTGTAGGTGAACTATAAATCCCAGCAACTACAACTCCCAAATGACAAAATCAAAACATTTTGAGTGAAGGACGTACATTGGGTTGCTAGGTGTATGCCGTCCAAATTTGGTGTCAATTGGCCCACTGGTTTTTGAGTTCTGTTAATCCCACAAATGAACATTACATTTTTATTTATATAGGTGCTTGGGCCTTGATCCTTACATTTACTTACATTTTCTTATTGTTACTTAAGAAATGACGTACTTAAAAACTCTGACAGATGCAACCCCCAGACCAGTTTAGCTCAAAATAGGACTGGAATTCTGCAATCCGTCTATATCACTCAATTTAACACTTGAGTGATATAGAATATGCAGGCTTACAAAACTGAGGGTCACAAAGAAAAAATATTTTTTTAAAATGTGCTGGTATCATAGGAATTTGGCCTTCAAAATCCAGAAATGACGCCAGATTTGCTCCATTGTGTACTGTATTTTTCACAGTTTGCTTTGACATTTTTATTTCCTTACATGTGACTAAGATTTATTTGTGGAGTAAACAGTAAGAAAGGAGTTAAGGGCTTCTAATAGACTTTCAGAACACATAAAACTCAAAGGTACTAAAAGAAATCACACGGGAATATCAGCATCCAAACTTCATTCAAACCGAGTAACAACCAAATTGATAAAAATGCCAAATTGGTGAGAGAACTGTAATGTGGTACGGCATTTTTATTGTCCTTTTCGTATTCAGCACCCCAAAATATATTGGAACCAGCTACAGTATTGAAAAAAGTATTCTCATTGCGAGGCCTACGATATATTTCTTTGCTTGTTTGTTTTTAAAATCTTTTTTCAAATTGTGTTTGTCACTCGTTCTCACAGCTTCACTGATCCTCTTGCATGTGATGTGAACCAGAGAATTTCCACTCAACAGGAAGGAAACATCTGCCTCCTGCAGTGGCTCCCTAAAGATTTCAGCTAAAGAGCCCCCCCCCCCCCAAAAAAAATCTTTCCACTCTGATGTCTCTGGGGCTTCATTCCCTGTGGGTTTGAAAAGCATGTCCTGCTCTTCAGAGTTGCTCCGACAGGCCCAGCAGGACATTGAATTGCAATGTGCACTCAATCACTCGTGATTTCTCCCAGTCTACAGAAGCATGGGAGGTAAACTTTATTCCCATAGAACAAGCTGTTTCTTTCTTGTCCTCATTAGATCTTTTTTGTGTTGGGATGTTGCAGCATCCCTCCTTCTCTTCTACTCATCCTCTGCAAGATGAATATTCAAGGGTCTTCTCATTTCATTTCCAGATATTAGCGTAGTCACAGAACCAATCCCTGGTGCCACCTTACCTACTTGCCAGTGTCTATAGTCTTTTCTGCAGTGCTTCTCAGGGGAGCACAAAACCAAAATACCTAGCATGGATTGCATGAGCTATTCTGTGATTAGTTAATGTCACAAAACAAATCAAATACTATGTCCAAAGAGTTATCTGAAGCCACCCTGTTCCTGGAGTATTGAAGAAGGCAGAGATCCTTGTCATCTGTGCTGGAGCTTGTAAACATCAGTTCTTTGGAAGGTGGTATTCCAGCTCCTGAATTTTCCTAATTAGTCTAAAAAGTAACTTTCCACAGCTCTTTTCTGTTGTTGTTGTTGTTGTTGTTGTTGTTGTTCATTCATTCAGTCGTTTCTGACTCTGCGTGACCTCATGGACCAGCCCCCGCCAAAGCTCCCAGTCAGCCATCACCACCCCCAGCTCCTTCAAGGTCAATCCAGTCACTTCAAGAATGCCATCCATCCATCTTTACCTTGGTCAGCCCCTCTTCCTTTTCCTTTCCTTTTTCCCAGCATGATTTTCTTCTCTAAGCTTTCCTTTCTTCTCATGATGTGAAGAAGAAGAAGAATTTTATTTTTCTACCCTGCCTCCATCTCCCTGAAGGGACTCGGGGTGGCTTACATGGGGGAATTTCTTCATTTTGGCCTCTACTATCTTTCCCTCCAATGAGCAGTCGGGCTTTATTTCCTGAAGTATGGACTGGTTGGATCTTCTCGCTGTCCAAGGCCCTCTCAGCACTTTCCTCCAACACCATAGCTCAAAAGCATCTATCTTCCTTCGCTTAGCCTTCCCTATGGTCCAGCTCTCACATCTGTAGGTGACTATGGGGAATACCATTGCTTTAACTATGCCGTTCTTCGTTGCCAGTGTGATGTCTCTGCTCTTCACTATTTTATCGAGATTGGACATTGCTCTCCTCCCAAGAAGTAAGCATCTCCTGATTTCCTGGCTGCAGTCTGCATCTACAGTAATCTTTGCACCTAGAAGTACAAAGTCTATCACGGCCTCCTCATTTTCTCCCTCTACTTCCAAGTTGTCAGTCATTCTTGTTGTCATAATCTTGGTTGTTTTGATGTTTAGCTGCAACCCAGTTTTTGCGCTTTCTTCTTTCACCTTGATTAGAAGGCTCCTCAGCTCCTCCTTGCTTTTGGTCATCAAAGTGGTGTCATCTGCATATCTAAGGTTGTTAACGTTTCTTCCAGCAATTTTCTTTTCTGTACCCATGGTTAATTGTCTTATAGTGAGTGTTAGCTTAGCTCCTGCCCATGATCATAGCCACAGGAGCATTTTCCTATTGCCTCTCAGACCAGGACTATCAGTGATGCCCATTGGCTTAGATATCATTAGGGTGGTACATCCATACCACTATCCAAAGTACTGAACAAACCCTCAGGGTGCATCTATACCAGGCATCCTCAGACTGCAGCCTTCCAGCTATTTGAGGCTGTAACACCCAAAAAGCCCTAATCAGCTTGTTCAATTGTCAGGAATTCTGGGAGTTGGAGGCCCAGACAGCTGGAGGGCTGCAGTTTGATGATTCCTGATCGATATTGTAGAATGAATGCAGTTTGGCAGGACTGCCATGGCTCAATGCGAAGGAATTGTGGGAGATGTCATTCAGTGCAGCACCACCACTCTGGCAGAGAAGCCAAAAGATCTTGTAAAAAGTGCAGTAACTCTACAGTATAGATACACCCTTAGATAGTATTTTGAAGGTTTGGGCTATAGTATGGAACAGATTTGCCACCATCACCACCTGACATTGGATCCATCACTGAGTCCTCTGCACCCTGTTCCTTTTAGAAACTCCCCTTTGCCATGATGCCTACTGTAAAAATGTGGAAAACTAAGAAAGTGGTGTGTAAAAGCCATTTTAGTTGAGTTTGCATATGTTCATTATTCCCAGAAAGGTTTGAATGCCCCATATTTGACTATATTCAACTGTAAAATAGAATTGATTGATGAATATGATTATTTGATCATCTGGCTTTGGATCTATGTACAATAGTCATCTAATGTTTACATATGTTGTTTTATGTTGTTTTAAATGATTGTCTAATTGCTTTTAATTTTTGTTGTTTGGGCATGAAATAATGCCAGTTATGTAAGCCACCCTGAGTCCCCTTCAGAGTGAAAAGGGCGGGACATAAATGTCCTAAATAAATAAAAAAAGTGAGAGAGTCAAAAAGCAGTATATTTCAAGAGCATTTGTTACATCTGCCTGTTAAGACTTCAAACTGACTGTAGAAATTTAATCAAGGTGGACCCAATTGCAAGTTTCTTTTTGAGCTGCATCTTTGGCTGGGATTCTGAAAATTGGTTGCCTCCAAAAGTAGCTTTTTTCAGGTTCTACCACATATCTGACTTCAAATGAATTTGTGCTTTTGTTGTGCATGAAGTGACTCAAACATTGGAAATCGCCCAGGCCAGTTCATTTTGCATCAGTCAGGTGCTGTAGACTATATTTTAGAGGAATTGTCAAGACAACATCTGATTATTCCTTGCCTAAGAAAATCCTGAGAAATCTATTCATAAGTTGACAGGCAACATGAAGACGCATGCGGACACAGATACCACACACATACACAGTTTGCAAACATTTAGAAAGTTTTATATTTATCTAATTTGCATGTAATCAAGATATGTATAGTTGTAACTAGATGTTTCAAAACAGGAAAACACTTTTTCATTAATGTGACTGATTTTGTAGCTAATATTTTGCTCTGTTTTATGGAAGACAGGATCTTGTGCATGTTGTTGCTATGTTTATTTATACCCACTTTTTTTACTCTGTGTATGTATGTGTTTAAAAAAAAATAAGAAAATGAGAGAAATCAAATGTTATCTTTTTTTTCTCTAAACCTTTTTTTATATACCAGTATCTTTATTTCTGTTCACAATGAAATCCTGCATGGTGAATTCAAATAACTAGATTGAATGCACTTGTCATTGCTTTGCGACCACTAACTTTGGTACTTTGGAGACAAAGCAAAATGAAATAGCAGTAGCTGAATAGCCAATGAAGTGTCTACGTGAGCAGAGCATTCAATGAAATATTTTTTAATGGAAGAACCAATGTGAGAACAAATGACTGATCTTTTCGAAATGGCACAATGCTAATTGACATTATAAAATGCTTCCCTGTTGTCCAGTTTATTGCCTTAACCACCCACATAAGTAAATTATAACTGAGCAGTTGGGTATAATGAGGAAGCGAATAAATAAATCTACCTGCTCACTTGCTCCTAGGTTGATGTATTGGACTGACTGGGAGGAAGACCCGAAGGATAGCAAGAGGGGGAAGATTGAAAAGGCTTGGATGGATGGCTCCCACCGCAATGTCTTCATCACCTCCAAGACTGTCCTGTGGCCCAATGGGCTGAGCCTGGACATCCCAGGGAAGGTGCTGTACTGGGTGGATGCCTTTTATGACAGGATTGAGATGGTTATGCTGAATGGTACGGAACGCAAGGTTAGTATCGCCTCTCTATTTTACCCTTCCATATATAACCTATGTCTTTAAATCCCCGTATCGTGTCAGCTTTTCCAGTTGTTTCTCTTCAATCCTGCTGTCACCTGGGATTGCAACATTGACAATCCATACTTGGTTTTTTTAACACAATCGTGAGGTCAGGAGTATTGTACTCCAAAACTTAGTCTGAATTCGGAAGTCCCAGAGTAGTGGTGTTGTTGTTTTTGTTGTTGTTGTTGTTGTTGTTGTTATTATTATTATTATGTGTCTCTTTCTCTGTCTGTTTCCCCCATGCAGATTGTTTATGATGGTAATGAACTGAATCATGCCTTTGGCTTGTGCCACTATGGCAACTTTATCTTCTGGACTGAGTACCGGAGTGGCAGCATCTATCGCCTCGACCAGAACTCCAAGGCTGTTACACTTTTGCGCAATGAACGTCCACCAATCTTTGAAATCCGCATGTACGATGCTCAGCAGCAGCAAGGTGTGTGGCTAAATGTACTCAAAGATATTTCTTGAGATTGGATCAATATCAAACTTATTACACTATGCAACAAAAATTTAAAAACATTATCTTCCTGCTTTGAAAATGTTATTTTCTGTTGAAATATGTGGTACTTACTTTGGAAGTAGTTGTTATACTCAAGAAGCTTTGTTTTTGTGACTGCCACAGTGTTGAATTGGTTGAAACTCTATGGGATACTGAAATGAACTTCAATATTGGTTGTTGGTTTTGATGCCTGTTTTTATATATTGTTATAATGTTGTTGTTTTATTTTATATTGTATTTTACTATGTTATGTTTTTAACTGTGTTGATTGGGCTTGACCCCTTGTAAATTGTCCAGAGTCCCTTCAGGGAGATGGAGGCGGGGTACAAAAATAAAGTTGTTGTTGTTGTTGTTGTTATTTGAAACACAACAAGATGAATCCACAGCAGACAAGATCACTCTGCTGGCAGTTGTGTTGGATCCCACGTCGGACACTTCCCAAGTGTCTACGACTGTGTGATGTATTGGTGAATAATGCATGCAGATCCCAGTAAGGTGGCCTTCTGCAGCTGGCAGATGGTAATTTTGTCAGCGCCAATTGTGTTTAAGTGCAGGTCAAGGTCTTTAGGCACTGCACCCAGTGTGCCGATGACCACTGGGACCATCTTTACTGGCTTGTGCCAGAGTCTTTGCAGTTCGATCTTTAAATTCTCATATTGTGTCAGCTTTTCCAGTTGTTTATTATTATTATTATTATTATTATTATTATTATTATTATTATATCATCATCATTGACACAAAAGCACAGTATGTCACAGCAAACGAGATCTATATGCTGGATTTCATATCACAAAATCACAAGTCGAACACTTCCCAAGCATCTAGGACTGTGTGACGTATTTTCGAATGATGCGCACAGATCTAAGTAAGGTGGCCTTTTGCAGTTGACAGATCGTGATTTTGTCGATGTTTATTGTTTCCAAATGCTGGCTGAGATCTTTTGGTACGGCACCCAGTGCGCCAATGACCACTGGGACCACCTGTACTGGTTTATGCCAGAGCCTTTGCAGTTCGACTTTGAGGTCTTGATAGCGGCTGAGTTTTTCCTGTTGTTGTTGTTGTTGTTGTTGTTGTTGTTGTTGTTGTTGTTATATTCATTGAAAAGCTGTATCAAAATGTGCTGCAAGATGTCCCGCAAAAACAAAGTTTTTGAAGTTTAATAAACCTTTTCCATGTTTTTATGATCGGACTAATTAGGAAATAACATTTATAACCCAGGAACAAAAATTGTGTTACATAGTGTTATCAGAGTGTATTTTGTAAATACACTATTCGGGATCAAGCTTGCAGATAGATGATGCAGAAAGTTACACAGAGATGAATTTATTATCACTTTTCTGGACAAGGCACAGGGTTAGTCCCCTTGAATTTCCAAGCACAATGGCAGAACCCGGGTTTATACAGCAGGGCCTTGTTCTAGTTACTTGCAGACATGTGTACAGTGACATTTTCTCTTCTATTGCAATCTTGGTGTGCTGATAAATTTCTGATGAGGATGGATGTTGCAAAGCAGTTTGAGCAGGCCTTGAATCCAGTCTCGATGGGATATGTGCTTGGAGAGCAGCAACTCAGAGCAGTCCACTGAGGCGGCTTTGATGTATTCTTTATAATACAGAGGATAGCCTTCTAGGCTCTTTGTTTCCTCCTCCTCCACATCCTAAGCATTTCCTCATGTGGAACTGTGTTTTGGCTCCTCTCATTCCATTTCCTGTTCTATTTTTTTCAGTTGGCTCCAACAACTGTCGAGTAAACAACGGAGGCTGCAGCAGCCTTTGCCTGGCCATCCCTAATGGCAGGCAATGTGCCTGTGCAGAGGACCAAATTTTGGGCTCAGATTCTGTCACCTGCCAAGGTAACTATTTGTGTTCCAGAGACAGAGGCAGACATGGGATTCCACAGTATTGAAGAAATGTGTCATTGCACCATGGTTTAGATCTTGATTGTATAGACACTCACATGCGTATGCACAGAAGACATGTTTATTTATTTTTATACACACACACACACACACACACACGTATATATGTATTTCTACCCTGCCCTTCTCCCCCCAAAGGGGGACTCAGGGCGGCTTCACACAAGTATATAATGCTATCAGCATATAAACAATCAGTATTTATTTATTACTTATTTAGGGCTTTTATATCTCAACCTCCGCAGAGGGACTCAGGACGGCTAACAAAGTGGCACCCCATGGCGCCCACATCAAAACATAAATATACAATTAACAGCAATGTAATAATAACAACAATATAAAACAGTATAAAACCGTATAAACAATATAAAAACAATATAAAAACAGAGAACAATAGTCAGCGGTCACCAATTTAAATCATTATCCAAGGGCAGTCCATCACTTCTAAATAAGTCAACACGTCAGTAGGTCAGACTATTCTCCAAAGGCCTGATCCCATAGCCAGGATTTTACTTGTTTCCGGAAGGTCAAGAGGGATGCAGCAGATCTAATTTCACTCGTGAGGGAGTTCCATAGCCGGGGGGCCACCACAGAAAAGGCCCTGCCCCTTGTCCCCGCCAGACGCGATTGTGACAATGGGGGGACAATGAGCAGGGTCTCCTCAGATGATCTTAGGGCCCTAGGTGGATCATTTAAAATAATTTAAAAACACATTATACAATTCATTAAACAATAAATAAAACATGCCAATAAACCTTTTCCATGTTTTTATGATCGGACTAATTATACACATAAAGAGGTCCTGTTCATCAAAAAACTTGCATAAGTTCCAATGCCAAAAATTGCATTGTGTTAATTTAGCCCTGAGTATATCACTTTGTGTTCTATGGACTTGTAGTAATCATTAACATCACTTTAAGGAAATTCTTAAGGGAAAATTCTGTTGTTTTCAACGAAAGTGTCTCATAAAAACCCTCACCTTCAATTTTTTTTATCTCCTGCTTTCCCTTTTTTGGCTAGTCAACCCATCATATAGCCCACCACCACAATGCCAGCATGGGGAATTTGCTTGCAAGAACAACCGCTGTATACAGGAGCGCTGGAAATGTGATGGTGACAATGACTGCCTCGACAACAGCGATGAAGCACCAGAGCTCTGTCGTAAGTATTTTCTGTGGTAACACTAGGGCCCCTTACACACAGCTAAATAAACCCCACATTATCTGCTTTAAAATGAAATATGTGGTTGTGTGGGACTCAGATAACCAAGTTCCAAGTAGATATTGTGGGATTTTCTGCCTAGATATTCTAGGTTATATTGCTGTATGAAAGGGCCCTAGGGGCCACCCTCAAATAGGGCAAATGGGACATATAGTCATATAGAATAAGACTGCTTTGCCTTAGGTGAAGAATCTTAGCATTTTCAAATGTCAGATGAATCTGTAGGAGAAGGTGGGGATTAGAGCTTAGTTGTAAGAAATAGTTTTCCAAAGCTACGTTTTTAGTTGTTTACAGAAACAGGTGATCTGGGAACCTGAGCAAATTCAGCCCACATTTTAATCTGTTAGAGGGGATAGCATAGCACTTGGAATTTCCTTCAAAATCCATTTTGTAGGTCTATATAGTGCTGCTTTAGCTTATGGATGGTCTCTCTCTCTCTCTCTCTCTCTCTCTCTCTCTCACTCACACACACACACACACACACACACACACACACACACATGTCAGGAGTGACCTGAAAGTTGTCCAGATGTGGTGTGGCATTACTTTAATTCATTAAGAAATGGGCATTTGTGGGGATACAGAGTAGGCCTCTAAGTTATAAGGCAGTGTTTCTCAACCTGGGGGTGGGACACCTGGGGGGGGTCATGAGGGGGTGTCAGAGGGGTCGCCAAAGACCATCAGAAAGCATAGTATTTTCTGTTGGTCATGGGGGTTCTGTGTGGGAAGTTTGGCCCAATTCTATCATTGGTGGGGTTCAGAAAACTACAAATCCCAGCAACTACAACTCCCAAATGTCAAGGTCTATTTTCCTCAAACTCCACCAGTGTACACATTTGGGCATATAGAGTATTTTTGCCATGTTTGGTCCAGATCCATCATTGTTTGAGTCCACAGTGATTTTTGGATGTATGTGAACTACAACTCCAAAACTCGAGGCCAATACCCACCAGACCCTTCCAGGATTTTCTCTTGGTTATGAGAGTTCTATGTTCGAAGTTTGGTTCGATTCCATCGTTGGTGGAATTCAGAATGCTCTCTGATTGTAGGGGAACTATAAATCCCAGCAACTACAACTCCCAAATGACAAAATCAACCCCCCCCCCCAAACCCCACCAGTATTCAAATGTGGAAGTATTGGGTATTTGTGCTAAATTTGGTCCAGTGAATGAAAATACATCCTGCATATCGGATATTACATGACGATTCATAACAGTAGTAAAATGACAGTTATGAAGTAGCAACAAAAATAATGTTATGGTTGGGGGTCACCACAACATGAGGAACTGTATTAAGGGGTCATGGCATTAGGAAGGTTGAGAACCATTGTTCTAAGGTAATGGTTCTCAACCTGTGGGTCCCCAGATGTTTTGGCCTTCAACTTCCAGAAATCCTAACAGCTGATAAATTGGCTGGACTTTCTCAGAGTTGTAGGCCAAAACGCCTTGGAAACCACAGGTTGAGAACCATTGCTCTAAGGGATCCAAACATTAAATGAGGACATTGTGAGAACGAAGCATTTCTTTCCCCCATCTATACTGCTTCTGGGCCATCGAGCATCCGTGCCCCTAATTTAATATATCAAATTTCAGGGTAAGTGATTGATATCTATTTTAATTGCTTATATGTTTAGATTGTTTTATATTTTGATGAGATGTGTTTTATTGTTTATCTCTGCGGCATTAAATTAAGCCCCCTCGAATTTCCTCCGGGGTCAAGAAAGGTGGAGTGGAAATGAAGTAAATAAATAAACTTACTCTGTGATATAGCATCCTGGGAATTAAGTTAATAATTGAAAAAGGAAGTTGCTAGCTCGTCTGGTTGCTGAGGAATACATGGAACATTCTTGTGCCCTTTTTCTCCTTCTGCCACATTTTCCATTTTCTCAAAAAGCAGGATCCAAAACCACCATAAATCTAAATTATTCAAAAAAAATCTCTGTAGCAGAGGATAGGTATTGCATGCTCACTCAGTCTCTGTCTTCTTTTATCTCAGAGTTCAGGTATTCACATTTCTGGGCTCAAGGAGTTTCGAATTATGGCAATACATATGTTATTAATCATTGTGAAGTCACCTTTGACTTAGGACACTCTTATGAATGAGAGACATCAAAAAGTTTTTGCTGATTAGAGTATGTGCTAGTAGGATCTCCAATGTCAGGCAGGCTTTTTACTGAGGAGCCAAACTAGATGTGCAAACAACTATTGGTTAGTGGGTTGCTGTGAGTTTTCTGGGCTGTATCATCATTTTCCAGAAGCTTGAGGATTCCAATGGCTTCTCTGTGTAGTGTGGCAGAAGTGGTAAGTTCCTTTCCTTGCCTTGTCATTCTCCAGATCAGCACACGTGCCCCTCAGACCGTTTCAAGTGTGAGAACAACCGCTGCATCCCCAACCGCTGGCTGTGCGATGGGGATAATGACTGCGGGAATAATGAAGATGAGTCTAACTCCACCTGCTCAGGTGAGGGTGCCCTGTTCTCTGTCTCTCTGTTTGTCTACTGCACATTTATACTGCCAAGGCTTTTAGCCTTACACAAGGCTCGTCTGCCATTTGAGGGGCTTGTTTCATGTTACTTAACAGTAAGGCTGTTCTTGCCTGTTTGGTAGAATGATATCTGTTTTACTTCTGATCTGAACTCAAGTTCATCCAGAATCTTTGCAAGGTGATTGCTGATCCTGCCATTGCCTCTTTAACTGTCAGTGATAGGGATGTACCCCAAAGATCTGTGTAATTGCAAGTGCCCTTATTTTGTGTATGTGTGTGTAGTTTGGTAATCCAAACAAGTGTCCACATCTGCCATTAACTTTGCTTCTGTTGTTGAATGCTGCTTACCTAGCTCGTACCTGCCCTACTAACCAGTTCTCCTGTGCCAGTGGCCGCTGTATCCCAATCTCCTGGACCTGTGACTTAGATGATGATTGTGGGGACCGCTCTGATGAGTCAGCCTCATGTGGTAAGTAATAGGAATTACAGATATTTTGCTAGAGTAATGCAAAATCGTACATTCCCAGGTGGGTGCTCCCACAGCAAATGGAGTTGTTCTAATATAATCATGAGCTGGGATAACAACTGGAGAATAGATAGCCATATGGCCTGGAGGAGTTGTTAAATTTCACACATTGGACATTATGCAGTAGCAGATGTAGCTTTTGCTATTAAGTATGCATTTGACAGTTAGTGATGTAAATATTTGTAAATGTCATTCTTCATCATTTTTCTACCTGTTGTGAGAAAGTAATTGAAAACTGGAGGTGTCAAAGGACATTACAAAAACCCCATATAGTCTTTGTATGTGTAGAGGCTTTCTTTTAATTTTGGAGATTTTATGCACAGGAACCAGGTGCATTTTTCTTTTTTAAAAAACAATCTTTTAGCTGCAAATATTATTGTCACTCCAGTTTTGTTATATTTTTTGACACTTCAAACCCCTGTTTTTGTTACTCATCGAAATAATTTCCAATATTATTTCCATTTCTTTTCTAGAGAATGTTGCATTCTTTTTTTACATTAGGGATGGAGCAACATGGCACCCAAGTCAAGTCTTTATTTATGGCTCTCGCGGCATCCTTACTCCCGTTTTGTTTTAAGAAAAGTTTTTTCCACACACAATAATCAAAATACATCCCAGACCCATCTAAATGTATGTGGGAACAATTCTGATGTGTTCCCTTTCCCAAAAGGCAGGCTAGTTTATGAATACATCCCAAACCCTGAAATAGTTGCCAATTTTGTTCCTGATTTGAAGGGGTCCTATTCCATGAATGTTGAAAGTGAATGAGTGAGTGATGGGGAAGACTGTATGTCTGATGTCCCTTCCACACAGCCATATAAATCCAGAATATTATGACAGAAAATCCCACAATATCTGCTTTGAACTGGGTTATCTGAGTCCACACTGCCATATATCCCAGTTCAAAGCAGAAAATGTGGGATTTTATTCAGCTGTGTGGAAGGGGCCTGGGAGAGCAGGAGGGAGTCAAATGAATGGCTCCTGCCATGTCCAGTCTCATAATACGCCCCCAGAGTGCTGTGAGGAAGAGCCCGACAAGCAGGATCATGGGATCCTTGAGTTGGAAGAGACCTCGAGGTCCATCCAGTCCAGCCCCCTGCTAAGAAGCAGGAAAATCACCTTCAAAGCACCCGTGACAGATGGCCATCCAGCCTCTGTTTAAAAGCCTCCAAAGAAGGAACCTCCACTACACTCCGGGGCAGAGAGTTCCACTGCTGAACAGCTCCACAGTTATGAAGTTCTTCCTCATGTTCAGGTGGAATCTCCTTTCCTGTCGTTTTAAGCCATTGTTCCGGGTCCTAGTCTCCAGGGAAGCAGAAAACAAGCTTGCTCCCTCCTCCCTATGACTTCCCCTCACATATTTATACATGGCCATCTCTCCCTGGGAGCAGCCATTTCCTCTAGATTCACTGAGCAATCTGTACATGGAAGCCAGTCCTTGTTAGTCTTATCCTTGTTTTCTCTTTGCAGCCTACCCAACATGCTTCCCTCTAACCCAGTTTACTTGCCATAATGGCCGCTGCATCAACATCAACTGGAGATGTGACAATGGTAAGTGCCACATTTTTGAGTAACAATTCAGCTCTGCTGGCCTGAGTGGCGAGGTCAGGAGGCAAATGGGGGCGGGGGGAGGCTAGTTGAGTTTGGGAATGGGAGAGTCTTGTGCAAGGGTGGTGGTGGTGGTGCTTTGAGCTTCTTTGCCTATACTTGCCATCTTTGCATGGTATTATTTTCTTTGCTTTCATCTGCTTTCTGTTCATCCTATTTGCATATAAGAGTACAGGCAGTGTCCAAGTTATGAATAAAATAGGTTCTGTAGGTTTGTTCTCAAGCTGAATTTGTGTGTAAGTAAGTCAGGAACAGGCACATTTTAAAGTGTAATTCAAGCCTTATATATATATATATATAGAGAGAGAGAGAGAGAGAGCTTTGGATAGCATAGGAAAAGGTTAACACCCCTTTCTTTTGCTGCCTATGCCCCTGTTCAGAAGATTTCACCACACTTTCTGTCCCTGTGAGAGTTGGATTTTGAAAAATGTGGCTTGTTGTGGAAACAAGGATTGGTGAGAAAGCTTCAGTGGAGATACCTTTTCCCCATGATAACTCTTTCAGCAGTGAATTTACCTTTCTGGGGTAGATTTCTCCTGCTTCCTGTTGTCTCACCCTGTTCTTAACTAGGATTAATTTGTAAGTCAGGTGTTTGTAACTCGGGGACTGCCTGTACTTGCCTTGTTTCAGCATTTCCCTTTTCCAGTGGTTTTATATTATCCCTTCTCAGGAGTGTCCCCTTGTTTCTCTTATGGATTAAATGCAGAGGGCTTGTGAAGGCAATACTATCTTGATTTGGGGTGAATTTATATTGGTCATGCCATCATGACCTTCCAATCATGCACACGTTCACAAACACACTTTACTTTCTCAGTCTTTGGTTCTATGGAATATGCAGCCTATTTCCATCAAGTCTTTTAGTAGTGATCCAGTAAGGCTTTAGCAGACATGGGCTTTGAATCAAGTTTACATTAGGACACCTTATTATTCACATTGCCTGAATGTAATAATAATAATAATAATAATAATAATAATAATAATAATACTTTATTTATATACCGCTCTATCTCCCCGAGGGGACTAAGAGCGATTCCCAGGTAACATCACAAAACATGTTCAGAAGATTCCAGAGCTTCCAAAAAGTCCTCTTTGCTAAAACTGCCAAAGAGAGAAATAAAATATTCAACGAGTTCAGACCAGTTATTTCAAGAGGCTTAGCCGTTCCTTTTAGAAGATCCTTAGTGAACTGATTTTGCTTCAAACACAGAATCTAAGGGTTGGTATATTCCCCAGAATCAATTCATAAAACTGGATTGTACACATTTTAATAAATACAAATATGCATTTAGTAAACCAGAGGCTTATTGGCCTTTAATCGAGGTCTGCTTCTCACATTAAGGTCTAACTACAATTTGGCAAARCCATGGGTTATGAGGGCCCCCTGGTGGTGCAGTGGGTTAAACCGCTGAGCTGCTGAACTTGCTGACTGAAAGGTCACAGGYTCAAATCCAGGGAGCGGGGTGAGCTCCTGCTGTTAAGCTCATCTTCTGCCAACCTAGCAGTTYGAAAACATGCAAATGTGAGTAGATCAATAAGTACTGCCTTGGCGGGAAGGTAATGGCGCTCCATGCAGTCATGCCAGCCACATGACCTTGGAGGTGTCTACGGACAACGCTGGCTCTTCAGCTTAGAAATGGAGATGAGCACCAACCCCCAGAGTTGGAAACTACTAGACTTAATGTCACGGGAAAACCTTTACCTTTACTTTTTATGCGTCAATCATCTGGCTTGTTTCACAAACAAGCTTATTTCAAACCACAATTCCTGGGTTTTATTGACAGTAAATCAGTATTACACTTTCCCTCAAGATCCCATGATCACATTGTGTCTTGTGAGGACAGGATGATGGGAAAGAAGGGATGAACAATTTATCTGCTGCTTCTGACGTTCTCTTACATGCTATGACACAACTCTCCTGGTGCTTTCTCCTCCATCCCACCCCAATCTGCTCCTCCATAGTCTTTCTCTGACGTGCACTTTCAGCTTCATTTTCATATTTTGTTTCCCTTTCTCATGTTGACTCGTTTTTTTCTTTTTGGTTACTATTGTGCATGTCAGTGTGTGTGTGTTCACTGCACCCACTCTCCTGTCTTCTCTGGTTGGTTTCTGTGTTTCAGAAAAGGATTGTGGGGATGGCTCTGACGAAAAGAATTGTCCAAAACCTACCGGTTAGTGCATAGATCAACATGCACCTCAGCTCCCTTCTCCCCTTTCTGTTCCCTCAAATGCCTGTCACTTTTCTGCACAATCCCAGTGATTGCAGGGAAGTGTAAGGAATGACAAAACATAACTCACACGTGCCCTGTTTCTGTGGGGTTTCTCTATGGTGGATGGGATGTGCAGTTGTTTGATAACTATCATAGGATGTACCCTTTCCGCAATTAAGAGGAGCCATTTGGGAACCTGCTTTTCACTGTGGCTAGACTCAGTCACACCCTTAGGAAGGGAGCCAGTAGTACCTGTGATCCCCAACACATGTTGTTACTGTTTCTCTTAGCTCCATTTGCATTGGTATTTTTGGTGATTTTGCAGCCCAGTCCTATATGTCTTTTCTCTGCAGCAGGCCCGCTTTGTTCATTGGTAGCTATTTCTAAGCAAGTCTGTATATGAGCCACCTTCACAGATTCTGGAGGCAATTCTTGGAAATGTGATGTGTGACGTAGGGATTGCTTCCCTCAGTGCAATATACAGCTCAGCATGCTTACTTAGAAATGATAGTGTTGATTTTCGTAGGAATTACTTCTGAAGTGAGTGTCACAGCATCAAAGAGGCAGAACCTGTTGTGCTCTCCTTTGGCCACTTTTGTGTGAAAATTGGCCGCAATCTCATCAGTATATATAGCAACCTCTGATGCAGGCCCATTGAAGCGGTTACTCCCTCAAATGTTTCCCAAGTAGAGCTCAAAGATGGATCCCCCAGTGGTGCAATGGGTTAAACCCTTGTGCCAGCAGGACTGCTGTCCGATAGGTCAGTGGTCCAAATCTGGGGAGAGCGGGTTGAGCTCCCTCTGTTAGCTCCAGATCTCCATGCGGGGACATGAGAGAAGCCTCCCACAAGGATGGTAAAACATCAAACATCCGGGCAAAGTCCTTGCAGATGGCCAATTCTCTCACACCAGAAGTGACTTGCAGTTTCTCAAGTCACTCCTGACATGAAAAAAAGCTCAATTTTCAGAGGTACACCTGGAAGTTGTTGGAAGGAGTAACTGGTTCAATGGGCATGCATCATTTCTACATGTTAGCTCAGCTCTATGTTCTACAGCAGTTCAGATTGACTTGGGTGGTTGGATCATGGGACAAAGGATGACCAAAGACAATTTGTTACCAGTGATAAGGGACAAGACGTCATTTCTTTTCCGTTCCATGTATGGAAATTAACTAGACTAAAAGTTAAATCTTATTTCAATACTGGTCACCAGAGAACATCTTCCACCACACACCAGAGTAGCAGGTCCTTTGTTTTCTAAAAGAAGGAAAGGTCAGGGGGCTCAGAAGAAAAGGCTGACTGGCAGTCCCTGCTGCCCCATCTCTAGTTAGAAACAGAGGAGTTAAAGCAGATTCCACATCATGAATTAGGTCTGGCCAAAATGATGTATATGTACAGAAGCATATCCACATGGTTGCACACAAACATTCATTCGGTGACCAAATAATATTCAGGTGCCACAAACCTTAAAGCTGTCAGTATGATATCTGCCCTCTCACTTCACCCACTCCTGTTCCCCTCATGGTGCATGGATGATCTATGCCATTTCTGTGTTTTAATTTTTCATTATTATTGCTGTTGTTGCTATTGTTATTGTTGTTTTTAACTTTTTAGTTGCTTTGCTAGTGGTAAGAGCTCCTGGGAAAAGTGTGTTGGGGAGCATGTTTGGCTACAGCATGCATGCAATAGGAGGGTGCTGTTAATGCAAATTTACTTGGACATCTGGAGTCCTTCTGCTTAGACCTTGGTGTATTGCAGAAATATTCCATGTGCTTTTCAGCCAGAAATGACTGTGTATACCTCTGAAATAGCTTAGAGGGACATAAAAGAAGGGTAGAATCTGCTTTGGCAGTCTCAATGGTGTCTGACCTTCCCCTTGCTCTTCCTTCTCCTGCTTCCAGACAATGACTGCGGAGACAACAGTGATGAGGCCGGCTGCAGCCATTCCTGCTCCAGCAACCAGTTCAAATGCAACAGCGGGCGCTGCATTCCTGTGCATTGGACCTGTGATGGTGATAATGACTGTGGGGACTACAGTGATGAAACCCATGCCAACTGCACAAACCAGGGTGAGTAGAGCATGGGTGTTAGCCAATTCATGCAGTACATCAGAAACATTATTGTTCAAATTCTTCCCTTAATATCCTGGATTCAAAATAAGCCACTTGAAACCATTGTGGGTTATAGAAGCTTGTTGATTACTGTGCAAAGGCCTTCCAGTTGTATGCATTCCCTCTGTGCCCTGAATGCAATATTTGAGAGTATATCTTCATTACTTGAAATGCACTTGACAGAAAAGTTATATCATGATCTTCTGGCAGGGACAAGTAGAAGTCATTAGGGATTATTATTATTATTATTATTATTATTATTATTATTATTATTATGGGACTTCCGGATTCAGACAGACAGACTTTTGGAGCACAACACTCTTGACCTCACAATCGTGTTAAAAAACCAAGTATGGATCGTTGATGTTGCAATCCTAGGTGACAGCAGGATTGCATAGAAACAACTGGAAAAGCTGACAAGATATGAGTATTTAAAGATCGAACTGCAAAGACTCTGGCACAAACCAGTAAAGGTGGTCCCAGTGGTGAATGGCACACTGGGTGCAGTGCCTAAAGACCTTGACCTGCACTTAAACACAATCGACGCTGACAAAATTACCAGCTGCAAAAGGCCACCTTACTGGGATCTGCACGCATTATTCGCTGATACATCACACAGTCCTAGATACTTGGGAAGTGTCCGACATGTGATCCAATTCGACAGCCAGCAGAGTGTCTTGTGTTTCAAATAATAATAATAATAATTTTATTTATACCTCACCTTTATCCCCATAGGGCAGTGGTTCTCAATCTGTGGGTCCCCAGGTATTTTTTCCTACAACTCCTAGAAATCCCAGCCAGTTTAACAGCTGTTAGGATTTCTGGGAGTTGAAGGCAAAACATCTGGGGACCCACAGGTTGAGAACCACTGCCATAGTGACTCAAGATGACTAACAATCTCACACTTAGTCATTTTAAAAGCACAATACAAAAGTTTAAATTCAATTAAATAATAACAGTGTGGTAAAAACAGATTAAAATACAATAAATACACAAGATAGCCTTTAAAATCCCCCAAAGTCCCACCTGCACCTACCCAAATCCTGCTCCCAAGGACAGAAAACCATGATGAGAAGATGTGTAGAGGGCTAAAACAAGGATGGGAAATATCTGACCATAACACAGCCTGGGCTACACATTTAATGCTATTTGAGATAGGTGGACTTTCAGATCCTGTCAAATACTGGAATCGGGGAAAAGGAGGCAGCATATGGTCTTGGAATTTGAAAAATGAAGTTGTACTCTTAAGAAGACTTCTTATAATGTTGTGACTACAACAGTAACAAAATACTTCTAAAAATTGTTTTCCCATACTTTGGTTTAACATATCTTTAAGGCAGATTGAAATATAAGAATCTGAAGCAGAGAAGGTTGGTGGTGGTAGAGGAGACCCCTTTTTTATATTGGCTTCTCCTACTTTCCCTAGTTAATAGAGGTTTGGGGATGCAGCAAGGGCAAATGTGGAGCTTGTGACAATCCCCTTTGGCTTGCTGGAGCTTCTACTCTCTGCCACATCATGCTTACTTCAATTATTGGCAACCTAACTATATCAAGGTGTTATTCAGACCTGTCTCTGACCCTTTGACATATTTTCTCTGTTTCTATCCCCAGCAACACGCCCACCGGGACGTTGTCACACAGATGAATTCCAGTGCCGCCTGGATGCCCTTTGCATTCCCATGCGCTGGCATTGCGATGGTGATACTGACTGCATGGACTCCAGTGATGAGAAAAACTGTGAGGGGGTCACTCATGTCTGTGATCCAAATGTCAAGTTTGGCTGCAAAGATTCTGGTAAGTGCCTTGTGGAGCTCCCTGGGCAAAGCCAGAGGGATCTATCATCAAGATTCAGATGTGTTGTTTGGAGTGAGACAACAAGAGTATATTTCTATTGTTGACACCAGTAATAAGTATTCTTCTAGATGCCCTAGCTCGGATAGTTTAATGACATCCCATTTTAAGGTTGGGTCAGTCCTTTGTTAAGGGTCATATTCAGAAAGTGAAGATTAGTGGAGTTAGTGTGAAGATGCAAAGCCACATATAATAGTAAGCCCTATTGCAATATAAACCTGCAAGAGGACATACAAAGGCCTTGGACACGAAGCTGCGGCTACTTATCCAATTGTACCAATTGATACAGAGGTCATACTTTATTTATAACACTCTCTCAGCAAATAAGTATCAGAGGCTTTGTCATCATAAGTGTGATACAGTTAGATGATGCAGTTTAATGCCCTGATGTTGTAGTCATGATCTTTTCCAGCTTCTCCCAACTTTTTGTTTGTTTGTTTGTTTCTTACACTTCAAATATCCTTTTAGCCCGGTGCATCAGCAAAGCATGGGTATGTGATGGGGACAATGACTGCGAGGACAACTCTGATGAGGAAAACTGTGAGTCACTGGTATGCAAGCCACCCTCGCACACTTGTGCCAACAACACCTCTATCTGCCTTCCTCCTGAGAAGCTCTGTGATGGCAATGATGACTGTGGGGATGGATCCGATGAAGGGAAGCTATGTGGTGAGTATGAGAAGAACAACTGATTTGCATTTTTCTGGGGTCAATCATTTTAACAAGACTATTAACCCCACAAAAGACTTCTGGTTTATATAGTGTAGTGGTGAAGCCTGTGAGTTCTGAAGCAGTAAGCCTCCCAGTAGTATATCAGCTGTGACTTCATTAGGTGGAACTAGCTAATGTGCTGTTTTCAGAAATCTTAGCTATTCATCAACTACATAGGAAATAATAGCTCCAGCGTATGTCTTACAGAGGTGTGTTTAATGTTGCTGGGATAATATATGGTAACTCCGTGCTTTGAATGTTGTGCCACCCTCAGTCTGGACTCCTTTATTTTAATTCAAAAGCCTCCTTGTGCTTCATCCTGTGCATCCATCTTAACTCAGTACTGGACACTGAATGAATTAAGTAGGTCTTCTGGCTACCGTGAGGACAGGAACTGACTTGCATGCTCCCAATGCAACAAAATCCCTTGAGTTAGCCCTTTTATTTAAAAAACAGTGAGATACTCTTACTGGGATGCCCAACCTGTTTCTTTAGTAATAATTTTGAGAATGAGTGGAGTCATTTTGCTTGTCAGGAGGCTGGAGATTCTGTTTTAGAGATTCTCCTAGGTGCTATATTTGTATGTGTGCAAGTCACCAGAGATCATCCGGAGTTTCGGGGTGCGGTGTTATCTGTACGCAGATGATGTCCAACTCTGTTACTCCTTCCCACCTACTACTAAGGAGGCTGTTCAGGACCTGAACCGGTGCTTGGCCGCTGTATCGGACTGGATGAGGGCTAACAAATTGAAACTGAATCCAGACAAGACAGAGGCACTCCTGGTCAGTCGAAAGGCCGAACAGGGCATAGGGTTACAGCCTGTGTTAGACGGGGTTACACTCCCCCTGAAGACGCAGGTTCGCAGCTTGGGTGTGATCCTGGATTCATCGCTGAGCCTGGAACCCCAGGTTTCGGCAGTGACCAGGGGAGCATTTGCACAACTAAAACTTGTGTGCCAGCTGCGCCCGTACCTTGGGAAGTCTGACTTGGCCACAGTAGTCCACGCTCTGATTACTTCCCGCATAGATTACTGCAACGCGCTCTACGTGAGGTTACCTTTGAAGACGGCCCGGAAGCTTCAAATGGTCCAGTGTTCGGCAGCCAGGTTGCTAACAGGAGCAGGCCTCAGGGAGCATACAACTCCTCTGCTGCATCAGCTCCACTGGTTGCCAGTTTGCTACCGGGCCCAATTCAAAGTGCTGGCTTTAGCCTATAAAGCCCTAAACGGTTCCGGCCCAGCCTACCTATCCGAACGCATCTCTTTCTACGAATCCTCCAGGAAGTTAAGATCATCTGAGGAGGCCCTGCTCTCGATCCCGTCTGCTTCGCAAGCACGCTTGGCGGGGACGAGGGACAGGGCCTTCTCTGTGGTAGCCCCTCGGCTATGGAACTCCCTGCCTAGGTTTATTAGATCAGCCCCCTCCCTCCTGACTTTTCAGAAGAAAGTAAAAACCTGGCTCTTCGAGCAAGCCTTCGGAACCCTGGAATAGATAGTCAAACTTGAGATGGAGAATGACCCAGGAACGGCCAAGATGATGAAACGGATGAGGATTGGAATGAGAGGATATAGCTCTTTTTAAATTGTTATTGCACTGTCTTTTTTGTCTAAATGCACTTAATTGTTTTTGCTGTTGTATTGTATTGATGGCATCGAATTGTGCCGATATGTAGACCGCCCTGAGTCGGCTGTGGGCTGATATGGGCGGGATATAAGTGATGTAAATAAATAAATAAATAAATAAATAAATAAATAAATGTCTAGTGGTTGCTTATGAGCAACATAAACAGTTCTGGCTCAGCTTACTGGTCCGAATGCATCTCCTTCTATGAACCATCAGAGGTTAAGATCTTCTGGGGAGGCCCTGCTCTCGGTCCCACCTCCTTCGCAGGTTCGACTGGTGGGAACAAGAGACAGGGCCTTCTCAGTGGTGCCTCCTCAGCTCTGGAACTTGCTCCCCAGCAAGATTAAATCAGTGCCTTCCCTCCTGCTCTCTTTAGAAAGAGAGCAAAGACTTGGTTGTGGGATCAAGCTTTTAGCTAGTAAAGTAACGCAGTACAAAGAATAATTAAGCAACATGTGCAATGACAATCGGAATGGCTATGGTATATGAATTTTGGATTATGTGATTTTAATATTTATACTAGTATTATTTTAATGCTTTGTTTACATGTTTAAGTTTTGTTTGTGTCTTATGATTTTATAGGGTTTTGTAGGTTAAAACCAGCACAATTCAAAGTGCTGGTTTTAACCTACAAAACCCTATACGGTTCCAGCCCAGTTTACCTGTCCGAACATATTCTCCCCTATGAACCATCAAGAGTGTTAAGATCGTCTGGAGAGGCCCTGCTCTTGGTCCCGCCACTCTCGCAGTCACGTCTGGCGGGAATGAGAGATCGTCTGGAGAGAACCTGCTCTCGGTTCTGCCACCTTCACAGGCGCGTCTGGTGGGAACGAGAGACAGGGCCTTTTCTGTGGTGGCCCCTCGGCTATGGAATTCCCTCCCAAATGAAATTAGATCTGCCCCCTCCCTCATGACCTTTAGGAAGCTAGTGAAAACCTGGCTGTGGAACAAAGCTTTTGCGGAATGATGTCTGAGACCGGCAATCTATTGTCCATATATTGTGGTCAGTAACCGACCAAAGTTACTGATCACAATATATGGACTGAATATTTATTTATTTATTTATTTACTTTACTTGTATACCGCAGTTTCTCAGCCTAACCGGCGACTCAACGCGGTTTACAACAAGGGTAAAATCAGTCACAATATCCAATTTAAAACACAAAAGCACAATATACAGTATTACACAACAATAACAACACAATGCTTCTCATCACTAGAGTCATGATCCAAATGCGTCGTCCATATTTCCATTCCTGTAATCGTCACATTCATTGCACTGATTAACCAAATGCCTGTTCAAACATCCAAGTTTTTAATCTTCTTCGGAACACCATTAGCGAGGGGGCTGATCTTACCTCCATGGAAGGGTGTTCCACAGCCGAGGGGCCATCACAGAAAAGGCCCTGTCTCTCGTCCCCGCCAGCCGCACCTGTGAAGCAGGCGGGATAGAGAGCAGGGCCTCCCCAGAAGATCTGAGGGTCCTGGCGGGCTGATAGGCAGAGATACGTTCGGATAGGTAACTTGGGCCAGAACCGTTTAGGGCTTTAAAGGCCAACGCCAGCACTTTGAATTGAGCCCGGTAACAGATCGGCAGCCAGTGGAGCTGGCGCAGCAGAGGAGTGGTATGCTCCCTGCACTTCGCTCCTGTTAGTATCATGGCTGCTGAACGTTGGACTAGTTGGAGCTTCCGAGCCGTCTTCAAAGGCAACCCCACGTAGAGAGCGTTGCAGTAGTCTAAACGGGATGTAACCAGAGCGTGGACTACCGTGGCCAAGTCAGACTTCCCAAGGTACGGGCGCAGTTGGCGCACGAGTTTTAACTGTGCGAATATGGACTGAGTTGGACACAATTTTATTTTGGCAAATGGTTTTTATGTAATTTATACTATATGTATTTGGTAATTTAATGTTGATGTATTATATTTTAGATTTTTAGTGTTAGCATTGAATCTTTGCTGTTAGCCAGTCTGAGTCCCTCTGCGGAGGTAGAGAAGATCGGGATATAAAAGTTTTAAATAAATAAATAATAAATAAGTCATAGTTATATGTCGTGATTAGTGATTATGATTTCTTTGTTTTACTGCATGTTGGCATAGAATTTATGTCATTCATATGTTGTAAACTGCCTTGAGTCTCCCCAAAGGTGAGAAAGATGGTATATAAATGCAGTAAATAATAATAAATAACGTGAGCTTGTAAAAAAGTTCTCCCAGTGACCATTCATGTTTCTGATCTACAGATCTGTGCTCTCTGAACAATGGAGGCTGCAGCCACAACTGCACCGTGGCACCAGGCGAGGGCATTGCATGCTCCTGTCCCCTGGGCATGGAGCTGGGCAGTGACAATAAGACTTGCCAGATCCAGAGCTACTGTGCCAAGCACCTCAAATGCAGTCAGAAGTGTGAGCAGGACAAATACAACGTGAAATGCTCTTGCTACGATGGGTGGATGCTGGAGTCTGATGGGGAGAACTGCCGCAGCACAGGTAAATGAGCAGTGGGGCTTGCAAGTGGGTTTCATCAATCATCTTGTTGGACAGGGTGAGGCTTCTGAATTTATTTAAGGGTGGATATCAGATAATTAGAGAGCTGCAGTGGGTTAAACCGCTGAGGTTCTGAACTTGCTGACCGAAAGGTTGCTGCTTTGAATCCATGGAGCGGGGTCAGTACCTGCTATTAGCCCCAGCTTCTGCCAACCTAGCAGCTTAAAAACTTGCAAATGTGAGTAGATCAACAGGTACCACTCTGACGGGAAAGTAATGGCGCTCTATGCAGTCATGCCGGCCACATGACCTTGGAGGTGTGTACGGACAATGCCGACTTTTTGGCTTAGAAATGGAGATGAGCACCAACCCCCAGAGTTGGACAAGATTGGAAAACCATTACTTTTACCTTTAGCAAATAGTGGAAACTGGCCTGTCAGTGGGGAAAAAATCAGAGCTTCAGATAAAACTCAAAGGAGTAAGAGCAAGAAACATGTAGCTCTCCAAATGGACTACAGTTCCTATTATCCCTCATTGTCAACTTTATTTCCTTGGACCTCTGGAAGTTGTTTCAGCAACACCTGTGTGGTTACATATTCCCCACTCCTGTTCTAAATGTGTAAAGACTGGTACATTCAAGGGTCTCTCAACATTTATTTACTACTCTAGAATATTGGAGTAGCAATACATATACATACAGTGTTTTTACAGTTTGAACAGCAACAGTCAGACTGTCAGATCCAGGTGGAGGGAGATCCCTTAAACCTACTTGATATGCAGGAAGGGTAGCAGGTCTGTCCAAGGTTCATGCAATTTTGAGAAACTAAATGGAAAAAGGAGTGCAAAAGCAGGGAGTGGGGCGGGGGGAAGCCCACAGTTTGTGTTCTCCATCAGCCAAGAAACACAACAGTGTTCCTGTCCTTTAGGGACTTGTCCTCATTCTGCAATGTTGCAGTTGGCAGCTGCAAGAAAGGCTGCTCTGTTCCCGGTGCCCAAGGGAGGAATCGAATTGGGAACATGAAGGATGTGGAAAACCTTTTTTTAAGATGCATTTTCTTTAATTACAGCAACCTTTTCTTTCTTATCATGAAAAATTGGGAGGTTGAATAACTCCCTCTAGAATATCAAGATCATTTTTTTTACTGCAACCTCACCAGTCTGGATTCAGTCTAGACTATAAGTTCTGGAAGTTGTCGACCAAAAGCATAACTTTTCTTGGTCCTTCACTATGGGTCCTTCCACACAGCCATATTACCCAGAATATCATGACAGAAAATCCCACAATATCTGCTAAATTCCTGTTCAAAACAGATAATGTGGGATTTTATTCAGCTGTGTGGAAGGGGCCCATGCTAGAGCTCTGGACATTTGCCTTTGGGAAACTTCATTAATGCATCACTTGGGTCAACAACGCTCTGTGCACATTTCTCCTTAACATTATTGATATAACATCAAAATGAGAATGAGATACTGATTACAATATCAGGTCAGCATATGGCACCTGTTAGGTTTAAACAAAGGATGGACAAAATGCAAGGATGCAAGATCACTTCCCCTCCAGCTCTAGAGTCTGTTAGGAATAGGCTCTCAGGAATTATGGGAGTTGAAGTCCAAAACACCTGGAGAGCCAAAGTTTGCCCATGCCTGGTCTCTCCCATACTGATTTCAAACCTTTGATTGTATTTGCTTTTGAAACAGGTTCACGTACACACACGTATGTGTGTGTGTGTGTATATAATATATTATTATATTATATTATATTATATTATATTTTTATATATATATATATATATATATATATATAGAGAGAGAGAGAGAGAGAGAGAGAGTATATATACGGGAGTATAAGCCTAGTTTTTCAGCCCTTTTTTAAGACTGAAAAGGTCCCCCTCGGCTTATACTCAAGTCAAGATTATTTATTATTGAATTCTGTTGTTGTTGTTGTTGTTGTTGTTACATTTATCATTTTATTCTATTATTATTATTATTATTATATTGTAATTCTTACATTTATTCTTTTACTCTATCATTACTGTTATTATTACATTTCCATTATATTACTCTATTATTGTTTTTATTACATTTATTCTTTTACTCTCTTTATTACTATTGGAAGGATACACAAGCATGTTTACATTGAAGAAGGCTAGAATAATAGTTTAATCAGAGTGGACAGTCTTATCTTCAATTACGGTTTTATGTAAATATTCAAAAACATTTAGCCTACTGATGCCTCAATTAATATAATTGTATTGGTATCTATTTTTATTTTGAAATTTACCAGTAGCTGCTGCATTTCCCATCCTCGGTGTATACTCGGGTCAATCCATATTCTCATTTCTTTTTGCAGTAAAATTAGATGTCTTGGTTTATATTCGGATTGGCTTATACTCGAGTATATATTGTGTATGTGTGTGTGTATATATATAATTTTTATTTACATACATTAACAGCTTACAGTATAAACAAAACACAAAACAATGAACATTTTACGAACACATAACCCCACCACCAAAGCCTGAACAAATCTTATTTCCTTTGCCATAAATTTATGAGTCAACCAGTAAACAAATGTCATATCCAAAATTTCTGACCATCAAAGTTGTATTGTTTTCCTTATTCACTCTCTAAAACATATTTAATAAAAACCGACCAGTATAAATCAAACTCTTATCTATTGGTTTTCCCCTGAACATACATAACACTTGAATTGCATGTGAAAATGTAATAGCAGAAATAATCCAAAGCTCCCTCTCAATTTTCAGACCCTTTTAAGCCTTTCATCATTTTCTCCAACCGCCATGAGATCCGACGCATTGATTTGCACAAGGGAGATTACAGTGTCTTGGTGCCAGGCCTGCGGAACACCATTGCTTTGGACTTCCATCTGAATCAGAGCTCTCTCTACTGGACCGATGTGGTAGAGGACAAAATATATCGAGGGAAATTACATGAGAATGGAGGTGAGTGCATCATTATGACCATGTTCTTGGATACCTTCATATTTTCCACTGTTTCTTCCAAAAGCATAGTCCTCTTAGAGTAAAGCTTGCTCATATTTCCTCCAAATCAGGACCGTACATATCTTCGCTTTTTTTTTTCCAGTCAACAGATGGGAAAAGAGTGCCTAAAGTTGTTTCTACCCTGACAATGTTCTCCTTTGTCCTCTCACCTTTTACAGAAAAGTCCCAAAATGCAAATAACAGCAACAGAACGATGTCCAAGGTCTCTCTTAATCACATCTAGTAGAAAACTTGATCTGAGTATGTGTGAGAGACAAAACAAAATAAGAGTAATCTTACTTCTTAACTCTACGTGATTTGATGGTGCCTTGGCTTATTTTCTTTTTGATTGTGACAATTGTGATTGTGGAGCTATGATTCTGTTTTTGTTTTGTTTTGTTTTGTTTTGTTAAGCTGGACCGGAGCCGTGGCCAATTGCAACATTAACACCTGCCTCAAACATAGAAGAGTTCTTTCTCCCACCCTGGACATTCCACAGATACATAAATCCCAATTGCCTAGTTTCCAACAGACCTCACAACCTCTGATTATTATTTTTTTGTCATGTCAGGAGCAACTTGAGAAACTGCAAGTTGCTTCTAGTGTGAGAGAATTGGCCGTCTGCAAGGACGTTGCCCAGGGGACACCCGGATGATTTGATGTTTTTATCATCCTTGTGGGAGGCTTCTCTCATATCCCTGTATGAGGAGCTGGAGCTGATAGAGGGAGCTCATCCACCTCTCCCCGGATTCGAACCTGCAACCTGTCGGTCTTCAGTCCTGCTGGCACAGGGGTTTAACCCACTGCGCCACTGGGGGCTCCACCTCTGATGATACCGGCCATAGATGCAGGCTAAATGTCGGGAAATAATGCTTCTGGAACATGGCCTTATAGCAGTGTTTCTCAACCATCCTAGTGCCGCGACCCCTTAATACAGATCCTCATGTTGTGGTGACCCCCAACCATAATATTATTTTCGTTGTTGCTTCATAACTGTAAATTTGCTACTATTACGGATTGTAATGTAAATATCCAATATGCAGGATGTATTTCATTCACTGGACCAAATTTGGCACAAATACCCAATACACCCAAATTTGAATACTAGTGGGGTTGGGTGAGGGGTTGATTTTGTTAATTGGGAGTTGTAGTTGCTGGGATTTATAGTTCACCTACAATCAAAGAGCATTCTGAACTCCACCAACAATGGAATTTAACCAAACTTGGCACACAAAAGTCCCACGACTAACAGAAAATACTGGAAGGGTTTGGTGAGCACTGACCTTGAGTTTGGGAGTTGTAGTTCACCTAGATCCAGAGAGCACTGTGGACTCAAACAATGATGGATCTGGACCTAACTTGGCACAAATATTCAATATGCCTAAATGTGGAGTTTGGGGAAAATAGATCTTGACATTTGGGAGTTGTAGTTGCTGGGATTTATAGTTCACCTACCATCAAAGAGCATTCTGGACACCATCAATGATAGAATTGGCCCAAACCTCCCACTCAGAACCTCCATGACCAATACAATATACTGTGTTTTCTGATGGTCTTTGGCGACCCCTCTGACACCCCCTCGCGACCCCCTCAGGGGTCCCGACCCCCAGGTTGAGAACCACTGCCTTATAGCATGGAAAACTTACAGCAACCTACTGAATATTTCTTACTGCATAATTATTTATTGAACCACAGTTATAGTGGGTGTACCTTCGCAGTGAATTTATCTCTTCTTCCTCCTCCTCCTCCTTCCAAAATCAGTGAATAACAAAATGTGAGCAATTGCTGGGGTCTTACCTTGGAAGCTTCGCATAATGCCCAGGGAAGCTTCATAACTAAATAGGTAACAGATGATCCGCATTGATGAGGAACAAATGCTCGTGGGGACAATTAGATTAGCATTTCTAATCTCTGTGTAGTAATTGGCAGGCAGTTAACTGGAGGCACAGCAGTCTTTCAGCTGCAATCCGATTCAATGAGACATTACCCTCAACAAGGCAGGCAAGTGTTACTAAGTGCAAGGCTCTCTTAAGTGGGAAACCTTTTACCTCCAAATTGCCTGGAAGGTAATGTAAATACCCTCCCCAAATCCTGCTGGTACAAAATCTCAAAGATTTGCTATGGAAGACAACTTTCCTAGTTTCCCGAGAAGAAAGCAATGATAAGCTGCTGATTTTCCTTTGCATTGCCATCATCCCTTCTTTTAACTCTGATTATTTCCAAAAAAGCATACAATCATAAAATCATAGAGTTGGAAGAGACCTCGTGGGCCATCCAGTTCAATCCCCTGCCAAGAAGCAGGAAAATCCCATTCAAAGCACCCCCGACAGATGACCATCCAGCCTCTGGCGAAAAACCGCCAGAAAAGGAGCCTGCACCACACTCTGGGGGAGAGAGTTCCACTGCTGAACAGCTCTCACAGTCAGGAAGTTATTCCTCGTGTTCAGGTGGAATCTCCTTTCCTGCAATTTGAATCCTAGTCTCCAGGGTAACAGAAACCAAGCCTGCTCCCTCGTCCCTGTGTCTTCCTCTTGCATATTTATACATGGCCCTCGTCATGTCTCCTCTCAGCCTTCTCTTCTGCAGGTTAAACATGCCCAGCTCTTTAAGCCGCTCCTCATAGGGCTTGTTCTCCAGACTCTTGATCATTTTAGTCTCCCTCCTCTGGACATATTCCAGCTTGTCAGAGCTTCCAAATTTCTATAGAAAGGGCTAATGGGATTCCACCCTTCCTTTCAGAATATTTGCCCCTTTTCTCTCTTGGTGTTTGATGTTCTTTGATCTTGCCCAACAGATGGAATTAAAAGGGACCTTTGGGATGAGTGAAATCAAGCAGTGTGGAAGGAAAGGGCCTTCTCCATATGAACTGCTACTTCATCCCCTTAGTTGTCCCATTGCCAGCCTCAGAAGCAGCAGCAGCAGCAGCATTCAGTCCTCTGTTAATGATACCTTCTTTATTTTAAATGTGGATCATTATGTGGGTTAATTAGCATTCCTGGAGCTTCCCTAATGGTAATTACAGCCTGGCAGCTGCATCAACAAAGAGTGGAGCCTAACCAGATTAGTGCCTCCCAAAGGCACGAATTCTGGATAACTGGAGACCTTGAGTGACTCTAGCGTGCCCAGAGGAAGCTGGGGAAAATCCAGAAATCTTAGAAATAGGAATCCTCTTGAGTTGCTGTGATTTTTGTAGGTTGTATGGCCATGTTTCAGAAGCATTCTCTCCTGACGTTTCACCCACATCTATGGAAGACATCCTCAGAGGTTGGGAGCTATATTGGAAACTAGGCAAGGGAAGTTTATATATCTGTGGAAGAGAGAACTCTTGTCTGTTGGAGGCAAGTGTGAATGTTATAATTACCGTATATACTCGAGTATAAGCCGACCCGAATATAAACCGAGACACCTAATTTTACCACAAAAACTGGGGGAAAGTATTGACTTAAGTATAAACCGAGGGTGGAAAATGTAGCAGCGACTGGTAAATTTCAAAATAAAAACAGATACCATTAAAATTACATTAACTGAGACATCAGAAGGTTAAATGTTTTTGAATGTTTACATAACACTGTAATTTAAGATAAAATTGTTCAACTCTGGTTCTTCAAGGTGCTTATGTATTCTTCCAATAATAATAGAGTAACATAATAAATGTAATAATAATAATAAGAGAGTAAAATAATGGAAATGTAATAACAGTATTAAAAGAGAAAAATAATAAATGTAATAATAACATTAATAAAGTAAAATAATAATGTAATAACAATAGAGTAAAATGATAAATGTAATAATAATAAATATTTAAAATAATACATGTAATAATAATAATAAATATTGTAAAATAATACATGTAATAATAGAGTAAAATGATAAATGTAATAATAATAAATAGTGTAAAATAATACATGTAATAAAAATAATAATAACAGAGTAAAATAATAAATAACCTTGACTCAAGTATAAGCCGAGAGGAATATTTTCATCCTATAAAAAGGGCTGAAAAACGAGGCTTATATTCGAGGATATACAGTAATCACCTAGATTAGCATTTAATAATCATGCAGCTTCAAGGCCTGGCTGTGTCCTGTCTGTGGGTATCCTTTGTTGGGAGGTGTTAGTTGGCCCTGATTGTTTCCTGTCTGGAATTCTCCTATTTTGAGCGTCGTTCTTTATTTACTGTCCTGATTTTAATGTTCTTGTAGTAGCCAGATTTTGTTCATTTTCATCGTTTCCTCCTTTCTTTTGAAATTGTCCACATGCTTGTTGACTTGAGTGGCTTCTCTGTGCAATCTGACATGGTGGTTGTTAGAGTGGTCCAGCATTTCTGTGTTCTCGAATTATATGCTATGTCCAGGATGGTCCATTGAGTGCTTTGCTATGGCTGAGTTTCCAATACACCTCACAACCTTTGAGGATGCCTGCTATAGATATGGGCGAAACGTCAGGAGAGAATGCTTCTGGAACATGGCCATACAGCCCGGAGAACTCACAGCAACCCAGTGATTCTGGCCATGAAAGCCTTTGACAACACAAGAATCTTCTTGCTCTCATCCATTTGGCCATGGATATCTGGAATCAGGAATCCTATTAGCTTCTCATTGTCTTTGGTCAACCCGCTAGTCTTCTGCCTGAAATAGAGTCTTACTCTGCTACAGTTTTTTCCCCATGGCTAGAAATTGTTGATTGCCCAAGCTTAGAGTTCTTTTCATCTAAATTAAAAACTGGAATGCTGAATGAGCAGCCCACAGATCATATTTTCCATATTCTCTCAGGATCATACTAGCTAGAAGCCCAAGGGGTTGTACAAACACCATGGTCTTGTAATCGGTGCCTGCGTTGAAGGGAGAGCCAAGCATTTCTGAGAGGTGTATATATGCATGCAAGGCTGCAGTCTAGCTGTGAGTAAAATAGGAACAGATGGCAGAAAAGCATCAAAATGTAAACACCTCAGTTAATTCTGCAACATGCCCCTGGAATGAGTTCAGCTGCATAGATTCTTCCTTGGCAAATTTGCCAAGCTGAACTTTTGGCTCTTGCATTGTTGGCATAATTAGAAATGGAAATATATTCTAAGATGTTTTTTAAAGGAAGCCTGGCCTTCTTGGATGAAACTAGTTATTTAGATCCATTCTAACCTGGGTTGACAACTAGTTTGGGGTCTGAAAAAGTCTAGCAAATAGGCTGTGTCACAAACTGGAGAAGAGAGTGCCACCCTGCTGATTTTGCTGGAGCTCTTTTCAGAATTTAATATTATCAGTTATTCTTTTGGAACATTCAGCTGGTATGAGATATGGTAATTCTCCTGCCCTGAATGCTCTAAAGATATATAAACCTCACTTGCCTAGTTTCCAACAAACCTCACAACCTCTGAGGATGCCTGCCAAAGATGTGGGCGAAACATCAGGAGAGAATGCTTCTGGAACATGGCCATACAGCCTGGAAAACTCACAGCAACCCAATTCCGGTCCTGTTCAGCCAAATGTTTCCAAGTTCTGCATTGGCCTATGGCATTCTCCAGGGCTCTGTTCTATCAGTTTTGCTTTTTTAATGTCATATAATGTCCAGATTTTTTTTTTTACTATCAGTGTGCAAAGGAATTTTGTAGCACCTTCGAGACTAACTGAGAGAATGACATTATTAGCATGACATGTTTTTTCTTCTGTGTGATTGCATGAAAGATTTTGACTATGCTTGTTTTATTTTAAAGTAATTCACTTCATGTCTTTGTTGTTTAATTTAGTTTCAGTGTTTTGTTTTTGTGCATTCCCCTGAGCACTCTTGTTGTTACTGAAAGATAAAAAAGAGCTGAATAGACTATTTCTGCCATAGCACTGCTCTACAAGGTTCAGAGAGAAGATATTTCCCCAGTATGTTTTATGTTTACTTGTTTGCAAGAGTAGGGAAATAATTTCAAAAATAATAGAAAGGAATCGAGAACTGTGGAGACATTTTGCTCTGTGGGTTTTCCCCCCTGGAGACTTTTCTTTATTGATACAGATGATAGATACATAAAAGATTAATTGAAATGTAAAAGACATTGCTAGAAGATAATGCTTGCATCTAGTCCGCGGAGCTAAGCTGCAGAACTTGCTGACTGGAAAGTTGGTGGTTTGAATCTGCAGGACAGGGGACGCGGGATGGGTTGAGCTCCCATTGTTAGCCCCTGCTTCTGCCAACCTAGCAGTTCGAAAACATGTAAATGTGAGTAGATCGATAGGTACTACTTCAGCAGGAAAGCGCTCCATGCAGTCATGTTGGCCACATGACCTTGGAGGTGTCTACGGACAACGCCGGCTCTTCAGCTTAGAAATTGAGATGAGCACCATCCCCCAGAGTTGGACACAACTAGACTTAATGTTGAGGGGAAACCTTTACCTTTATTGATGTTTGTAGGTCTGGGATAGCCTCAAGTAGTCCTCCTTCATTAACATCACAGTCATTGCTTTTTTGTATTCTAGTCTCAACTTTCTGACACAAACTATGTCTTGGCCTCTCTATACTACGGTATCATCAGGAGGCAGATACTGGTTGGGATAAAACATGCAAACTACTACTTCATCATACTCAAGAATGAATCTACTTTAAATCCGGTTTCTGCTCCTGCAGAATTCTGGGGTTTGTAGTTTAGTGGGACTGTTAAGGGCTCCTCCCTAAACTACAAACCCCAGAATTTTGCATAAGGCAACAACCGGATTTAAAATGGATTCATTCTCTAATGTGATTAGGAAAGACATTTGAGTGGGACAGAGGCAGTAAGAAAATATAGTAAAGAGGGCAAGTACAGCATGTGGGAAGGACTTTGAGGATAAAAAGGAAATAGAAATATTTCTGAGACAGTGGATTGTTTACTTTTGAAATGGGAAGGATTTTGTATGGTCATTGCCCTTGAGCCTTAAGGCAAATCTCCATAGATAATTCTTCCATGCCCCCACAGTTACTTCTGGTGAAATGATATTTGCACGTTTTTGAAATAATATCAGAATGTCCAGAATCAATTTCTCAAAGGCCAAAGATGGAATAGAGTCCACACTATAAGCAGCAGCCCCACATTCATGTGGCCTTCAGTGTTTGGAGTTGAAATTCAGTTTCTGGTTCCAACTAAAATAAATTCATTAATTGCTTTCAAGTAAGTCAGCACTTTTTTCCTTTTGGGTTGTCATTTCATTTGGATTGTTTCAACATAGGGTTTTCGAAATGAAAAAAAAGTGTTGATTTATTCCTTAGCAGTTAATGAATTGAAATATTTCCAATACCTCAATTCATTTGCTAATCAAAATGCAGACTGGTCAAGAAATCTGAAGAAGACAATAACTTGGAAGTGCAGCTATGAAGGAAGCAAACCGTTACTCAGTTTTAAAAATATGTTTATTTGACTATCAAGGTCAGGATAGTCTATGCCTTTAAATTTCCAGTTTTTACATATGAAGGCTGGATAGTGGTGAAAACTGACAGGAAGAAAGCAACTCATTTGAGGTGTGTTGTAGGAGTGTTTTACAGATACAGAACATCAAAAAGATGAATAGATGGGTCTTATAACAAATCTCCCTGGAAGCCAATATGACTAAACTTTTGAATTTTGGATATATCATGAGAATATATTACTCATGGGTTAAGACAACAATGCTTGGTGAGGTAGAAAGCAGGAGGAAAAGAAGATACTAAAAGAAGTGGCTAGGGTCAATCAAGGAAGCCTAACTGTGAGTTTGCAAGACCTGAGCAAGGCTGCTGATGACAGAATGACTTTAGCCCCATCCACATTGCCCTATATCTCAGGATCTGCTTTAAACCGGGTTAAATGAGTCTCCACTGCCAGATAATCTGGGATAAGCAGATAACCTGGGATCAGATCCTGGGAAAGGGCAGTTTATGGGCTCTCATTCATAGGGTTTCCATGTCAAAACTTGACTTGACAGGAGCTGACAAAAGGTCAACAATTATATATCTATCCCAGTGATGCAAATAGAGAAGACTTGAAGTCATTTCAAGAGTTCATACAGAATATTTTGCTGCCTCAGTCTAAAAAATAATAGAACGCAAATCTTGACTTTGAATTTGAGACTCAGCATATACAACTTTACCAACTCGGTGAGCTTTGACATCTGTTTGGAAAGTACTTTATCAACAGAATTTTCCTAGGAATGGGTTTTTATGATCTAGAGTAGGGCTTGTGGGGCAAATTATTCCACCACAATGTATGAGATTTCCATTATGAGATGCCACCAGTGTTTTGTTCGTCAGGTACATCTCCTTGACTTGCTTCCTTCCTTCTTTCCCCTCCCACAGCACTCACCAGCTTTGAAGTGGTGATTCAGTATGGGCTAGCTACCCCAGAAGGACTGGCTGTGGACTGGATTGCTGGCAATATCTACTGGGTCGAGAGCAACTTGGACCAGATTGAGGTTGCCAAGCTTGATGGGACCATGCGGAGCACGTTGCTGGCTGGGGACATTGAGCACCCCCGTGCTATCGCCCTGGATCCACGATGTGGGTATGTGGTTGAGTACAAAGGGCTGAGGAGCACTGTTGACATTCTGGATGTGGCAGCAGGGCTGGAGATCAGTGGAGGAGACTGAAGCTGCTAGTTTCTTTAGGTTACTGTCCAAATTAGCTTTCTGGCATTCATTGTCAGGTGACTGTCCCATGTTCACTTCCTCATATGGGAAGAAGTAGAGGACTGAAGGAATAATGATGAAATGCTTAAATGCTGTCATAATTTCAGAGAAAGCTGGGCACATGTTGCATTGTGATTCAAATGTTGCAAAAACGACAACATTTTAGTATTTGGAGCTTAATTCAGTATCTGGTCCTATTTATTTATTGTGTCAGAAGCGAATTGAGAATACAGTTATAATGTATCAAAAACCACAAACAAAGTTAAAAACTTGGCATTATATTAAGGACCAGATGCTGAATTGAGTTCCAACTACTAAATGTGCCCAAGTTTTCATGTTTGAAAAAATGAAATTAGGTTTCTGGCTCTGAGGGCTTCAAAGGCATGTCTCAAAATGGTGTGCACAATATTTGGTAGAAGCTTAGAAGTCAAAGGGGCCCTTGAATTGGGGCTTCTTTATGACTCAGTTTATGCCTCCTAACATCAGGGAAGGATCCCCTGGTGGCACAGCGAGTTAACCACTGAGCTGCTGAAATTGCTGACCTAAAAGTTGGCAGTTCGAATCCAGGGAGTGGGGTGAGCCACAGCTTTTGTCAACCAAGCAGTTCGAAAACATGCAAATGTGGGTAGATCAATAGGTACCGCTTCTGGGGAAAGGTAATGGAGCTCCATGCAGTCATGCTGGCCCCATGACCTTGGATGTATCTAAGGATAACGCCGGCTCTTAGAAATAGAGATGAGCTCCACCCCCCAGAGTTGGACACGACTAGACTTAATGTCAAGGGGAAACGTTTACCTTTTAACACCAGGAAACAGATTGGGTGCTCCCTGGAGTCTGTGTTCCTGCTGGAAATTGGTTGCTCATGGAAACATTCACCAGGAGAGAAAGCGACCTTCTGTACCCATCCCCAGGTTGACTGCATTCTCCACAAAGATAATCACTGCGCTCTCTGTCAGAAGCCAATATCTGGGATATCCTCTCATCGGTTTTCTGAGCCTGGCCCACCTGATGGGAAGAAGTAGGGGGGGTTAACCTTGTGCATAAAACCTCTGTGAAGACTGCAGAGATAAGGCATGGCCTTTCTAATAAACTCTTTGCAGGAGTACCTCATGCTGTTTTCTTTAGTTCATATAAAGCTTGCTTTAAAAACAAGAACATACCATAATTTCTGAGGATTGATACCTAATCGTCCGACAAAGGATTATTGTCGTCAATCGTGAATGCTGTTAAGAGCTCAGGTGTTGCAGAAGTAAGGCATTTAGGATCTCATCCTACAGCTCTCTCCTACCATTCAGTGTACATTTCCCTTCTTTTTCTTCCCAGTATCCTGTTCTGGACAGACTGGGATGCCAGCCTCCCACGCATTGAAGCAGCCTCCATGAGTGGTGAGGGTCGGCGTGTCATCCACAAGGAAACCGGCTCAGGTGGCTGGCCTAATGGACTCACTGTGGACTACCTGGAGAAACGCATCCTGTGGATTGATGCCAGGTGTGTGATACCTCTGCTCCAAATATTTTGGGGGGCATGCATGGTGGTTAGATTTTGATTTTAGTAAGCAGTAATTTTGGTCCCTTTCTTTTCCTGAAAGCCAATTACACTGTTTAGATCAGACATGGGCAAACTTCAGCCCTCCATATGTTTTGAACTTCAACTCCCAGTTTTCCAGCTGTTAGGAATTGTGGGAGTTGAAGTCCGAAACATATGGAGGGCTGAAGTTTGCCCACAACCTATTTTAATAATCTACGCCATGATTTCTAGTGGCAACTGCTCTTCCATTGTCGAAGGCTTTCATGGCCGGAATCACTGGGTTGTTGTTGGTTTTTTTGGGCTATATGGCCATGTTCTAGAGGCATTCTCTCCTGATGTTTCGCCTGCATCAAACGTCAGGACAGAATGCCTCTAGATCATGGCCATATAGCCCAAAAAAATGCCTCTAGAACATGGCCATATAGCCTGAAAAACCTACAACAACCCAGTGATTCCGGCCATGAAAGCCTTCGACAATACATTGCTCCTCCAATGCTTTTTCATTTTTCCTAGTTGCTTCATTTTCCTTTTGCCCATATTAGTCGCATGGCTGATACCATCCAAACAGGGTTCACGCAAATGGCATGATATTGCATAGTTAATTAGATAAAAAATGGTATAAGAGAAGTTACTTGGGACTGAAAGTATATTTATTTCTCTTTTTCATTCATACCCCTCCTTTCTCTCAATATGAGAGTCAAAGGTGGCTTATACTACAACAAAGTGGGCAAAGTGTGGCCCACAGACCATGTTAAACTCCCAGGGCAATTCTTGTGGCTCTGTAGGACCCACCACAAGTCAAATAGATGTGCAGTACATGGTAGAAGCTTAGAAGCTAAAGAGAGCCCTGAATCAAGTGTCGTAGCAACAAGACAGATAGACAGACAGTTCAGAAACTGACCAATAGCTAGGCTAACATCAGAACAATTTCAATAAGTAAGCATTTTATCCACATAGTTGCGAATAAAGTGGAATCACTGGGTTGTTGTAGGTTTTTCCGGGCTATATGGCCATGTTCTGGAGGCAATTTTTCTCCTGACGTTTCTCCTGCATCTATGGCAAGCATCCTCAGAGGTAGTGAGGTCTATTGGAAGTAGTAGTAAAGTGGAATCATTTTTTTTCTGTTAAAAACATGCTTAATCAAAGTAGTTTTCCCTACCTGACTGTCTGTTTCAGTATTTTGAGCACAGAAGGATATGGTAATCATAGGGGAATGTGTATGAATACTTTAAATACGAATACTTTAAATATTCTAGGGCACTGTAATACAGCTACCAGAAATGTTTAAAATATCTTTGCCTTGTCATATACAATCCCCAAAGTATACCTGCTACATGCATTCAGTTCCTTTGCTGGATAATAATTACTCTTTTTCTGTCAGTAGTAGACCCCTTGGGCCTGTTGCCTTAGGTAAGCTGTAGTTAGTTTGCTTAGTTAGCTAAACATATTCAGAAGCAAGCCCAAAGCAATGTGCAAAACATAACACACAAAAACATACTCAATCTCTCTCTCTCTATAAATTGCGTGTGTACATGCATGGACACGCCTTAAGGTTTTCTGTTGGCTTATGGTTACCCCCATGAATTTCATAGGGTTTTCTTAGACAAGAATTACCCAGATATAGTTTTGCTAGTTCCTTCCTCTGCTATATAGAGCACATTGCTTGGTATTAATTGGTCTTCCATTAAGTACTATCCAAGGTTTAGGCTGCTTAGTAGGGCTGGGCGGTTTCGTTTCATAATTCGTTAAAAATTCATTATTTTTTTTGATAACGAAGCGATATTGAACCATTCAGGAGCATCTTAAAAACGAAACGAATTTTTCAATTCGTTTCGTAATTGCTTCGTATTTGTTTCGTATTCGTTTCGAAATCGTTTCGAAATCGTTTCGTTATTATTTCCGCATGCCTGGGGAAAGTTTTATAGTTGTTGCTTGTTTAATCAGTGAAAAAAAATTATAAATATCACACCAACAGTCAACAACAGAGGGAGAGGGAAGCTTCAAAAGTTCCCCCTGTCCCATATGGAGGTTTTTTAGCGTATTGCGTGGTCGCGTCCGCCATTAACGAATCAATTCGTATTCGGTTCGTATTGTTTCATAATTTTATGAAATTTCGTAAATATCGAACTTTTTAAAAGAAAAATTTCGGAATTCTTTTAAATATCGAAACGCAAAAAACCCCAAAAAACGAATCGAGTTTAGAAACAAATTTTTCCGTGGTTGCCCAGCCCTACTGCTTAGCTTCCAAGTCATATATAATCTGAGTATTTAAATTTAGGGTATTTATTTTTATTTCTTTATTTACTATATTTATATACCACCATTCTCAGCCCGAGGGCGACTCGGCGGTTTACAAAATGGCACAATTCGATGCCCACAATAATATAAAAACAGTTAAAACATTTAACATAAATAAGATTCAATAAGTAATAAAACCAATAAAAACATAAATCCTCCATGTCTCATTACTAGGACATTATTTAATGTCCTAGGTGCCGCGGTGGCATAGCGGGTTAAACTGCTAAGCTGTAGAACTTGCTGACTGGACTAGGTGAGCTCCCCAGCTTATGCCAACCTAGCAGTTTGAAAACATGCAAATTTGGGTAGATCAATAGGTACTGTTTCATCGGGAAGATAACGGCACTCCACGCAGTCATGCCGGCCATGTGGCCTTGGAGGTGTCTGCGGACAACGCCGGCTCTTTGGCTTAGAAATGGAGGTGAACACCTCCTCCAGAATCAGATACAACTAGACTTAATGTTGAAGGGAAACCTTTACCTTTAATGTCCTATTCATTGAAACCATATACACATATTACAGGTATTTATCCAAAGGTATTTATCACCTACAACTATCCATCATCAGAGTAAACAGCAGCAATTACTACCAAGGCAATTAAAGCTGTCCAGAGACCTATGGAAAATATAAACAATCTTATCTGACACTGTGTATAACAAAGAAAACACCATGTAAGCTTCCTTCAGGGAACTATTCCATAGTGAAGGGAGCTATCACAGAAAAGCCTGCCCTCTCATAGCCACCTTCCAAATATCTCTATATACATGCAATAAAATCTCAAATTTTATTAATTGTTTCCATGGTTACTATTTGATGCATGCAAACATGTGGGCATTTGTATACATGATAACTTCCTTGTCCAGTATACTAAATTACTTGCTTGTTATACAGAATTCTTTGGTAATATTATAAATCCCCTTAATGTATGTGTATTGTTATTGTTGTTGTTGTTGTTGTTGTTGTTGTTATATTTCTTATCTGCCTCTCCTTTAGACTCAAGGCAGGGTACAGCATAGTTAAAAACGCATTATCATAAAACATGTAAAATACATATATTAAAATGCACAGAACAAAATAATAAAATACAATGAACACAGGACATGAGTTTATAGTTCATAGTTAAAAATGGACTGGGTAGGCCCACTAGAAGAGATTGGTCTTCAATTCTAACAGCTGATTTGGTTGTCAGAGTTTTTCTGTCAGGTCATTCCACACTCCTGGGGTGGCCGATGAAAAGGTCTTCTGGGTGATGGTCGCCAGTGTCCTAAGGGTGGATTATATGGGAGAAGGTGGTCCTGTAGGTAACCTGGACCCAAATTGGGTAGACCTAGCATGCGTGCAGATCAAGAGCAATGCAATATGGATATGTCAGCTTTCTTCTTGAAATGACAAACGGAAGTGCTTACCGTATCTATATAAATAAAAATGTAATGTTCGTTTCTGGGATTAACAGAACTCAAAAACCACTAGACGAATTGACACCAAATTTGGACACAAGACACCTAACAACCCAATGTATGTCCTTCACTCAAAAAATTGATTTTGTCATTTGGGAATTGTAGTTGCTGGGATTTATAGTTCACTTACAAAGAGTATTCTAAACCCCACCAACGATGGAGTTGAACCAAACTTGGCACACAGTTCTCCCATGACCAACAGAAAATACTGGAAGGGTTTGGTGGGCAGTGTCCTTTGGTTTTGTGGTTGTAGTTCACCTACATCCAGAGATCACTGTGGACTCAAACAATGATGGATCTGGACCAAACTCTACACAAATACTCAATATGCCCAAATGTGAACACTGGTAGAGTTTGGGGAAAATAGAATCTTGACATTTGGGAGTTGTAGTTACTGGGATTTGTAGTTCACCTACAATGAAATAGCATTTTGAATCCCACCAACAATATCATTGGGCAAACCCTGCACACAGAACCCCCATGTGGGCCACAGCAACGCATGGCAGGGGATGGCTAGTCTATTAATAAATCTGCTTCTAAGCAGACATTCCTAACCCCCATTTCCCCCCTGTATCCCTTCAGACAAATTGTTTTTCCTTGCTTCTTATCTGCTTTACCATGTCTACTATTGCATTGCTTCTCTTTTCTGGTTGTTGAGAAGAGGAATCTATAAAGATATGTTTCCTGTCCTCACACACTGAACATACACAGAGACTCTGTTTAGGGTGACATGCTGGTTTTGCATCTTTTTCCTGGTCAAACCAATAGAGACATTCATTTGTCCCATTCTTCCACAGGTCGGATGCCATCTATTCAGCTCTCTACGATGGCACAGGTCACATTGAGGTGCTGCGAGGGCACGAATATTTGTCACACCCTTTTGCCGTCACCCTTTATGGGGGTGAGGTGTATTGGACTGACTGGCGCACAAATACCCTGGCCAAGGCCAACAAATGGACAGGCCACAATGTCACCGTAGTGCAAAGAACCAACACTCAGCCCTTTGACTTACAAGTCTATCATCCCTCCCGCCAACCTCAAGGTGAGATGTGACAAGGGAGAAAAGAGGATGAGGAAAAAGCCATGGGGACTTCTCTGAAAGTAGAAAGGCAGGCTGTGGTTTGTCTCATTCACAACCTTGAGCTACATTATTTGTTTTTCCAGTTCCCAATCCTTGTGAGGCCAATGGAGGAAAAGGCCGTTGTTCTCACCTCTGCCTCATCAACTTCAACAGCACCTATTCCTGTGCCTGTCCTCATCTCATGAAGCTGGCCAAGGACAATATCACATGCTATGGTAAGTAGAAGGAAGCGCTTTTGTCCTCTTCCCAGTCCCAGAGTACATCTCTAGAGAAGTTAACAGAAATTTGGGACAACACTCCAGTAATATAGCTCGGGTTATGCCTTTCCTTGCTCTTGCTCTTCTTGTCTCATCTGTACTGCAGACAGCTCTAGGTCCCAGCTTCAATCTAAACAGAAGCCCCACATACTGTAGAATTTGAGAAATCAGATCATATGGCATTTCAGTTAGGTCATCTAGGAGTTGGAGGATTTGGTCACAAAACTGCAGCATGGCTTTTGATGTTTTGGAATGAATGTTGCCCAGTGTGTGTGTGTGTATGAATGATTGTGGAGGCTCTTCAGAGGTCTCCTGGGAGGGGACTTCAGTGTCTTAGAAGCTGAAAGAAACCTTTTAACTGTACTTCCTACACCTTTACATTAGACTTTGAAAGATTATCAGAACAAAACAACAGCTATAGTCCACGCTCTGGTTACATCCTGTATAGACTACTGCAACGCTCTCTGTGGGGTTGCATTTGAAGACTGTCCGGAAGCTTCAAATGGTCCAACAGACAGCAGCCAGGTTACTAACAGGAGCAGCACTCAGGGAGCATACAACTCCCCTGTTGCATCAGCTCCACTGGCTGCCAGTCTGCTACCGAGCACAATTCAAAGTGCTGGCTTTAGGCTATAAAGCCCTAAACGGTTCTGGCCCAACTTACCTGTCCGAACACATCTCCTCCTATGAACCAGCTAGGACGTTAAGATCATCTGGGGAGGCCTTGCTCTCGGTCCCGCCTTTGTCACATGTACGTCTGGCGGGGACGAGAGACAGGGCCTTCTCAGTGGTGGCCCCTCAGCTGTGGAATGCCCTTCCTACAGATATTAGCATTTCAGAGGAAAGTGAAGACCTGGTTGTTCGAGCAGGCATTTGAAAAGGTAGTGTAATGAATATAAGAATATGGATCAATTGGATGATGAGACCGGATCTTGATTTTAACTATGAGACGTTAATGAGATGTTTTATTGATGTATAATGATTGTGTATTATGCTACTGTTTTAATTGTTTTTAACTGTTTTATGATGTTTTGAGCATTGAATTTTGCTACTGTTAACTGCTTTGAGTTGCCCGAGGGCTGAGAAAAGCAGTATGCAAATATAGTTAATAAATAAATAAATATTTATCCCCAGTAAAATAAAAATTACATGTAATAGAAATATAATTAAAATATACAGAAACAAACTCCCAATTCTAAGATAAAATTGCTAAGAAATAATCCCTTGGAAAAGCCGGAATACATTAAAAAGAAATATGAGAAACTATCCTAAAATAGATCTGTCTTCTTTGATGTTTCAGGGCCAATGTGGGCGGTGGGGAATTATGGGACAGATTGTATTTGCACCTTTAAATGAGGAATACTGTGATGTGTCAGAATGCCTTGCAAGTTGCAGGTTTTTTTGACACTGTACAGATATACTTAGGGGTATACCATATGCTCTTGCACTGTGATGGCTCCACAAACAAGGAAACCTGCGAACTTTAGATCTGAGATAACACAGCCCAGTAAATAAAAGCTTGCTGTATTGGTTTTTAGGCCTGTTACTGGGGTTTGGGGGGGGGGGGCGGGAGAAGAAGAAATTTAGAAAATTGCACTGGATAGGCCACATAAGCCCTCTTAGATATGGTCATCATGGTTTTCTGTAGCCAAGCATATGGCGCTTGCTAGATGGCATATGTTCTGTATCAACAAAAAGTAGGGGGAAATTGGTGCCATTTTTGGAACCAGCAGTCCAGTATACACAGAAACAGGGTTAAAATTTGAGGCACCAAAATGTGTATTGGCCAGTGTTACTACAGTTCAAATTAAACCATATTCAAACCAGATGCAGCCTACAGAATGAAAAGTGCACAACCACTTTGCATTTATATTGTGCAGATTGCTTGGGTCAGTTATGCATATCTTGGAGTCTTAGAACATGAAAATCAAACTGCTTTATATCTACTGAACTCAAATGGAGTGAAGTTCCCATTGTGTGTACTTGACCTTTGTCTCCTTCCCAGAGTTTAAGAAGTTCTTGCTCTATGCCCGCCAAATGGAGATCCGAGGGGTTGACATTGACAACCCATATTACAACTACATCAACTCCTTCACGGTTCCTGACATCGACAACGTCACTGTAGTTGACTATGATGCCATGGAACAGAGGATCTATTGGTCGGATGTCCGCACCCAAACCATTAAGCGGGCATTCATCAATGGAACAGGCGTGGAAACAGTTGTCTCTGCAGGTACTCCATTATTTTTCTCTGTCCTGTCTTCTCTAGAGCTCCCTCATACTCTATGTTACATTTTGACGTGATCTGCCATATAGAAATAAAACTATTTTATGTCTATCTTACTGGCATTTTTTTTTCTTTTTACTTCTATACCAAGGTTGGGGAAGCTCTGGCATTCTAAATGATAGTAGTATTCAGACTAGTTTTTCAGATGTTTTGGATATAATCGTGAAGTCTGATCTGGCCAGGGTGGTCCATGTCTTAGTCACCTCCAGATTGGATTACTGTAATGCACTCTATGTGGGGCTATCCTTGAAGACGGCTTGGAAATTTCAATTGGTCCAGTGGACGGCAGCCAGGTTACTTACTGGGGCGACTTACAGGGAGCGGTCAATCCCCCTGTTTAAGGAGCTCCATTGGCTGCCGTTCATCTTCCGATCCCAATTCAAGGTGCAGGTTCTGACCTACAAAGCCCTGAATGGTTTGCAAATTGGAAGTCCAAATAACACAGATGTTTGAAAACTACTGTTTTAAAATAAACGAATATTGCCTCTCACCAGACTACCTAGAGGTGTTGAGGATTTGAGCCAACTACATTTGGAGAGACAAATACCCCAACCCTGTTTTTATCTTTTGTGCTTAATAAAGCTAAAGTTCTTGCAGCTTCACTAGTACTGGGAGCTTGGGGAAAGTAACTATTTGAGGTTATAATTTCCAACCTGTACACTACAATTCCAGCCTGTTTACCATCTGCTAGGATTTCTGGGAGTTGAAGGTCAAACCATCTGGGGAGTCACAGGTTGAGAATCTTCCTTCACTTTCTTTCTCTGGGTTTTACCTTTGTCTCCCATTGCATTATTTTCCAGATTTACCCAATGCCCATGGCCTCGCTGTGGACTGGGTGTCAAGAAACCTTTTCTGGACCAGCTATGATGCCAACAAGAAGCAGATCAATGTTGCACGGCTAGATGGATCATTTAAGAATGCCGTGATCCAGGGATTAGACAAACCTCATTGCTTGGTTGTACATCCTCTCAAAGGGTAGGTCTGGGAAGCTCAATCAGTTGGTTTTATTTTGTTTTCTTCCTACCCTTTTCCCAATGTGGAAGCCAAAGTTCTTTACAATATAAGGCAACCAATCACACAGGAGCCTGCTGCTGGTGCAGCAGGTTAAATCACTGTGCTGCTGAAATTGCTGACCAAAAGGTTGGCAGTTTCGAATCTGGGGAGTGGGGTGAGCTCCCGCTGTTAGGCCCAGCTTCTTCCAAGCTAGCAGTTCAAAAATATTCAGATGTAAGTAGATGAATAGGTACCGCTTCTGTGGGAAGGTAACGGCGCTCTATGCAGTTATACCGGCCACGTGACCTAGGAGGTGTCTATGGACAGTGCCTGCTCTTTGGCTTAGAAATGGAGATGAGCACCACCCCTCAGAGTCGGACACGACTAGACTTAATGTCAAGGGGAAACCTTTACCTTTAACATTTAATTGTAAAGTACAGTTTTTACAATTTGTAATACAAAAATGAAGAAAAACAGGCTACAGAGCAGAGATGGATCTTTGTTGGCTGTGAGAGAAATATTAAAAACTTTCACTTCCATTTCCAGATAATCACTTCTTAGCATTTATTCATTTAATACATTGCCTTTCTTCTAGAACAGGACATAGTCTGTTTCTAAGTACAGTATCTTAATCCTAAATTGTGTTTATCCTCATTATTGTTTACTGAATCAAGCCACATTGATGAATCATAAAACTAACCACAGTTGTCCCAGTAAGCATGAATTTCTTTGGATGTGAATGAAACATCTCAAACCTTGTTTTTTCAAGCCTCAGACTTCAAGATAATGCTATAATTTGAGCACTGTAATTGATTCTATTCTTCCTTGCCTTATCTTATCTTATCTTAGCAGTAGATAGTACCTGAACACAGCCTGAGGAACCATACAATAAAACACAGGTTCCATTCCTCCGAATTGTTACTATTTATGCTGCCCATGTTTAAAGGCACATTAATATTTGGTGGCTGAGCCCTTATCTCTTGGCATCCCTAAGCCAAGGGAAGTGTGGATGTTGCAGCTGTACCAGGACGCTGTTCTGGAATGAGCTGAATGGAGCCCAAGGGACATGCCTAAGTGGATTTCCTTCATTTCTAAGCCCCTTAACCAGCTTTAAAATATTCAAGGAGAGACACCGCCTTTCCCTGCCCTCAATTGGTACATAGCCTGACCATAATGGCAGTAATCATCTTAAAAGGGCCGCACTGAAATTTTTGACTTCTTTTATGCATTTCAAATCCTCTTTCTGAATAATGGAAAGAGATTTCCTGGCTCTAAAAGAGGAAGCCCGTGATCTGAAGAAGAAGTTAATCTGAAGTGTTTGAGAATGTGTAAAGCTTGGGAAAGTTACATTTTGGAGTACAACTTCCAGAATTCCCCAACCAATGGGCCTTTCTGTTGGAGAATTCAGAGTGTTGTAGTTGAAAAATACATTTTCTAGGCTCTGAGAATGTTTTGGGACTCTGTGTCTGCTGATTTAGGACAGATTGTTTGAGAAGGGAGAGCTTGTTGTTTCAGCAAGAGTCCTTCTCTCGACACAGCTAAAAACCAAATTCATAGTAATCATATTTGACATTTATATCACGGCTTTTTTTGCCTGTAAAATGCCTGCTTGATCTTCCCATACCTCACTACAGTTATTTTTGTTTTTGGTTATTCCTAGTCTATTTATTTCTCCAGATTAACTCAGGCTCAATCTACACTAATAATAATAATAATAATAATAATAATAATAATAATAATAATCTTTATTTATACCCCGCCACCATCTCCCCAGTGGGGACTTGGAGCAGCTTACATGAGGCCAAGCCCGAACAACAAATTACAATAAAAATAAAACCAAAACACAACCGAAAATGCAAACAGTAAAGAGCAACATCATAATAAAACAAAACATGTAAATACATAACAATATAAAGTTACAACAGACGCAATCACAATGACAATGGGCGGGCTGCATGTAATGATTAAAAGACAGACTAATTAAAACTACCATGTAATCCACATTATTAAAGCAGATAATCCTAATAATAATAATAATAATAATAATAATAATAATAATAATAATAATGACAATAACAGCAATAATAATAAGCCAGTAAAGGTGGTCCCAGTGGTGATTGGCACACTGGGTGCTGTGCCTAAAGACCTTGGCCTGCACTTAAACACAATCGGTGCTAACAAAATTACCATCTGCCAGCTGCAGAAGGCCACCTTAATGGGATCTGCACGCATTATTCGACAATACATCACACAGTCCTAGACACTTGGGAAGTGTCTGATGTGTGATCCAATTCAACAGCCAGCAGAGTGTCTGCTGTGGACTCATCTTGTGTTTCAAATTATTATTATTATTATTATTATTATTATTATTATTATTATCATTATCATTATCATTATCATTATTATTATTATTTATACCCCGCCTCCATCTCCCCAAAGGGACTCGAACCAGTTAACATGAGGCCAAGCCCAACAATTACAACAAAGCAAAAGAATACAACATAGAATAATAAAATAATACATTGAATAAAATACAATAAAATACATCAAAGAAAATAATGAAAAATAAACACAAAATATAACATAAATAACAAAAACATTGAACCAAGTGGATAGTGCCAAATACGACGGATAAGATCTTTAAAATCCTGGGTGAGATGGAAGAGTAGGGAATTATCTACTTTGAACTGCATTATATGAGTTTACACTGCTATATAATCCAGTTGAAAGCAGATAATCTGGATTTTATGTGACAGTGTAGAAGGGGCCTCAGATGCTGAGAAAGCAACCTAGGAGCAGGGGCATTGGTATGGGACAAGGCATGGGAATGGAAATGGCTAAGCAGAGAATGACATTTCCAATTGTCTCTTTTACACAGAAAGCTCTATTGGACAGATGGGGACAACATCAGCATTGCCAACATGGATGGCAGCAATCGAAGTCTGCTCTTCACAAACCAGAAAGGACCTGTTGGTATGAAGTCAGAGTCATCCTACTATATCTACCTTTATCTTTTTGCACTTTGAAAGAGGGAGCTCCCGGTGGCCCAATGGGTAAACCCTTGTGCCAGCAGGACTGCTGATCAAAAGGTCAGCGGTTCAAATCTGGGGAGTGGGGTGAGCTCCCGTCTGTCAGTTCCACCTTGTCATGTGGGGACATGAGAGAAGCCTCCCACAGGATGGTAAAACATCTGGGTGTCCCCTGGGCAAGGTCCTTGCAGATGGCCAGTTCTCTCACGCCAGAAGTGACTTAAAGTTTCTCTAGTCACGCCTGGAAAAAAAAACTTAGAAAGAGGTCGGTATCCTAGTTTCTCAGCATTTCTCTATATCTGGAGGCATAACTCATGACTTAATTGCCTCTTTTAACCTTGTTGCTATTCCTCTAAATCAGATGTGCCCAACTTTTGGTCCTCCACTTGTTTTGGATTTCAACTCCCAGAAATCCCAGCCAGTTTACCAACTATTAGGAATTGTGGGAGCTGAAGTCCAAAACATCTGAAGGACCAAAATTTGGGAACCACTACTCTAAATGCTATAACTCTTGGCTTGGTCATGAATCTAGGATTGTTTCTGATATTTGGAATGGCCTTGAGCCAGACTCACATAACTCATTACATCTGTTGTCTGGTACTTCTGAAGAAATAGTAATGTCCTCAGATAGCTCTTCCTAATATTTTATTTGTGAAATATTATAGATAGCATGATGAGCTACAGGATGCAAATCACTTTTCCAAAGCACCTGGAAGCAGAAAGGTGTATTCATATTTTTAAATTGTTTTTAGTCTCTATATTTTCATGAAAGAATGAATGTGCTCCTGAAACCTTGAAGGCAAAGGTTGGATATACACTGCTGTGTAATCCAGTTTCAGAATACAGATTAATTTATTTGAATTGGATTATATGTGTCTACATTAACATATAATCCAGTTCAATGCAGTTAATTTGCATTCATGGCTCTGTAGATGGGACCTAAGTAATTTTGAAGGCAGCAACTATTTACCTTATTTGTTATGTTTTAGGCTGAGTTGGGAGAGTATGGATACAACCACCATTTTCCTTTCACAAGCCCATATAAAACAAACATTGATCCGATCCTGCCGTGCCTCCTCTAATAACGACTCTTTTGTTCCAGGGCTCTCCATTGATTACCAGCAAAGCAAACTATACTGGATCAGCTCTGGCAATGGTACCATCAACAGGTGCAACTTGGATGGTAGCGGCTTGGAAGTGATAGAGAACATGAAGAGCCAGTTGCGCAAGGCCACCGCATTGGCAGTTATGGGTAAGGGACAACTCCCAGGGTAGACATGTTTCTATACAGCAGGTTTTAAAAGCAAGAATTGGAAAGAGGTCCTATATATCTATGAGGAGGAATATAAATCTTCACTTATTTAGAGAGGCATGCAAAAATTGCATCATTTCTGGAAATTATCCCTGTTCAGGTCGATTGCAAGCGTTTTTGCACATTTTTAATTTTTTCAAAAATGCAGTGGTGACTTTTTGTTAGAAACAAGGATAGGGTTTTTGTGTGTGTGGAAAATAGCACATCTTGCAAAAAATATAAAAGATAAGGGAGATTATAATGTGTTTTTAGTGCAAAAAATTAAAGAGAAAAAGAGTCACTGACTGTAAAAAATGGTTAACCCTTTTTTGACTCCATGTGCCAAGACACCACCTCTCATTGGGCAGGATAACATTTATTTACAAGTAGTCTTTGCATTTGTCTGTCTAGGTGTTTGTTGTATGTGGAAGGAGCAAGAATAAGCAAATGATTTCACATTTGAAATACGCAGTCTGCATAAATGCCACTTTGATCCATCCTTCTGTTTTTGAGAGCTGGATTTAGTTTCTAGGAAAATGCTATTGTACCCATGTTTTCTAAGTGTTGTTCTTTATTTACTGTCCTGATTTTAGAGTTTTTAAAATACCGGTAGCCAGATTTTGTTCATTTTCATGGTTTCCTCCTTTCGGTTGAAATTGTCCACATGCTTGTGGATTTCAGTGGCTTCTCTATGTAGTCTGACATGATGGTTGTAAGAGTGCTCCAGCATTTATGATTGGTCTTTCTGTTGCTGTTTCTTAGCTGCTTACTCCTAGGTGATTACCTATGTCAGTACTTCATGTTTATTCTTCTATCTAACCCAGATGATAAATTGTGGTGGGCTGACCAAGCCTCAGAAAAAATGGGCACCTGCGACAAGAAGGATGGGACAGAAGCTGTTGTGCTCCGTAACAGCACCACACTAGTCATGCACATGAAGATCTATGATGAGACCATTCAACAACATGGTAAGCTCTTGGAGGCCCTGGGTCATAATGGACAGCAGGATTGTCCTTGGTGCAAGGAAAGGTTGTGGAGAAGCGGGGAACTGAATTTTGTTCAACCTCACAGGAGAACAGTCATTAGTGTAGCAGTCACGGGGTTACAAACATATGACTCAGAAAATGTCCTCAGAAGCACTTTATTTTCTTGATGTGCAATTAAATCCTACCTCACCCTCCGGAGCCCCACCTTGATATTTTATATTGCCCTATGTCCGAGTGTTTTAAAATTTTAATCCTTGAATCTGGCCCTGCCCTTGGTGATCATTTTAATGTCATAATATTTTGATTTTATATTGTTGTGTCGCTTACATACATTGGTTTTGTATTTTAGGTTTTTTTTTAATTTTCTGTTGTGTTTTTATGTTATATTGTGTATAATTGTATTGATGGGCTTGGCCTCATGTAAGCCACCCCGAGTTCCCTTGGGGAGATGGTGGTGGGGTATAAATAAAGTATTATTATTATTATTATTATTATTTGAAACACAACAAGATGAGTCCACAGCAGACACTCTGCTGGCTGTTGAATTGGATCACACGTCGGACACTTCCCAAGTGTCTAGGACTGTGTGATGTATCGGTGAATAATGCGTGCAGATCCCAGTAAGGTGGCCTTCTGCAGCTGGCAGATGGTAATTTTGTCAGCGCCGATTGTGTTTAAGTGCAGGCCAAGGTCTTTAGGCACTGCACCCAATGTGCCAATCACCACTGGGACCACCTTTACTGGCTTGTGCAGTTCGATCTTTAAATCCTCATTTTGTGTCAGCTTTTCCTGTTGCTTCTCTGCAATCCTGTCAACTGGGATTGCAACATTGTTTGTTTTTAACACGATTGTGAGATCAGGGGTGTTGTGCTCCAGAACTCTGTCTGTCTGAATTTGGAAGTTCCAGAGGAATTTGGCATGTTCATTCTCTGTAACTTTTTTTCGGTTTGTGATCCTACCAGTTCTTTGTCACAGGCAGATGGTATTTGTGGCACAAGTTCCAAATTATTATTATTATTATTATTATTATTATTATTATTATTATTATTATTATTCGCAGTTAAGAGTTGGAGTGAGACAACAGGAAGTGAGATAATTTTAACCCTAAGAAGAGAAAATTACTCCTGAAAGAGTCATCATGGGGAAAAGATTTATCACCAGTTTCTTGTTTCCACAACAACTCAAAATTTTCAATATCCTATTGTCACAGGAACAAAAAAGTGAGGTGAAATCTCCTGAACAGGGACACATGAAGCAACACAAACACCACAGAAGTGTGAACCCTTCCCTATGTAAACCAAAGCATGCATGCACACACACACAGCTGAAGTTATTTTTAAAAATGTACCTGTTCCAACTTACATGCAAATCTAACTTAAGAACAAACCTAAAGAACCTATCTTGGAGTTTGGTAGTGTTTCAGTAATAATAATTCTTGATTATACCACATGAGATTTATTATATCCTTTAGCTGTCTTCCTGGCTCATCCATAATGTCAGCCTACATTTGATTGTGATTTGAAACAGTCATCCATGTGACAACAAAATGAAGCTGAACCTAGAGACTGTGTGACTGTGCTTGATGATTCCTTTATTGTTGTAGGTAGCAACCCGTGCAGTGTAAACAACGGTGATTGCTCCCAGCTCTGCCTTCCGACTTCAGAGACAACTCGTTCCTGCATGTGTACAGCTGGATATAGCCTGAAGAGTGGGCAGCAGTCCTGTGAAGGTGAATAATTGTTTATAGCCTTCAATAGTTTTTGTGGCCTGCAGCAGTTTTACCCCCATTTCTGGGGTGTTTTGGTGGTCTGAATACCCGAGTGAAGTGCCACAGCTCAACCAGTTGACTACTGAAAGTTCAGAGCAGCAGAGCAATGAAACTATAGATTCTAAAGACAGTTCTGTAGCCAGGCATTGTAAAGGACGCATTTTTTTTTCAGATGGATAGGTATTCTGTTGTTTTATATCAGTAATGACAAAATCAGAGGTGCCACACAAAGATAGCCTGTCTGAGCCCCCCCCCCCCCCCCCCCCCCCCCCCGAAATGTGGGGAAAGATCTCTCTCCCCTACAGCCACATACCACATGGCTATGGTATACATACCTCTTGGCTATAGTGTACGATTTTTGGATTATGTGATTTTAATATTTAAACTTGGATGATTTTAATGCTTTGTGTGAATGTTTAAAATTTATGTCTTATGTTGAATGGTTTTAATGATTTAAAGTTACAGTTATAGGTAGTAATTAGTTGTTATGATATCTTTGTTTTACTATATGTTGGCATTGAATTTTTGCCATTAGTCCCCCCAGGGCCTTGAGTCCCCCCGGAGGGGAGAAAAGTGGTATATAAATACAGTAAATAAATAAATGATACCCAACTTTGGACAATGCACATGTTTCTTTAGATACCTATTGTTTCATATGAGACATGTTTCCCAAGAACTATTTATCTTCAGAATATGTTATACTTTTTGGTAAATGGGGAAGAAACATAGAGCTTACACCTTAAAAGAGTCAAAGTCTTTGTATACTAGCTGCATTTGGCATGCTTTTGTATGTTTACGAAAATAATCCTTATACGTGCAAAGTATTTTAAACATCACAGTAACATTATTAGGTGATCCAAACTTTTGGCACTGTCCCACACTTGGTCAAACTATTAATATATTACATTCCAGGTTATTTGGTCAGCCTGGTAACTTTTGGAAAGGCATGTGATCATAAACTTTTAGAAAAGCAAAATCTCCATAACCTTTTGGAGAAAAATGGCATTCACAGCCATTTGAAAACCATAACCTTTTGTAAAAGTGTTATCTTCCAGTGGTATATAGCCACATGTACTTTCCAAGGCAATTCGGTTTTCAGTTGTTAGACTGATAATCTGATTGTCTCTGATCTGTTGGGAACAAAGATTATGCCAATGCACAAAATACAGCGGTTCTTCAGAAGTGTTCTTTTCAGTACCTAAAAACATTTACTCTCCCATAAAACATCTAGTTTCTAATATCATACTCTCAAGAGACAAAAATAAAGTAGACTTTGTTGAAAGTAACATATTTGGCCTACTCACAACCTTCATGTATTCAGCATACGGGTACATGACTTGTCAATCCAGTTACAGATAGATTGGAAGTGGTTTCTGTGTGCAGATAACACAGGGCATCTTTCTTGCAATCAACACAACATGAGCTTCATCTTAACAGTCCAAAGTCTAATGGTGTCTCTGTGTTCTAAAATGGAGTCTGAGATCTCAGAGCTGATCTTGTGGTCTGCGGCCCCTCCCACAATCTCAAGAAACATAGAGTAAAGGGAAAGCTGCATACCAAAATATACCTATATAATATAGTAAACAAACAGGATCATATACAAAAGAAATTACTAGTAGAGGCTTGGAAAAGTTTGTTATTTCCAACTGTAACAACTCACCAAAGCTTCATGCAGCTACTATGCTCTCTGAGCTTTTTTTAGTAGGGCTTGAACCCAGCCATGAAAATTGTGGGCTCACTTGTTGGCCCATAGCAATATCTCCCCTTTCTTCAGTATGCACTTACTCAGACTGAAAGCATTGGTCCACCTAGCCCTGTCTTATCTATTACAGATTACACCAACCTTCCTAGAGCACCCCCTCATTTCTGGATCTTGAATGTGGTTAGTTGGATTTACAGGCCAACAATATCCTGAGGAAACAAGGCTTCAGAAAGTTGATCAACCGTATCTAGCATAGTTCTATTCCTGATTTTTTGATACTGAAAATATAGATACTGAGAATGGATACTAAGGTCATCTGTGTAAAGAAGGGCTGGGAAATATTTGGATTTCCAGATATTCTACATTTCCAGTCCCTGTCAATCCCTTTCACCATTTGGCTAGTGGTGAATGAAGATGGGAGTAGTGGTTGGCCAAGTGCTAAAAGACTATGTGTCTCTTGTTCCCAGTGCAATGCTTGTCCTCTATCACTAGGGTTTGTCCCCTTCAACATGGTCTGTGCTCACACTCTTTGATTATGTCTTCTCTCCATGCAGGTGTTGGCTCTTTCCTCCTCTACTCTGTGCATGAGGGCATCCGGGGCATCCCACTGGATCCCAATGACAAGTCTGATGCCTTAGTCCCAGTCTCTGGAACTTCCTTAGCTGTTGGCATTGATTTCCACGCTGGTAGGTGACAAACACATGGAGTTTGCTATAATCCTCTCTCTTGAGCCTTTCGGAGGGAGAGAGTTAGAAGGATAGATCCCTGAGGCAGGAGGGGTTGGGGCATATGTGTGATTTATATATGCTGTTTGTTGTCGCAGAGAGATTGCTCCCCTCGCCTTAAATTTAGATAGCATCATTCTGAGCTTTTCCCCCCACCCCTTCTCTTCCTCCTTCAGCTAATGATACCATATATTGGGTGGACATGGGCCTGAGCACCATCAGTCGGGCCAAGAGGGACCAGACCTGGAGAGAGGATGTGGTGACCAATGGCATTGGCCGGGTTGAAGGCATTGCTGTTGACTGGATTGCAGGTACAACCATGTGGAATTATAACCAGTCAGAGGTGGAACTGGAGAGCTAGTCAGTGTCCTGCAGAGAAGGGATGTGTGGCTCAACAGTCAATTGTGCTTCTCTTCCCCTTCAGGAAACATCTATTGGACAGATCAGGGCTTTGATGTCATTGAGGTGGCCAGGCTCAATGGCTCCTTCCGTCATGTGGTGATCTCACAGGGACTGGACAAGCCACGTGCCATCACCGTGCACCCCGAAAAAGGGTAAGGATCAGCTGCGGAGGGTGGGACTCCAGTATTACAGGAGAAATGACTGCAACAGGAGCAAGCTATCTCTGTGAGCAAAGCCTTGTGGGTTGGAGCTGGTGAAAGATGAGAGTCTAGAACAGTGGTTCCCAACCTGTGGTCTGTGGACCACCAGTGGTCCACAAGAATGAAAATATGATCCACGGTATCACCATTACAACACCGTTGCCTTGAAACCACGTGGCAACAAGAGCCACTGGTTTCACGAAATCTACTTATAGTGCTGAGGCTACAGGGATGTTGAGAGGGGAGAGTCTGACTACCCACGAAAGATTACTACTACCACATCAGCTCTAGATTATTAAATATGTTTTTCTGTGGGTGAGCAGATGGTGACTTCATGGATGGCATATGTTTTGTATCAGAAACTAGAGCTGATGTGGTCTATCCAGTCCGATTTTCTTAATCAGCACCCCAAATAACTAAAGAAAATCTAAAGTTGACTAAAACTTTATTTGTAACCCTTTTGGTACTAATGTTTATTTACAACATGTTGGAGAGTGGTCTCTGATCAAAGTGGTCCATGTTCAAGTGGTACCTGTTCAAAAAAGGTTGGGAACCACTGGTCTGGATTATTGCTTTCAGATATTGCAGGCATGTTCGGGTCCACTTGGTCTGTTCCAGGATCCCAGGGAGGGTGTAATCACTGACCACGTGTCTGTTAAATTCCTGCTGTAGACAGTGGCCTAAATCCAGTTGTAACTTTCATTAAAGAGTAAATTCACCAAATCAATTGTTGAGTGATACATCAATGCTTAGATAAATCCTATTGCTAGTATGGCTTGTGACTATCAATTAGATATAGTCCCACATTTTTCTGGTCTATAGCCTTAGGGTTTGATCTTCTAAAATATGTAAGTGTAGGGAATTGGATTGGTCTTAGAGACTGGGTTAATTGCAGCCCAATTTGAATGGCCAGATGACATCAATGGAGACATCTCTGTAGAAGTCCATTCCCCAGTCCAGATTGGATGGTTTAATTAAATTAGATGCACCTTCTTGTTTCCTTTAGGTATCTTTTCTGGACAGAATGGGGCCAGTACCCTCGTATTGAACGTTCTCGGCTGGATGGGACTGAACGTGTGGTCCTTGTCAATGTTAGCATCAGTTGGCCCAATGGCATCTCGGTTGACTATGAGGTATGTTTCAGAGGCAGGAGGTGAGAGAAATAGCAAGGGCTGGGAAAGTCCCATGCCATTTAGGGTGTTAAATGTCCTCACCAGCACTCTGACTTCAGATCAGATGTTCTTTCATCCTTCTGCAGCGTCAGTTTCAGTTTACTCTGTGAATCTTGAGTATATTGTATAATTCATACAGCTGGCACATTATCTGTATTATCTGTATGTATTCTCTCTTACTTTAGGAGGGAAAGCTTTACTGGTGTGATGCCCGGACAGATAAGATAGAGCGCATAGACCTGGAGACTGGTGACAAGAGGGAGGTGGTCCTGAACAATAACAACATGGACATGTTCTCCGTTTCAGTTTTTGAGGATTACATCTACTGGAGTGATAGGTCTGTATCTCATGTTTCTAATTAAGAGCAAAAGCTGCTATAGTAGAAAAAATGCTAAGATCAAGCTTTGCAGGAGCTGTTTTGATTCTTTGGGTTTTTGTATGACCAAGTTATGCTCATCCTGTTTGGGCATTTTCTGTCCTCAATTGAGTCCTGTGGTATATGACACATGCTTTATGGTATATGACACACTTATACAGATAACTGTGCCTCTTTTTTAGGACTCATGCAAATGGATCCATTAAGAGAGGCAACAAGGAAAATGCTTCAGAAATTGTGCCTCTGCGCACCGGAATTGGGGTGCAGTTGAAGGATATCAAGGTTTTCAACAGAGCCAGGCAAAAGGGTAAGTGACACATGCACTAGCTGCCCACTTCACTTACAGTCATAGAAACAGGCGGTAAATTAAGATAAAGCTAATAGGTTGTTAGGGGGTATGGTGGCTTTAGTTTGTAGGGGTTTTTAATTGGTTTTAAGGGTTTATTTTTAATTAATTTTAATACAATTAAAAATAACAGTTTATTTTTAATTGTATTGGCATTACTGTAAGCCATTTTGAATCTCTTTTTAGAGAGAAAAGCAGGGTGTTAATAGTAATGATAATGATAATGATAATGATAATAATAATAATAAAGATACAACTGCAAAGACTCTAGCACAAGCCAGTAATGGTGATCCCAGTGGTGATCGGCACATTGGGTGCAGTGCTTAAAGACCTTGGTCTGCACTTAAACACAATCATTGCTGACAAAATTACCATCTGTCAGCTGCAAAAGGCCACCCTACTCGGATCTGCACACATTATTCGCCGATACATCACATGGTCCTAGACACTTGGCAAGTGTCCGACATGTGATCAAATACAAAAGCCAGCAAAGTGATGATCTTTGCTGTGTACTAATCTTGTAGTGTATCAATGTATTATTATTAATAAATAATAATAATAATAAACTAGCATATAAATCTTGTTTGCTGTGTCATACTGTGTTTTTGTGTCAGAATGATAATGATGATGATGATAATAATAATAATAATAGTCTCCCTCCTGCATCCCTTCTCCAGGTACCAATGTTTGTGCTCAGAACAATGGTGGATGTGAGCAGTTATGCCTGTACCGAGGAGGAGGCCAGCGTACATGCGCATGTGCGCATGGCATGCTCTCCGAAGATAGCGTGAGTTGCCGTGACTATGATGGGTACCTGCTCTATTCAGAACGCACCATTCTCAAGAGTATCCACTTGTCAGATGAGAACAATCTGAATGCACCCATTAAGCCTTTTGAAGATAGTGAGCACATGAAAAATGTCATTGCCTTGGCTTTTGACTACCGCCACGGCAGCAAAGGCAGCAACCGCATCTTCTACAGTGATATTCATTTTGGCAATATCCAGCAAATCAATGATGATGGGAGCGGACGCAGAACCATAGTTGAGAGTGAGTACTTGGATGCCCCCTCTTCTTGATTCTTTGTTCTTAAACTGTCTACTTGGTGTGAAAGAGAGCCACCGGATTTCATTAGTTCTTTTGGTTGTAGTTTTTCATCCAGATTCTATCCATAGGATACTTCATTTAGGTGTTATTGCTCCCTGTAGGATTAAATCAGTTTGACTACCCAGAGAGACTGTTCATTATGAAGGGGAGAGACTCTCCAAGGCTTAAAATCTTATGGCAACAGTGGAAAGGGCCATAACTTGGATAAATTACTTGTCTGGATTGCAACTACCAGACTTCTTTACTCAACAGCTTTGCTTGCTGGGAGATTCTGGTAGTTCTAGCAGTTTTCCTATTCCCCTGAAATGACTTCATAGCCCTATTGAAGAAACATAACATTCACTAGGCAAAATATAGGAATATGTTTAACTGTTTTTGTACCTCTGGCTTGATAAAAATGCCTTAGTGTCTTCTGAAACACACATGCATGTGGATTTTAGCACCCAAAAAGTAGATAATCTGGATTTTATACGGCAGTGTAGAAGGAGCCTGAGTGATAACTCTTTTAATGATGCAGTTGAACAATTTGATTGCATGTATATTTACTGTATATCTTTCAACCTGGATTATTAATTCCAACCTAAAGTAGGATTTCCCTTGCTGAGCCTTATTCCATTCTTAAGTGGACTTGGGAAGTGGATCACACTCTTCCCTATGTTCAAATCTCACTAAGAGAAGAAAACGTATCATTAAGCTATTGCAGTAGGTATGAGATCAATGCTTTCTTACATGTTCCCAAAGGTCCCTTCCACACAGTCATATAACTAAGAATCTCAAGGTAGATAATCCACAATATCTGCTCTGAACTGGGTTATTTGATTCCACACTGCCTTATTTATTTATTTATTTATTTATTTATTTATTTATTTATTGTGTCAGGAGCAAACCAAACAATTGTATTGCATTTTTAACAAACAAACAAAACACGAAGTTTGCAAGCTTGGTAGTTGATTGAATGTCCTTTGACCAGTAGCTTGACATTTTGAGTGCCTCTGGTGTTACTATAAGGAGGTCCTCCATTGTGCAGGGCTCAGGTTGCATTGCAGTAGATGGTCTGTGTTTGCTCTTCTCCACATTCACATGTTGTGGATTCCACTTTGTAGCCCCATTTCCTAAGGTTGGCGCTGCATCTCGTGGTGCCAGAGCACAGTTTGTACGACGCCTTCCAAGTCGCCCAGTTTTCTGTGTGCCCAGGGAGGAGTCTCTCATTTGGTATCGGCCATTGATTGAGGTTCTGGGTGTTAGCCTGCCACTTTTGGACTCTCGCTTGCTGAGGTGTTCCAGCGAGTGTCTCTGTAGATCTTAGAAAACTATTTCTTTATTTAAGTCGTTGACATGCTGGCTGATACCCAAACAGGGGATGAGCTGGAGATGTCACTGCCTTGGTCCTTTCACTATTGGCTGCTACCTCCCGGCAGATGTCAGGTGGTGCAATATCAGCTAAACAGTGTAATTTCTCCAATGGTGTAGGGCACAGACACCCCGTGATAATGAGGCGTGTCTCATTAAGAGCCACATCTACTGTTTTAGCGTAGTGAAATGTGTTCCACACTGGACATGCCATATAATCTAGTTCAATGTGGATTTTTTACAGTTGTGTGGAAGGAGCCAAAATAGTGTCTTGAATCATTGTGTCATGAATCATTATGTCTGTTCTGCTCTGACTCAGTCCCAGTTGTTGGAAGTTGGAGGAGAGGGGGCTAGATAATGCTGGGCCAGGAAAGTCCTATTCTGCTTGGATCCGAATGCATGACAAACAAAAGAAAAAGGTGCACTTTCTCAGAAAAGCAGAGGCAGAAACCCAGGAGGAGAGGAACTATCTTTTGTCCACTCAATGAATCAAGTTCATTGGAGGTCCAATAATAATAATAACTTTATTTTTATACCTTCCCTCCATCTCCCCGAAGGGACACAGGGCAGATCTCATGGGGCCAGGACTGATCAACACAGTTTAAAATGTAACACATTAAAATGCATAACAACAGTATAAAACAATGTATAAAACTATGATTCTATGAAAACAAAATAAAACACCAACATTATAACAATATATAAAAGAGGCATCAAAACCAACAACCAATAACAAATTCACTTTATCGTCTCAGGTGGGCAGACTGGTGGAACAATAATTTAAAGGATAGGCTAGTGAATAAATATGCATAGGTCATATGGCAGCAGTAAGGATAAGAGCAATAATAAGCAGGACATGCATGCAAAGTTGCTGTGCCACTGAAAAAGAAAGTGTGAACAACAGGGAGAAAACTGGCAGGAACTGAGGATAAGGTCTTCAAGCACAGATAAGGCTTGAAATCTCATTGGAGGACCCAAAATCTTGTCCTCACACTTTTTTCACCCTCCTCCGTTAGAAAATTGGACACTTCTTGAACCAACATTCAACCTGTCCCTCTATAGAGCTGTATATGAAAGTCACTACTCAGTCTGTTCTAGTCTTCTATCCCCTCCCACTTTCCTCCTTGCCTTTGGACTTGTGTATGTAAATTAGAATTACAGCAGTGAGTTTAATGAAATTTTAAACTGTTCTGTGCTCGAGGGCATTGCTTCTTATGTTCCTGTTTGCATTGCTAATGCATATGGCGGAGCCATACTTCCTATCCCCACCCGCTCAATTCTGGAGCAGCGGGAAAGGAGGTTGGACTCATACCTCACATGCCTCATTCACTCTTGAAACGCTGACTTGGGGCATTCTACCAGCAGGGCAGAGTGTTCCTTTTGGAGAGAAACAAATTAGTTTCCTTCTGTTTATGAACTTGGGTGGAGAGACAGAGTCGTACAAATGAAGGCATGTCCTGATGGATAATTGCCAAGTGGCTTCAGTTTATTGTGTTGTGCTCTTTACCCCGGAGTGTGGTGGAGGCTCCTTCTTTGGAGGCTTTTAAGCAGAGGCTGGATGGCCATCTGTCAAGGGTGCTTTGAATTTGATTTTCCTGCTTCTTGGCAGGGGGTTGGACTGGATGACCCACAAGGTCCCTTCCAACTCAATGATTATATGATTCTCTTAAGTGACCAGACAGTGGTAGACAGAGTTCCCTTGCCTTCTTCTGGGGGTTAAGAGCACTGATAGGATTTTCTGTTCCTGACATAGTTTGGGAATTAGTTGCAATGGGCTGACCTTAGTTACTACTGCTTGTAGAAATCTGGAAATTGTACCCTTCCAATTGACTTCTCTTAAGTTTTTGCTGTTGGGTATTGGCATGGCTTTTTGCCATAGCTTTGGATGGGGAAACAATTTGGATAAAACGAAAAACCCATGACAGCCATTCACATCTGTGGGCTTTCACTGACCATACTTGATCCAGGCAGATTATTCTCCTACTCCTACATCTTACTCATTATGTTAGAACAGTGGTTTGGCCCCAAAAAACTGGCCTCGACTTCTACATGGGATCAATATATGCATGATTGCATATGGTACTGCCTTGCTTTGATGTATTGTGGAGAATTCAATTAAAACTGTTGTCTACAGACAGCAGAAGAACCCAGGGTGATCTTTAATTACAAATGTTAAATAGAAGGATTTTCCCCACACACCCAGCAGATAATTTCCTTGTGTTGAAAGCATCCATGACTGAATCGATACAATTCTGTTCAGCTCGTTTATTGGGCCATTTGTCAGAAAGGCAAATATTGGCTGTGTTATTATAGTCAGACATTTGCTTCTGAGACTGGCCAAACCGCAAAACAATGTATATTGTCCAACTGTGGATAGTTGAAAATGGGCATATTGATATAAACTTCTGCCAAAATGACATTTATAACATTTTAGATCAGCATGACTGCTCCACTCAGTCTGTAAACCAGTGTCATCAGCATTCAGCCATTCAGATTTTGTTGATTACCATATTTTTATGATTTATCTGCTGCCCCTGGCAAACCCAGTTTTGAAGAATAACAATACTTGAAGTCTAACAATATCTATAGGACTACCTTATTTCAAGCCCTGCTGTAAACCTTATGTTATTTGCAGGATTGCAGTCCTTCTCATCCATAACCAGCCTGACCAATGGTGACAGTAAGCGGAGAGGTTGAGTTCAACATCTGGAGTTGACCACTGCTGCTTATAAATATACTCTTCTGGGGCAAACTCTAAAAATCTAGTCCCGCACATTTCCAAACTAACCTGCTTTCTACCAGAAAAAACTAGCAGTAAATGAAAACACTTCATTGAACTGGTGCCATCACCACTTCATTTCTCTTTTTCTTTCCCACATCCGTAGAACATCATTTTAAGTGCTTCTTATTTTTAATTTTTTTGACAAGGTGTAAGATGGAAGGAATGTTCTATTTGTCACTTTAAAACATAAAATAAAGAAGGCATCCCATTGGATACAGAAGTTCGAGGGACAAGATTGATGGCCAATCAGGTGTTCAGCATCCTGAAATACACTTAACTCTGTAATACATGCTTCCCTTGTTGGGTTGTAAATTTAAAGTTGTACATCTTTCTGCACATGGATCAGTGCCGTGGCTGTTGACTAATAGGGAGAGGAAAAACAGCTCCTTAGCTTTTCACATAACATTTTGTTTCCATCTCTGGAAACCATGCTACCGGAAATGACAATTCTGGTACTTTCTCTGTTTTCTCAAGCCTTATGCATAAGAGCCAGAATCACTCACAGAGCAATTGTTCTGTTTTGATCCTTGTGTTCACAAGGAAGATCAGCTCTGAGCCTATAATTGAAAGATCAGCTCTGAGCCTATAATTGTTTATTTTATTGTAACTTGTATTTTATTTTATTTTAATTTGTTGTTTGGGCTTGGTCTCATGTAAGCCGCCCCAAGTCCCCATTGGGGGAGATGGTGGCGGGGTATAAATAAAGTTTATTTATTTATTTATTTATTTATATTGATAATAAAACTTCCAGTTCATTTTTGTTCCTGATTATCAGAAAGTCTAGCTTTGCACAGAATGAGCAGCCAGTAAACCATTTGTCTAAGGCAGGCATGGGCAAACTTTGGCCCTCCAGGGGACTTCAACTCCTACAATTCTTAACAGCTGGTAAGCTATTAGGAATTGTGGAAGTCCAAAACACCTAGAGGGCCAAAGTTTGCCCATATGTGGTCCAAGGGCTTATGGGGATACAAATGACAATAATTGGGAAAGAATGGTAGAATTGAGGCTGTAGTAAACTGTACAGCATATGTAAGGATCTGGTAAATTAAAGGCAAGTGTCTACATTTGAGGAAATTATCTGATGGGAACCTGAAAGGACAGATGGGACATTGTACTGATATTGCTTAATCTTATACCCCATTCATGTCTAGGACATTAGGGATGATTATTGTACGAATTCATTGCCCATGGTTTCATTTGAATACCATGGAATTGCTTCAGAGAACTGCCTGAAGAATGCCTGAAGAAATGTTCTCGCTTCAGAAGTTCTGTCAGAAGTTGGCCAAAGAATCAAGTTGGAGCAGAACACTTTTCTAGGCATTTTCTAGGTCCTCCAGAGCAAATCTATGGTAGGGAAGAAAAATAGGATTTGAGATTACACCGATGATGATGATGATGATGATGATGATGATGATGATGATGATGATGATAATACTCTATTTATACCCTGCCACCATCTCCCATAGGGTCAGCTTACACAATAGGACACAAAGGTACCATACAATACATAAAATAAAATACATCAACATATAAAATCAATAACACATTACATAAATCAGATATATAAATTAAGTAAAAACAACCTCTGTTAAATAGAATCAGTAAAATCTGGCTATAACTATTGATTAAAAGATCTATAAATCAACGTAGCAGCCCATCTGTATGCCTGTAGAGCAGTGGTTCTCAACCTGCGGTCCCCAGATGTTTTTGGCCTTCAACTCCTAGAAATCCTGACAGCTGGTAAACTGGCTGGGATTTCTGGGAGTTGTAGGCCAAAAACATCTAGGGACCCCAGGTTGAGAACCACTGCTGTAGAGTGTAAATATAAAATGCTAAGTAATTGACAGTCAGTTCTGGCAACTGTCTAAACATTATCAAAGACCTGCTGAAAAAAACCAAGTTTTTAACTCCCTCCGAAAGTGCTGTAGTGTGGGGGCTTGCCTAAGTTTCCTGGGGAGGGTGTTCCAGAGCTGGGGGGCCACCACCAAGAAGACCCTCTCCCTTTTCCCCAACAACTGCGCTTGAGACGGAGGTGGGACTGGGAGGAAGGCCTCCCCGGCAGATCTTAGAGCCCACAGCGGTTCATAGGGGGAGATCCCGGAATTGATCTCTTGCATAATACATTGGCCTTCTGAGTAGAAAATAAGCATGTCATAAACAAATGTTTGGCTCAGCTTTCTTCCTCGCATACCTTTGAGATTTCGCAAACTATTTGCAGATGGGATAACTCCGAAGATCAAAGCCTGAAGCAGCATAGCCCAGGAAAAAAGTCGTCATTTGATCCTGGTAACTGTAGAAATTAACCCAGAGAAAAGAGTAGATAGGACATACAAAGGAGAAAGATAATGGGATAAAGAAAAGAGGACATTTAAAAAATAGAAAAATATTATTGAAGGTGAATATCTCTTCTTATTGTATTTTTCCAGAAGGTCTCAGGTAGCCAGGGCCAAAGAGACACCATGAAACTAAAGTAATTTAAGCTGTGTGCAATTGGCAATTGACAAGCCAAGCAAAGCTGGGATCAATTACTTGACAGATTGGGGTAGGAGGTAGGCATAGTGTTGACATTTGATTCCTGAAGGTTTCAGGGAAATAGAATGTGTGAGGAAATCACTGTTTAGCTGACGTTTGCACTGTCTTCTGCTCTCAACAGATGTAGGTTCCGTTGAAGGTCTGGCCTACCACCGAGGCTGGGATGCTTTGTACTGGACAAGCTACACAACGTCCACCATCACCCGGCACACTGTGAACCAGACCCGCAAGGGGGCTTTTGACAGAGAGACCGTCATCACCATGTCTGGGGACGACCATCCTCGAGCTTTTGTGCTGGATGAGTGCCAGAAGTAGGTTCCAATCTGCCCTGGACAGCTTGACAGCAAAATGTTGTAATCATATTTATCCATTAATTGATCTAGATGTTTTTAATGTGTTATAGCCTGCAAATACTGAGCCTTCAAGGGTTTTCACTGCAACTTGTGATAAACATTAATAATATGCTTACAACAGTATTTAATCATTTAATAACCTACATCCACATTAATGAAACTAGCAAGTCAAAACTCTAGAGCAGTGCTTCTCAACTTGTGGGTCCCCAGGTGTTTTGGCCTACAACTACCAAAAATCCCAGCCAGTTTACCAGCTGTTAAGGTTTCTGAGAGTTGAAGGCCAAAACGTCTGGGGACCCACAGATTGACAACCACCATTCCAGAATATTAATTGGGACAGCCAACTTTGTGCTATCCTGAAAAGGAAGGACTTGATTCATTTCTTCCAAATGACGTTGCCAGGGGCATTTATTTGGGAAGTCAACTCTGAAGAAAGAGTTTGAGGACAAGGACTCTCCAATGTGTGCACATTTCCATGGACTAAGTAAGAACTTGTCTGAGGATCATAATATGTGTGACAAAACCTGACATCTGTAATGGTAAATTACAGTTTAATAAGATTTGACATTTTTTCCTCTTGATTCTTTCTCCAGCTTATATTGAATATTTTATTAGTTTTTAGTTAATTTTTGCATGTGTTGCTTTATGTCATTTGGGGCTGTTGTTATTATTACTATTATTATTGTGTCAGTAGTGACTTGAGAAACTGCAAGTCACTTCTGGTGTGAGAGAATTGGCCATCTGCAAGGACACTGCCCAGGGAATGCCCGGATGTTTGATGTTTTACCATCCTTGTGGGAGGCTTCTCTCATGTCCCCACATGGGGAGCTGGAGCTGACAAAGGGAACTGCTTTCCCCGGATTAGAACCGCTGATCTGTCAGTCAGCAATCCTGCCAGCACAAGGGTTTAACTGCTCTGTAAGCCTCCCCGAGTCCCTTTTGGGAGATGGTGGCAGGATATAAATAAAGTTGTTGTTGTTGTTGTTGTTGTTGGGTTGTTGTAGGTTTTTTCGGGCTATATGGCCATGTTCTAGAGGTATTTCTCCTGACATTTCGCCTGCATCAATGGCAAGCATCCTCAGAGGTAGTGAGGTCCTCTGAGGATGCTTGCCATAGATGCAGGTTGTGTTGTTGTTGTTATAGATGTGGGGAGACTGAATATTGTCAGTTCTATTTTTAAACTAACCACAATCTAGTGTTTTAAATGAGTTCTAATAAGCTGTGGTTATTTGCTACGTTCAGTAGATTCTGAATGTGCTTTGAAGTCAGCTCTGATTAAATCTCAATACAGTAAATCAATCTGGAAATTAGGTATCATAGCAGCCAGGTTCCTGTTCTCCTGGCAAGATGCAGCTTGTGCACTAATCAGAGCTTGTAGATTCAGAGAGAGAGAGCTCTGTTACACTCTCGGTATCTGTAAGTTTTACCAATGCAACTTTTTAAACTTGAGTGGGGATATCTGGAACCTTAGGCAGACTGGGAATCCTGTAGCACAAAGCACAGAGGGACACATGGATATGCATCGCCAATTGCTATGGATAGAGTTTCTTCTAAAACTTCAGAGCCATGATGGATAAAAGTGGTTGAAAGAGCCAAGGAGATCTGGAACCCAAAGTTTATTCAAAGCATATGCACTTTCCCCCAATAATCCTTTTCTCTTTTCTGCTTCAGCTTGATGTTTTGGACCAACTGGAATGAACAGCACCCTAGCATTATGCGAGCTACGCTGTCGGGCTTCAATATGATCACCATCATCGACAAAGACATTCGCACTCCTAACGGTTTGGCTATTGACCACAAGGCGGAGAAAATCTACTTTTCGGATGCTACACTGGACAAAATTGAGCGGTGTGAATACGATGGCACCAAACGACATGTACGTCCCACTATTCTATCATTAGGGCACAACTGAGCAGGAGGAGAAGCTCCAAAGCAAAGCCTCTCAAACTTAAATTCCCAGATGATTTCAACTACACTTCTCAAAATTCACAGCCAGTTGTCAGGGATGCTGTAGGTTATGTCAAACTTCTTGAGACCAAAGTTTGATGCTATAAATCCCTCAGAGTTAGCCAGGCTTTGTTGTTTGATTATGATGGTGGGGAGGCCATTTCTAAAGATGTGCAAAATGCCAGGAGAACAAAACATATTCTGACACACACTCCTTCCAAACCTACACCCAGTAATTTTGATTAGAGACTAGCAATTTTTTTTCAAACGGTTGAATGTAGTTTAAAAGAAGGCAAATGTTTACTGGAAGTTAAAAGTATGTTGGTTTTCCAGAGTGTGTATTCTGAGTTTGATATCAAAGAGTTGTATCTGTTTTCAGGTGGCATTTAGCAAATGATTATGGATTTAGTAATTCATTTTAATTTATATTTGTTGAAATAACACTATATGTTCCTGCTAATGGGATACACAAAGTAGGACAATTCAGTTCACCGTGTAATGTCAAAATGTGCAGTTAAAAGTTCAATGGATCCTACTATACATATTTGAGGGGGAGTCTTATAGGCATAGAGAAGGGACATTACAAGGAAGAAGAGAAGAAAATGTCATGTTGTATTTTGTCCTATATAAAAAGGTAAAGATTTCCCCTTGATGTCTGACCCAGGGGGTGGGTGTGTGTGTGCTCATTTCCATTTCTAAGTCAAAGAGCGGCATTGTCTGTAAACACCTCCAAGATCATGAGGCCAGCATGACTGCATGGAGCACCATTACCTCCCCCCCAAGGTGGTACCTATTGATCTACTCACATTTGCATGTTTTCGAACTGCTGTGTTGGCAGAAGCTGGACCTATCAGCAGGAGCTCATCCTGCTTCCCAGATTTGAACTGCCAAGCTTTCAATCAGCAAGTTCAGCAGTTCAGCAGTTTAACCAGCTGTACCACCAGAGGGCCCTTTTTTGCTGTATATACATTTGCATAAATATATGTTTACATATACCTGTGAAAGGGGGAGGGATAATGGGCAAAACAGATTAGTCTTGCAACAGGGTCAAATGAGAAAGAACAGAAAGAGTTCTGTGTGCCTGAACAGAAATGTCATGGCTGGAGCATTCTTTTGACTTTGACAAAAATACCCACCCAAAAGCATGGCAAGGCTGCCGAGTCTACGGATTCCCTGATGTTGAAGGACTGCACCCCTTAGCCACTTCTCGCTGGCATTGATGGGAGTTGAAATCTAAAATCACTTGGATGGGCATGGGTTTCCAGCCTCACAATATAGAGTAGCTTCTCACACTTGCAGAATATCTGTTTTGAAGTGAATTATATGCATTGTAAACTCCAATAATCCAGCTCAAAACAGATAATGTAGATTATCTGCTTTAATAATATGGATTATATGGCAGTTTAGAAGAGATCTCAGAATAATCAAGAAGCAAGGTAAAGCAGGCTAAGTAGTCTACAAGGGGCCATAGTACAACAATTATGCCAAAGAATCTGGCTACCCCTATTATTGAGATAATATAGTTGTGAATTTAATGTTTAATAGGTTAGTCAGCATGGCATTGAGAGGTCCACATGAAATCATCTCTAGGATTTCACCTCTGAACTTTGAATTGCTATTCCACAATCAGCACTGTTATGGGACTGTAATCCAAAAGTCATGTTTTTGAGCTTTGGTTTTGTGGTTTTGGTCAACAGTTGTAACCATAGCCTGGTCAATTCTCCCTGCTAACATTGTGACAAATTCCCAACAGATGGTCCTGCAGGCAGAGCCAGTGCATCCCTTTGGCTTGGCTGTCTACGGAGACTACATCTTCTGGACAGATTGGGTGCGTCGTGCTGTGCAGCGGGCCAACAAGTATGTCGGCTCTGGCATGAAGCATTTGCGCATCGACATCCCCCAGCAACCTATGGGCATTATCGCCGTGGCCAATGACACCAACAGCTGTAAGGAGATACTCTTGTGTGTGTGTGTGTGTGTGTGTGTGGATTTGTCTGTTACGCCCAAAAAGATACAATATAATTGACTGCTCTAGCAAATAAGGATGGGAATCTTTGCTTACCCTTCCAGTCATGTTATAGTTGTAGAGTTTCGAAAGTTGGCCATTGAGATGATGCCCCATTTTTCCCCACTCTCCCTCAAAGAAAGTTATTGAACTACATTACTGCCATGCTCAGCTTGATCTATCATCCCATGTCCCTTGCCAGCACAGAAACTCTTGTGAGATATTATTCTATTTAGGCATATTCAGCATATTCCTATACTTTTGTGGAATATATGTTATGCATTTCGATGGCCTATTCCTGTCTGGCTGGTTCATGCTCAGAAGGGAGAAATTCTGAGAAATATGACAATCTTTTTCTGGATCGTTGAAGGCTTTCATGGCCGGAATCACTGGGTTGTGGTAGGTCTTTCGGGTTGTATGGCCATGTTCTAGAAGCATTCTCTCCTGACGTTTCGCCTGCATCTGTGACAAGCATCCTCAGAGGTTGTGAGGTTTTTTCTGGATCACTGTGCATTGTGGTGAAGACTGCACACAGTGTGAGTTAGGCCAAATGATCATATTGCATAGGGCTAAGGAGCATGTGGTCCGCCAGATATTCTTGCATTAGAGCTCTAATAATTATTGGAATGAAGGGGAGTTTCCATAATAGCACCACTTGGATGGCCATGTATTCTCTTCCCATGAACTTGTCTCTAAAAGCCTCCTTCCAAGAATTTATGCATGTAAGGTGTGAATGGTGTCATCCTTCTGCTACATTTTTCCCCTGTTCCAGAAATTGAAATATAGGCACATGTTGCCACTGAAGGAGAGGGTTCCATTCATCGTTACAAATAACAACCATTGTTAAATCTGTTTTTCCCATAAGTTTAATCCTTTTTTTTAAAATGTTAGCAGTCCTGTCAGCATCCTACATTGCAGCTGTAAATCTCACAGGTTAATTTTGTTGTTGATACTCTGTGGGTTTTTTAAAATAGTGTTTGTGCCCCCACCCCATATCCTCATGTTTATGACTCTCTATCTTCTGATTCCTCTCTCTCCTCTTTCACAAAGGCGAGCAGTCTCTCTGTAGAGTAAACAATGGTGGTTGCCAGGACCTGTGCCTACTTTCTTCTGACGGTGAAATCAGCTGTTCTTGCCGTGGTGAACGGATACTTCAGGATGATTTTACCTGCAGAGGTGAGAACCGACAAGGATGCGTGATGCACAGAACTGGGATACAAGCATATGGGCCGGGGTGTTTGTTCCCGCGAAATGTACCCATTCTAACAGTGGGACAAGGATTGTGTCTGTTAGGCATGGGCAATCCATGGTTCTAAATGGTTCTAAAATACTTACAAAATTAGGTGGGCTGGTGCTTTGCTTCTACAGTGTTGCTAAAGTTCTGGTGGTGAAAATTTCAGAACTCTAACAAAACTTTCAAAATGGTATTGTAAGTACTTTAGAACCATTTAGAACCATAGGTTGCCCATGCCTAGTCTCTTTGGGTATTGTGTGTGTGAGCAAGGGTCCAATATATTCCCAGGTATCTGTATCCATGGAGTTACGTGTTGACATATTATTACAAAATAGACACCAGAGCTGTATTAAATGTACGAATGCACCAACACATGCACAGGATAAATGCAAGCTATGTGAACATCCATTGGACACCCCAGGATTGATGCTTGATTTTGCAGTCAAAAGAAAGAAAATGAACTCAGTAATGCAGCCTTTTTGAGTGACAGGCAGTTTTCATAATTGTCCAAGACACATGTTAGTGCCCCGAATATTTCTGAGTATGAGTTGCTGTGAGTTTTCTGAGCTGTATGGTCATGTTCCAGAAGCATTCTCTCCAAACGTTTCACCCACATCTATGGCAGGCATCCTCAGGGTTGAGGGTCTGTTGGCAAGTGAGGTTTATATATCTGTGGAACGTCCAGGGTGGGAGAAAGAACTCTTGTCTGCTTGTCTGTTTCTGAGTATTTGACCTGCAGATTTCAAAAACAGTACCAGTTTCCTCTATCAGCTCTAATTTTTGAGATACAGAACATATGACATCTGCTAGTTGCCATCTGCTTACCTATAAAACCATGATAGCCATGTCTAAGAAACTAGTGCTGATGTGGTTTATTTCTGAATCATCGCCCCAAACAACCTCAGGAACAGACCTAAAAACAAAGACACAATTTTTTTGTTGGGCTGTGATATATATAAGATTTCATATTGTTGTGTCATCCCAGGTGCCATAATACGTGAAATAAGCCTGTTATTTCTGCTTACTTGTGTTTCTGCTCATCTTTCCTTAGCTCCCAACTCCACTTGCAATGTGCACCGTGAATTTGAGTGTGGAAATGGTGACTGTATTGACTTCAGCCAGACCTGCGATGGTGTGCCCCACTGCAAGGACAAGTCAGATGAGAAACAATCCTACTGCAGTAAGGTTCTTCCATTTGCTCATCTGTTTCCTTGTTTCCTCCCTCGACTTACATTTCCCTAGATATTTGATCATCATCCTTGCATTTGTGGGGGTAAAATTGTTCCTTGTCACAAGGGGATAAAGTACACACTCTTCTATGTTATCTATACGGGGAGAATTTATGTGGTGGCTAACAACAGAAGGTGGACTGGCTGGAATGCTGCCTTTAATATCACCTGAGGAGGGGAAAAGAGCTTTGAACATCCTCTAGACCACTAGTTCTCAACCTGTGGGTCTCCAGGTGTTTTGGCCTACAACTCCCAGAAATCCCAACCAGTTTACCAGCTGTTAGGATTTCTGGGAGTTGAAGGCCAAAACATCTGGGGACCCACAGGTTGAGAACCACTGCTCTAGACCAGTGGTTCTCAACCTGTGGGTCCCCAGATGTTTTGGCCTTCAACTCTCAGAAATCCTAACAGCTGGTAAACTGGCCAGGATTTATGGGAGTTGTAGGCCAAAACACCTGGGGACCCAAAGGTTGAGAACTACTCCTTTAGACCAGTGTTTTTCAAACGCCTCTACCCAGAAATTCCAGACAGTTTACCAGCTGTTAGGAATTATAGGAGTTGAAATCCAAAACACCTGGAGGAGCAGAATTTGAGAAACACAGGTTTAGACCCTGGTAAGGTTCTTTTGCCTCTCATTAAGTTTCCACTTGATATAAAGGATATAGATATATGGAAGTGATTCATTAATCTCATTCGCTACAGGAAGAGGGAGGTCTAAGATCTGGTGACTGAGGCAAGCCCAGGTTTTCCAAAACCTGGTGCAAAAGAGGAAGGAGGGTGAAATGGAGCACAATACTCCTGACCTCACAATCGTATGAAAAAACCACATATGGATTGTCGATGTTACAATCCCAGGCAACACCAGGATTGAAGAGAAACAAATGGAAAAGCTGACACGATACGAGGATTTAAAGATTGAACTGCAAAGACCGACACAAGCCAGTCAAGGTGGCCCCAGTGGTGATCGGCACACTGGGTGCAGTGCCCAAAGACCTTGGGCACTGACAAAATTACCACCTGTCAGCTGCAAAATGCCACCCTACTGGGATCTGCACGCATTATTTGTCAATACATCACATAATCCTAGACACTTGGGAAGTGTCCGACGTGTGATCCAATACAACAACCAGCATAGTGATCTTGTTTGCTGTGTACTAATCTTATTGTGTTTCAAATAATAATAATTTAATAATAATAATATCCCACTTCATTCTCTCTAAAAGAAATCCAAAGCAAAACTTTGTCCTTATACTGAGCTATCCTCTTGTTAACCAACTTGATTTGTTTTTGCTGAGTGATAAGGATGTAATATCGGGGGTTTTGTATCTTTATAGTGTTATAATGTATTGCCTTTGTCTTTTATTCATGCTCCACTCTTTGGTGAAAAGAGTGTTGCAAATAAATGTTTTTGTTGTTATTAGATCTTCATACACAAGAATTATCACACTTCCTTCTTGCATGTCCCTTTCCAATTGCTCACTTTTAAAAGAATAACATCTTTCTTTTAGTTGAATAAGGGGTAGGATTTTTTGTCATTAACTGGACAATACTGGCAGCTGTCTTCCAGAAAAATAACTTCTTCACATTCAAGGCTATCACTGTTCTACTCCATGCCCCCACCTGGCAATTGTGGTTTGAAAGCTAAGGATCCTTAGCTTACAGCCTGCTTTCTTGTACCCACACACCCTATGTAGGTCCATGCCCAATTGAGTAGGTAGGAATAGGACTTTTATATACTCTTCTTGGGCAGCAGATACAGTGGGGCAAGGAAGGGTTTGGAGTCTGATTTAAGAAACATCAAGGTGGTAACAATTGCTGTAAGTCTTCTCTGAAGAAACCTTCCCAGGTGGCATTTCACTCAGTCTTCCACTCACATGCCTATGTGCGCGTATACACTCACCCTTTCTGTGTTGCAGACAATCGCAAGTGTAAGAAAGGCTATCTGCATTGCATGAACAAACGCTGTGTGCCCATCAAGGACTGGTGCAATGGTGTCGACAACTGTGGGGATAACTCAGACGAAGTGCCCTGCAACAGTAAGTACTAAGAACTGAGAAGTTACTTGGGAGAGCGATTCCTTTTTCTTTTATCTTTTCTGCATTTTAGTGTTTGAAGCTGCTATTACTGCATTGAGCATTCATTTGCAGAACTGTAAGTCTTTTGGTCTACTACATTGCCATGCTTTTTATGATGAAAACATGGATAAATGATGGTGTGGTCCAGGATAATGTTCCTTCTTCATCTAGTACTGAGGAAATCTAGTGCATGTGTAATGCTTAACCACAGGTAGTGTGAACCATTGTGCTCTCAATCTTGAATAATATAAAGGGGAGGCATGACTTCACTTGATAAATGATGCTTTGTCTCCAGAGGTCCAAATTTGCCAGTGCATAGTCTTCTGCAAAGTCTTCTGCTTTGCACCAGTCAGGCTTTCCTTTATCTGCATTGCAAGATTTGCGTAACAATAAAAGATAGGAAAGCTGTTAACTCTGGAAGGCCACAACCTACTGGTGGGATGGCATTCATAAATTTGGTATGAGAGAGAGAGAAAAGAGAACTTTGGTAATCATTTTGTAAGATCTTCATTACTAAGGGTTTGGGGGAGATATAAAAGGAATTTTTACTCGAAAACTCCACTTTGGCTCTCTACAATGGAGGCCAATCAAAGAAGACTTTTACGTTGGGCCAGATGGCCAACCTACAAAGACCTCTTGACAAAAGACACACTAACTCTGAAACCCCATGAAGAGCTAAAACAAAATTTTACAAACATTTCATGGCTTCACTATTTACAAATCAGAGAATACTATAATCAGGACAAAAAAATTGGATTCAACCGGAAGGAAGAATCTATATAAATAAAAATGTAATGTTCGTTTGTGGGATTAACATAACTCAAAAACCACTGAATGAATTGACACCAAGTTTTGACACAATACACCTATCAGGCCAACAAGTGACCATCACTCATTAAAACACTGAAAAACACAGTGGAAGGAACTTAAAAAGCAAAAAAAAAATTACAATGCATGCGCAAAACCATATATATATACACAAACACACATATATACACATATACACATAGGTAAAGATAAAAGTTTTCTCCTGACATTAAGTCCAGTCATGTCCAACTTCGGGGGTTGGTGCTCATTTCCATATGTGTGTATATACACATATGAGTCCCCCTCATGGGGAGGCTGAGAATGGCAGGGTACAAATAATTGAAATAAATAAAAAATAAATATACACACGCATATACACACCTGTACACACACAAAACACACATACAAAGACTGGGCCACAGTAAGTTCTGGGATAAAATTTAAAAATCTGAAAAAAGAGATCATTACAAAAAATTATGATAAATTGCTAGAATGGTCTACAGAAGGGGAAGTAATTAAAAATTATATGGTCAAATGGGCTGAAAATGTAAGAAAACCAATACCGCTAGTCGATTGGGAACTTATTTGGAACAAAAAATTAAATTATATATACGCAACGGACTTAAAAGAAAATTGGTTGAAAATGTTTAATCGGTGGTATATTACACAGAGAAAATTAAGTTTAATGTACAGAAACACACACAAAAAACTGCTGGAAGTGCAATGACCATAATGGGAGTTTCTTCCATATGTGGTGGACGTGTAAAGAATCCCAAAAATATTGATCATCAGTACAAGAGGAGTGTCAACAGATTTTTATGAAAAAATTCCCAAAGACACCAGAATATTACCTATTGGGGATAAGTGACCCAGATTTAATACTAGACTCGAATGAGGACGTTTTATTTGTGTATTTAACGACAGCCGCCAGGATTGTGTATGCGAAATATTGGAAACAGAAGGAAATACCGGACATAGACCAGTGGATAAATAAAATAAGGAAAATAAAAGACATGGACATTTTTATTGAAAAAGAACTTGGGAAACCTGCTCAGACAGACTAATTGGTCACAGATTGAGGAATATGAAAAAAAGGAGAAAATAAAGGATTTCTTAAAAGGAACATTATTAAAGGAAATTCTCAGAAAAGTGGACTCAATTTATGTTAAAGTCAAAAGCTTTTGTTTTTTTTATTTCCAATACACAACTTACATGGAAAGAATTTGTACAAGACCACGAAGGATTAGATGGAAGTCACCAGTCTTTTTTGTAACTTATCTCTCTTTTTTCTCCTACTTTCTTTTCATGTTATTGTTCCATCACTTTACATGTAGGAATAAAATATTATTCTTCACCCCCACTCCCCTACCCTAAATAAAAATATATATAACCAAAAAAAGGTAGGAAGGGATCATGTGCATATGGATGAACTTTTTGGAAGAGCAGCAACACACAAAATAAATACAATAGTAACACTTTGCCTCTCTGTCCTCCCTGTCCCTTCCAGAGACAAGCTGTGCTGCCACTGAGTTCCGTTGTCGGGATGGGACCTGCATTGGCAATTCAAGTCGCTGCAACCAACAGATTGACTGCGAGGATGCTTCTGATGAGATGAATTGCAGTGAGTGTTGCAAAATAAATATGTGAAATAGCTTGAGAACTGGATCCCCATATCTACCCCTCACCCTCAAGTACAACGTGTTCTTATTTTTGGTTGGTATTACACAGCCCTGTGAGCCTGCAGGGTGTAGTGGTTTGGAGACCAAAGTCTGAATCTCTGCCAGTCAAATCTTTGGCCAGTCAAACACTCCCAGCCTCAAGGGATAGGAAAGGCAAACCTGCTCTGAACAAACCATTTCAAAGAACTGAGTGGGAGAACCTCATTGAAGGCAAAATGAGGTATAACTGTAATGATGAGACAAGTACCGTAATCTATACACATACATACACATAATAATAAAAGTGAAAATATGTGTGTATGTGTCTGGGCTGTCCATTTACAGGTCTGTATGCGGCTGGAGTGTCCACTTACACAGACAAACAGCTATAGCTCCCACTACTCAGGAGACACCAAAGGCCCTCCCTCCAATGACACTGCAGGTTATAGTGAGCACCATGAACATGTACAAGAGCCCTACCAATGGTCTCCACAAGTACCATACTGCCCACCACCCAAGTGAAGGCTTTCATATGGGGACAATTCCATCCTAGATTTTCTGTGTTTCCTCCACCACAGGCATCCCAGTGTTAGACTCTCTTCATTGGTGTGGAATTTGCATGACCCCGCTCACTACCTCTCCCATAACCCTTTCCTATTCTTTTCTATAGCACCCAGCAAACTGAGGAATTGATCAGCAACTGAACATGCTAGAAAGATTTTGGAAGAATTCACCATGATTTATAGGAGTTGTAGGTCCTGAGATGTATAGCTCACCTGCAATCTAATAGCACCCTGAACTTCAACAGTGATGGACCTGGAACTCACTTGGCACACAGAGCCCCCATGACCAGCAAAAAATACTGGAGGTCTTTGGGGAAAATTCACCTTGATCTGGGGGAGTTATAGTTCACCTACCTCCTGAACCCAAACACTGGTGGATCTGGATCATATTTGGCATACATACCTGATATGCGGAAATTTGATTACTGGAGGAGTTTGGGGAAAACTGACCTTCCTTTCTGGGAGTTGTAGTTCACCCATAACTAGAGAAATTGTGACCTCTACTGATGATGGACCTGGGCCAAACTTGCCATACAGAACCCCCATGACAAACTCAGCCTACTCGAGGAGTCTGAGTGGACTAACTTGCCATAGTGGAAATTGTATACCCTACAGCTAGAGAGCACACTGAACCCTACCAATGATGTATCTAGAGCAAACTTAACTAACATAACAAATTTTAAGTACTGGTGGAGTTTTTCATGGTTAACCTGGCATGATGCGAGTTGTAGTTCACTCACAACCTTATTCATTTTGTAGAATTAAAAATGGACTTTTTCAAACAATCTGGGCACCACTGGGTACCCAAGCTAGCTAAATAAACATACAAGAAAAAGAGAGTTAGCTATTATTCATATACACTTACATTTAGTGCTCTAGCGTACATCATGAAAGAAAAAATCACAACTATTACAGTGGGGGTTTCCAAATTGATCAATAGCTAGAGGAACCAAAGTGTAATTAGAAAAATGAAACACACTGCGTTTAAATCCATTCACAGTTGGATTGGATTGTTAAATTGCTGCTTAGCATTGATTCCTCCTTCTCTGTGCCATTAGCGTCATCGTCTGAACAGAGGAACAGTGAGGAAGGGAAATAAAGATAATTTGGAATTTCCTAACACTGGTTACTGTGCAGCTGGCAATCAATAAGGAAATTCAAAAGAATTGCTATTCCCCAGAAAATGAGATCTCATCCCCAAACCCTAAATAGATGAAACAAACAGAGGGATGAATGTAAGTGGAAGAAGTGCACAGTTGCACAGAGATTTACCTTTATGTTGTTCTGGCACCAATCACAAATATCTGTGTGCTGCAAATTTTAATTTCAAAAAACACAGTAACCCAGGTTCAGGAGTCTAGGAAACATGGTCAGATACACAAACAATTTGGCATGTCTTCCATAGAACTTGCTTGGCGAGTCTCATGCAATTTGCAGAACTGTTTTTTCCTTCCCCTTTTTTGTAGCTGCCACCGACTGCAACAGCTTTTTCAGATTGGGCATAAAAGGTGTCACCTTCCAAAAGTGTGAGCACACATCGATGTGTTACGCTCCGTCCTGGGTGTGTGATGGGAGCAATGACTGTGGAGACTACTCGGATGAGCAGGACTGTCCAGGTAAACAAATCTCTAGCTGATCTTCGCTGTTAGGCCCTTTCAAGACAAAGAAAGATAGTAGACAACACTAGGATGGAAGGGATGGCTTGGAAAGAAAGAGAGGCATCCTCCTCCAGTTAAGCATCATCTGGGCATTTCTTTCCTACTGACTTTAACTTCAAGAAAGTTGTATCAAGAGTTGTATCAAGAAATTCAGATTTTATACTGAAAGGAAGAAGACAGCTGTATAAATCCTTCACTATGTCTTCCCAACCACTACTGAGAAAGACAGAACAGAATATATTTGCATAGTCTCTAGAGCAGGGGTCCTCAAACTATGGCCCGGGGCTGGATACGGCCTGCCAAGGTCATTTACCTGGCCCTCACTCAGGGTCAACCTAAGTCTGAAACGACTTGAAAACATACAACAACAACAATAACAATAACAATGCTGTCCCATCAGCCAAAAGCAGGCCCATACTTCCCATTGAAATACTAATAAGTTTATATTTGTTAAAATTGTTCTTCATTTTAATTATTGTATTTTAAGTGTTTTTGCACTACAAATAAGAGATGTGCAGTGTGCATAGGAATTCATTCATTTTTTTTTTCAAATTATAATCCGGTCCTCCAATAGTTTGAGAGACTGTGACCTGACCCTCTGTTTAAAATGTTTGTGGACCCCTGCTCTAGAGTCCTGTCAGTTCTCTGGGTTAGTGAGAGAAGGTAGCCAGACAATTGGGTTTTTCCCATCACCCAAACACAAGCAGGAAGTATCATGAAATCTTAACGAAAAAATGTAATTGGCTTCGTTCAACACAGCCATTTTAGAGCTTAGGTTTTTCCCCTTCTTGGCAGAGCAGAGTTTTACTCCTCAGTCCCATTTTCACATTCTGTATTTTCATCTTTCAGCTCCTCCTGGAATAGTTTTTGGATGCATAAGAGCATATGAAATATGGAGGCTCTAGCATCTTTGCGTGTACAACTTTTTATTTCCCCATTCCCAGAAAAAGGGTGTTAACTGAGCAGTTTCTATGACTCCCTGATATTCCTTTGACCTTTTCTATCTCCCCCAGGTGTGAGAAAATCCAAGTGCCCAGCCAATTACTTTGCCTGTCCAAGTGGAAGGTGCATCCCCATGACATGGACATGTGATAAAGAGAATGACTGTGAAAATGGCGAGGATGAAACACACTGCAGTAAGTACTGCACTCAGACTGGAATAGGTTGCTCAGTCCTTTCCTTTAACTGTTTATCATTTAGTGTTAAAAAAAGCTGGCATTTTGGAACTGCATTCAAGCAGTCCTCAGTGAGTTTTTTGGGTAACGTTTGTTTGTAACAGTCTTCAATTTCTACTTCTAGATAAGTTCTGCTTCCCTGAGAAATTTGAGTGCAACAATCACCGTTGTATCTCCAAGCAGTGGGTGTGCGATGGTGCTGATGATTGTGGGGATGGCTCTGATGAAGACCAACGTTGCCGTAAGCATTTGTGCTTCATTTGAAAAAAAAAGTATAACATGGAAAATGATGGGAATGAGATGGGCTGCATCTTGGGCATAAGTAAAACAGGAGTGGAAGGGAATGTCTTACTACACTTTTGAAACTGCCAAGTTGGAGAAGATGGAAGAGCATTTTGGATCATCTGCATAGAGACAGAAGGGGCCAGAAGTTCTTAGGAGCAAGGACATTCTTCCACAAACCCCTCATTCCAGAAACAAATGTTCATAGTTTAACCATATTTTTTTAATATTATAGTTGTCTTTGATACATTTTGGAGTGCTGAATTCAAAAGTACACTAAAGATGTTGTAACACACGCACAATTCTTCCATAAATTTCATTACTAATTTCAGTACTAAAGTAATTCAATCAGATTTGACAACATGGAATGTCAAGGCAAATTACAAAACAAACTATAGGTGATGGAGCAATCCCGATGTCAGTTTTGGTTTTAAAACACCAAATTCCTGTAAAAAGAGCATACATTTTTTACAAAGTTTTTATGACTCTCAGTTTTGCATGCCTGTGAAATTAAGAGAAAAGAAAATGAAAGGGAAAATTTAAAAAGGAAGAACAAAAATAGCTACTGCAGGAAGAGCATCCTTAGCAGATACACACAGTATTTCTTCGATTGTAAGATGTCATCAGTTGTAAGACACACCCTAATGACATTATAATTATATATTTATATTACATGTTACTAATATTACTAATAATATTACAATATAATGGATATAATGGTATAGTACAATATAGTAATATTTAATACTGATATTGTACTCTGCTAATAATATAATATATTGTATGTATATATAAGTCACTCTGAGTCCCCTTTGGGGTGAGAAGGGCGGCGTATAAATGTCGTAAATTAATTAATTAATTAATTTCAGTACCACCACCACCAACAACAAAAATAGATAAGACACACCTAATTTTTTGATATGTTTATATCGGAAAATAGTCTATCTTAGAATTGAAAAAATACAGTAATTTATTTATTTATTTATTTATATTCCGCCTTTCTCAACCCTGTAGGGGATTTAAGGTGGCTTACATATATTGACAATGATTCGATGCTATGTAAACATACATACATAATAAAATAAGCATATATATTAAAATAATCATTAAGAACATTTTAAGCCTTAAAACACTTATTAGACCCAAATTGTAGTAGTTACCAGTGAAGACAAAATATAATTACTATGTAATTAGTCAACATGTCCTGTTATTTATTTATTTCCTGATCCCATCTCTAGGAATAACTACTCACTGTATCATTAAAAGGACAAACTTCTGCAATACCAGCATTTAGTTCCAATTCAGATTGCTCCAGAAATGTGCTCCCACTGCTCTGGTAGGGAGATAGGGTCTTGCATGGCATAACAAAAAAGGTCTGGAGTGGAAGATTTCTGTGTTTGTAATACCAGATTCAATAAAAGTATATGAACAAGAAGGCTCATCTATGTGTGTGAGAGAAAGGTTGTGACTCTCTCATCCAGTGGTTCGCAACCTGTGGGTTCCCAGATGTTTTGGCCTTCAACGTCCAGAAATCCTAACAGCTGGTAAACTGGCTGGGATTTCTGGGAGTTGTAGGCCAAAACACCTGGGGACCCACAGGTTGAGAACCACTGCTCCAGTCAGTAGTGGGCAAATGAGTTGAGGCCAGTGGCCCGTTTCACCCAAGACCCACATTGCAGACCACACCTCCACAATAAGCCTGTTCCCCCAAAATGGCAACATGATGTAACATTGCATCATTCTCTGTTGCTATTTTAAGAGGGCAGAAAATCGATTAGGATGGGCTACCTTTACTTTTTTTCACACATTTAGGGAGCTTATGCATCTTTTGGGGACAAAATATGACCCACAAACTCTTCCTTTCTTTTCTTTTAGAAGCTTTGGTGGGAGGGACTAGTAAGAAGCTTCATGGGCCACTAAAGTTAAGTTGAGGAGTTTCATGTGTCCTTTGCTCGCTCCTGCCTTAAATAGTAATTGGTTAGTAATATCATTTCCTGTTCCTTATTTTGATTAGTAACTTTTTTCTCCAGGTCACACTACTTGTGCTGCTGGTTCCTTCCAGTGCCCAAACAGCTACATGTGTGTGCCGCAACGCTGGCTTTGTGATGGAGACAAAGACTGTGCCGATGGAGCTGATGAAAGTGTGACTGTTGGCTGCTGTGAGTTGCTGTTGCTTTTTCTTCCCAGCTCTTAAAGCCTGATCCTTTTGCTGAACCAACTTCTTGCTGACTTGTTCCATGGATTAATTGTCTTTTGTGGTGTCTGCTTTTAGTATACAACAACACGTGTGATGAACGTGAATTCCTATGCAACAACCGGCAGTGCATACCCAAACATTTTGTGTGTGACCATGATGATGATTGTGGCGATGGTTCTGACGAGTCTCAAGACTGTGGTGAGTGCTGACTTAGAGCCAAGGCTGGAATGTCAGTGAAGCAACTGCATCCAGTAAATACACTTGCGCCTGCATCTTCAGGCTTAAAAGGGCACTTTTCAAAGGAGTGGAAATATTGCTGGGGAAATAACATGCCAAGATTTGACTGCTTTAAAAAAGTTACCTAGGCTGTTATTTCTCTAGCTGTTTGCTAACTTCTTCTGTTTGAATTACCATATTTCATTGTGACTAAAGTACACTTTTTCCTGTTTAAGGGGCTTCAAAAACGAGATACGCCTTAGATTCAGTGGTACCTTAAACTCAATGGGTTATTTTTGTTTTGTTCTTAAATGATCTTATCCCTGACAGAGGAGAAGGAAAGGTCTCAGCCCCAATAGCTTTGCTAGGCCCCCATTATTTTGTCCCCAGCGTCATCCAAATGCCTGTTTACCAGTATTTAGCTTATTGCCACTTCTTACTTTTGCTGCCTCCCTGAGAGATTCATAAACTTTATAAAAGAGACTCGTGCAGACAAGATAACTTTCAGGTGTCTTCACACTCCTTCTTCATCCCACAGTAAAGATTGCACTGCAAAACAACATTGAAACAAATATTATTAAATAAATAAAACTTTATTTATATTCCGTCCTATCTCCCCAGGAGAACTCAGGGTGGATAAGACATTGTACGTGCAGAAGAAATCTAAGAACTTTGTTTTTTCCTCAAATTGAAGCTTCAAAAACAGGATGCGCCTTACGTTCCATAGTGTCTTAGATTTGATGGAATATGGTAGTCACGTAATTTTTTCCAGCCAATTGATAATCACATGGTGAATGGATGATGTCACAGTGCTACATAATTTTATTCATTCATTCATTGAATTTATATCCCACCTTTTTCTCAAGATAAGATTTAAGGCGGTTAACCAAAGTGAACTAAAATGAGATATATAAAAAATAAATCCTGTTGGAAATAAGTTCTTTGCATGGCTGTAGCCTCAAATCCCAGCTCCTTAGCTCTCAAAGACTTCTGTTATCATCACCAGATTGTTCCCGGCTCAGGGTGATTGATGTTGTCTTAAATCGAGCTCCCCTCATTCTTGGTTATATTGTGAATACACATGAGTATCCCAGTGGGGAAGACAGGAATTGTGGTCCTGCACATCTATAGGGCATCTACTTTAAACTTTTTTTAAAAAATGTTTTGAACTTTGGGGATGTGGTCAACTATGCAGTTAAAAAACAGATGAAGAACTTAGTTGTTGCATTCCAGACCAGGAAACACCTCTGTACGTAACCACCACACTCCAGTCCAAGTTAAATCAGCAAAGTAGTTTATTAAGAATATATAAAAAGCACTGTAGTAAAAACTTGAAAGTCTGTACATTTAAAATAGTCCACAAGGTCCAAGGTGCAAGAGTAATCCAAAATCTCAAAGCAGGAGGACATCCAGCACAGGAATACAAGAAAACCAGGAAGTACAAGGCAGCATAGAATCCAATACAAAAATCCAGGAACCATCCTTCAAACTTGGAAGCATGAAACAGGAGCAAAGATATGGAACTAAAATTCCCTCAAAAAGCTTGAGTATGACTTCGCAAGAGCCTCAATTACCAATGTTGACCAGACTGGCTGGAAAATCCCCCCCCCCCCCCCCACCAGCCTCTCTAATAAACACATGAAATCATGTCTTCTCCCGTGACTTCCTGATATGAGTCTCTTCTCTAACAAGCACTGTGACCATCAGAGATTCTGTTGAGCMGCACAAAGTTTACGAAAACAGTCTCCTATCAACCAGCTCATTATCTTGCAACTCATTATTCTCTTCACCTGGGATTTCAGCCTCTGAACTCGTTATGCACCATCTCGGCACTCTGGAATATGACCTTCACTAATTGCTGGAGACACAGACTGATCATTTTCAGGAATTAAAATCTCATGTTGACTCACAGGCCCAGAGTTCCCATGATCCACTTCCCCATTTACATCGATATCAGCCACAACCTTGGGCTGAACTACAACATTAGTGCAGTTTGCTTTTATTATTTGCCACTGCTTCTATATTTTCAATGAGAATTTGACTTGCAGACATTAGCCCTTGATAGTGTTTATTCCTATGCTATGAAAACGCTCTTTCCACTTTCCCGCCAGTCAAGGTGCTCTAACAACTGAACTGCATGCCATATTGAATGTAAATCATGCAGTTTGAAATCCCTTTAAATCCGGATCAGGACCGCCATGTACAAATGTTTGAAGTTTAAACTACCCCTTCTGCTTCACACTCCCCTTGAAAAAAATCCCCCTTCCCTTCCCACCCCATCCCTGCCAATTCCATATGCGCTAAAACAATAAAAAGTTTAGCCATTTCACACATGTAGGTCCAACTCCCATATCATTACAGTCTAATAATAAAATAAGAATATAACTTTATTTATACCCTGCCACCATCTCCAAGGGACTTGGAGTGGCTTACATGAGACCAAGCCCAACAACACATCAATAAAAACAACAAGCAATGATAAAACAACAAGCAATAAGCAAAATAAACAATACAGTTAATGTAACTCGCACGTAGACAATAGTCTGTCATGAGGTAAAAGATGGTGTGGTTTCAGATTAGCCTTGACTTCATATATATCCCTTTTCTCCTCAATCTTTCTGTCTCTCTTTCTCCAGAGTATACAACATGTGGACCCAATGAATTCCGCTGTGCCAATGGCCGCTGCTTGAGTAACAAACTATGGGAGTGTGATGGAGAGTTTGATTGCCATGACCAATCTGATGAAGCACCCAAAAACCCACGCTGTTCCAGCCCTGGTAAGTGCTGTGCTGGGAAAGGAGGCCAAATGGTGTGTGTGAGACTCCCTGTGATGGTTTTATCCTGTAAGATGGGAAGGTTCGTAGCTGAACAAATTTGTTTCTAGCTCAACTGCTTTTAACCAATCAATATCCTGGCACTTTCTCTACAAACCCACCCAGCCTCCAGGAGATTTTATGAGAAACCTGTGGGTCTTCCTTAGAAACCTAAGAATCTAAACTTGGGGTGTTGTGTGGTTTCCAGACTGTATGGCTATGTTCTAGCAGCATTTTCTCCTGATGTTTCACCTGTATCTGTGGCTGGCATCTTCAGAAGACCTAAACTTGCATTGACCATAGTGCAGACGGACCAGTCACATGCTAAGCACTTGTTGCAACTACCCTTGAGCAGCATGTATGCAAGAGGAGAATCTGGCCTGGAAGGAAAGAAAAGGAAGAGAATATCCCACTGCCTTGAAATAACAATTGGCATCTCTTTCCTCACTGTCGTTGCAGAGAGCAAGTGTAATGACACCTTTTTCCTGTGCCACAACAACCAGTGCATCTCCAATCAGCTGCTTTGTGACAACAACAACGACTGCGGCGATGGCTCCGATGAGCTCAATTGTTTCATTAATGAGTGCCTTAACAAGAAACTAAGTGGCTGCTCTCAGGAATGTGAGGACCTCAAGATTGGTTACAAGGTTAGGCCTGGTAATTTCTTTTGCTCAGCTGGTAAGAGTACCTGGCTGTATCAGAGTAGGCTGGATTTTCTTTCAAGAATCATTAAGACTTGGGACTGTTGTCACTTTGGCAGAAGCCTTGACTTTGAATCCTTGTGTCCATATGATGACAAACTATTGTTGTCAATCCATATACACTGGCCAGAGTAAGGTGAGAGCTTTGCAAGACACAGTATAAAAAGAAGCTAGATGTTAGCAGTTTGGTGTAATCATTATATTTTTGTCATCATGGGGGCAGCATTTGGAGGGAGACTATAATCTATTTTCCAAGGAAAACATCCCAGGTTCTCCTTGGATTACCAATGTGCCCTTCCAGGAAACTACCAGTCTTTGACATTTTAATAAGATACGTATGCGCTCTCTGCAAAGTGGAGAATTCTAGTCTCTATATTTGTTGGTTTGTTTTTGCCAGATCTCTGAAATCCAACAATTGGAACCTAGTGCAGAAAGCATATGTAAAGGCTTCCTCTTCGTTGTCTGATATTCTATTCAATCTAGTATGCTGCCACCATCTGTGAGGTACTAGGCTATGCTGCCACCAATTAATAAGGGTTTCCTATTTAGTTTATTAATGGATTCCCCTATTTTCAAATAGATTCACTGCTACCACTGTCTAGTGTTTCTTTTGGTGTGTAGCGAGGTTTTTTCCCCCTTGAAATACTACACCGAGACTTGAGTTACTAAAACAAGAACAAGTTTATTTGGAGTATGGAAGGGTCTTAATGGTTTCAGAGTTCTCTTCTCCTGAGGTATAAAGCTTCACGAGTCACAGTTTCAACAAATCTTAATATAACTTTAGGGTGTCTTTTACTTCACCAACGAGTTCTTTAGTTGTTACACTTCTAAATATATTTCCTTATTTGACAAATTAACTAAGGTCAGCTAATGCCCTTGTCTCCCTTCAGCTTCCTGCTGAAGTAAAGATTCCCAGTGGGATTTCTTCTCCTATTAGCACACAGCTAAACCACAAACCTAAATAAATCCCCTTGATTTATTTAAATCACTTAGGCTAAAAGCTTTTCCTTAGTTTGGTTCACCACATGTTTGAACCACCTTCCCTTTGGCTCAATGACCAAAGGACTGAAGCCTCAAAATATCTGCTTCTGGTAAGTGCAGTTGGCTCCACCCTTTCTCCGTGGCAGCCTAACTCAGAGTGCTGAGCTTGGTCCCATCCCCCTAGTTCTGCCATTTCTAAATGGCTAACCCTTTATGTACATCCATAACTATCTTTTATCTCCTGAACACATACATATAACAATATTCAACCATTAAGCGCATATATATATACACACACACATACATACATACATACATACATACATACAATCATATTTAACTGTAGAGACACATATACATAACTACGCTTAACTTACAGTTAAAAATCAATGCTTCATCACAGCATACATTTAGAATTAGTGAATTCTGAGACCAGGAATCTGCCAGAACTAAATGGTGCTCTCAACCCTTCTTAATACAAATCAATTCTTGATTAAGCTAAGCTTGCTTCTTTCCAACAGTATAATGTAAGGCTTATGATAGCTAGTGCGAAACAGAGTCAGAGGTCCTTGGTGATCTACTGCAGACCACTAGATGTCTCTCTTGCCAACTGTCCCAATAGCATGAAGTGGGTAGTGACAGAAAGGTTCCCATTGGCTTCAAGAGTGTGGCCATTTTGCCCAGCACGTTGTCTGTAAACTTGTAATGACTTTCTGCTGCCCCCTGCAGTGCAGATGCCGCCCTGGGTTCCGACTAAAGGATGATGGGAAGACTTGTATTGACATAGATGAGTGCACGACAACCTATCCCTGCAGCCAGATGTGCATCAACACCCTTGGTAGCTTCAAATGTCTGTGTGCAGATGGCTACATCCTGAAGCCTGATGACCCAACAAGCTGCAAAGCTATCACAGGTGATGTTGAAATGCTGTGCTCTAAACATCCTAGAGATAGGCATAAAGTATGAAGAGGCTATCATCCATTAGGGTACGCAAGTAAAAGTTTTAGGGCAGCCTTTTCCAACCTGATGTCCCAGAATTCAACTATCAGTTGTATTGGTCAGGACATTTTGGACTTTACGATCCAATACATCTGGTATGCACTAGGCTGGAGGATGCTGCTTTATGGGATTAGTCTATCAGACAAAGAATAAGACAAAAACGAATGTCCTTTTCCTTCTCAGTCCATTAGTTTCAAACAATTAGAATGGGATGGGATGGGATGGGATGGATTTGGAATTTAGGAAAGTGTTTATTCATATGATCATGAGGAACTTCCAGAACTAAAAGCTATTTCCCCTTCCTGGGCTCACTGCAACCTTTGTTAGTTATAATTGCTGGCTAGCTTGAGAATAGGAATAGCTGGTTTAAACGGTGACTGTATTTAGATTGTTTTTTGAGGTCAAATAGTTTTAATCCTACTATATATTAATACTTATTTTATTATGTCATTTTAATTGCACTAAGTAACTAATTGTTTTGTTATATACTGCTTATTGCCATATTGTTTTCTGTATTGTTTGATTGCTGTAAGCCGTCCCGAGTCCTTTCGGGGAGAGGAGGTGGGGTATAAATAATAATAATTATTATTATAATTATTATTATTACTATCATCATTTATTCAACAAATCCCTTGCTTCTTTTCACAGATGAAGAACCCTTCCTAATATTTGCAAATCGATACTACCTAAGGAAACTTAGTCTGGATGGTTCCAATTACACATTGCTGAAACAGGTAATGACCATGGGACCTGCCTTTTTTTTTCTTTTGTAGCTGTAGTATTTTTACAATCAGAATTTCTCGTTGAAAGATCTCTTTTCTGTGGTTGCTAGTGAACATAATAAGTTGGGCCAACCATCTTCTGAAACTATTTCCCATCTAAGAGGCCTGAAATCCTTTCCGTCACCCCCATCTAGCTCAGAGGCTACTTCTGCCCCACCCAAGTTCCCCCACAGAAACATGACAAGGCTATTAATACTGTTAATAGTTAATTCTATTTTAATGTTTGTATGTTTTCTGAGTTTTAAATTATATTATGTTGGTTTTACTATAAGCTGTACTCATTTTTGGAGAGAAAAAGGGGAGAATAATAATAGAACCAATGTTGTAGCATCTAGAGCAGACACATTCATCTGAGGAGGACTTTACCCCACTTCGAGGAAGAGATGCCCCTGCCTCTCCCCATTTAGCAATATTGATGAAACTTCACTTCACTCATCTTTTCTCAGAGATCTTTCCGACCTGTTTGAACCTTTCAAGATTGCTGCACTTTGAATCCTGCCCATCAAAATAATTTTCCTTGTGTCCGTCAGCCAGTAGGGTCTAAGAACTGACATCCCTTTCAGTTGAACCTTCTCATTGTAAATTTAATCCTCATTGAGACTCTTCTCTGGCTTCATCCGGAATTCTTGTATATCTGATAAAAAAAAGCTATGTCACAAAGTGGACCTTAGGAGAAGCACTTAGCCCTGTGGGAAATTGCTCTTTATCTCCTTTGTGCCCACCTCCTTAAGTAAAACAATTTCTCCATCTATACTAAATTGATGGATGAAGGCTTGTATCTTCTTAGCTTATGAATCCCTTTTTTGAGGTTCGGTTGAGATTTCCAAGATGGCGTCTTGGGCTACTCCTTTTGCTTTTACAAAGCACTGAAGATTGGACACATCTGCCTCTTTGACAAATGGGTACTGAAGAGGTCCTTTGGACTGATTGAATTTGCTTACCACCATCTCTCCCAATGTCTGTTTTGGCTAGGATCATTTATTTATTATTTAGAACTTTTATATCCCGATCTTCTCTAACCTCCGTAGAGGGACTCAGACCTTTCCTTTCTTAGATGGCTCCCTCTCAACTGTCTGAGAATGGCACATTGGGAATTTACCATAAAAGGCAATTCTATCCAAGGAGGAGGAGCCATCCAGTCCCACATGTAGGGGACAGGACTACTTTAACTTTTCAGGAGATTTTCTCTGCCTCCCTTTCATTTTCTTGGCTTGGTAAGGAACTGAGAAGGAGATAGGACTCTAATAGGCAATACTTCCAAAACAGCACATGATACCTTTCCTCATCTGAGTGGCAATTGGAATTAATCACTTCTTGAATGGCTCCTTCTCCTTGACTAGAATGGTCCCTTCTGTAAGACTGTAGGATCTATATAGCAATATTAAATAGCCACTCACAAGCCGTTTTTGCTTTGAAATAGATATATTGCTTGTATCTCTGCAGCAAAGAAAGACACTACTGACTTTTTCCCACCACCACTTCCTTTTATATACCTTTCCTGCCCATCTCCCCCCTCTTCTCAGTTTCCTTATTAGAACTTGTTACTTCACAAGTTCCAATACAAGGCTTCCATCACCCTCTGCTGGCTTCAAAATGTCACAGAAAGAGAATTGATTCAGCCAGGATGATTCAGTCAGGATGTCACGGAGGGAATTTGTGATGTCTTCATGCCATCAGAAATTGACTCCTGACACCTTCACAGTAAATTACCAATGTGCCATTCCAGGAAACCACCAGGACAGTCAGCCTATCTTTTTTGTCCAGAAAAAGGGCAGTGTGGGGAGTCTTGAGAGGACGAGGTCCACAAAAATATACTTGGGGCTCACAGACCGACTCCAGGCCAAACTTTGCCTACCCTCATTTGCCAAAACCCTCTTAGAGAATTGATAACAGATGTAAAATTTCAACTAGAAATATAATGATTTATAATCCATCCAGTTAACCTCTCTGTGCTACAGCTATACAAATTGTATTTCTTTCTTGGTGGGCTTAGGGCCTGAATAATGCTGTGGCTTTGGACTTTGACTACCGGGAGCAAATGATCTACTGGACAGATGTCACCACGCAGGGCAGTATGATCCGCCGGATGAACATCAATGGTAGCAATGTACAGGTATGTTTTGTAGTATTATAGGAACGGTATTTTTGTTGGATGAGATCAGAGTTGCTTTCCATATAAAGACATGCATATCCAAGCAACTTTTGCAGCATCATTTACTGAACATATGTAGGGTTTTGCTGAGGCACAGCTCCCTCCATTGCAACACCAAACTTAGGCCTAGACCAAGCCTATGCCGAAGCCTAGGTCCATTTCTTCCTTTCACTTCAAAGCTGCTGTGTCCTGTAAGGAAGCCCATCTCTAAGCAGCATAGACTTAGTTTCAGTCAAATCCTTCTTCTGTGCTTTATTTGATTTCTTTGTTTCGCTCTTCTTTTAGGTTCTGCACCGCACTGGGCTGAGCAACCCCGATGGACTGGCTGTGGATTGGGTTGGTGGGAACCTGTATTGGTGTGACAAGGGACGAGACACCATTGAAGTCTCAAAGCTCAATGGGGCCTATCGTACTGTCCTAGTGAATTCAGGGCTTCGGGAGCCCCGGGCGTTGGTCGTGGACGTACAGAATGGGTAAGTCTTGAGAAGAGTCTTGGCAGAGCCCACACTTGAGCCAATCAAGGTGATGCCTAAGCTATATATAACAGGCATTGTGTGTAAAATGAGGATGAGATGGAGGCGGGGTATAAAAATAAAGTTGTTGCTATAGTTGTTGTTGTTGTTGTTATTATTATTATTATTATTATTATTATTATTATTATTATTATTATTACTGTAACCCACCCAAGGGGACACAGGGCGGTTTCTATCAAAAGTGGCAAACCTGGGCCCGAACTCTTTATACACTGCAATTAAAAAATCAATGTGTTCATATTAATATTTTAGTCAATTTAAAATGAATGTGTTGTCTTCAATGTCAGTGGAGCATTGGTGATACTGTTTTTTAAAAATAGCTACACCAATGGCATTTACTAAAAAAAATAGCTACCCCTCACTATGAAGGTAGCAAATTACAGAAACAAAAAATATCAGCTCTGTGTGGTGACTCAAGGCATCCAGGCTGGGAAACCCAGGTATTTTAAGGGAATGTCTAGTTTTGAAATGTAATCTTAGCAGCATTTCTATTGTATTTGGATTTCTATATTCATGACACAAATATTTTATTATTTTTAATGTCTATATTCATATGTATATGTATTTGCCTTGTTTTTAATTCTTTTATATTGTGTCATGTCATTGTTAGCTGCCTTGAGTCCTTTGGTATAAAAATAAAGTATATAACAACAACTTCACAATTCCTCCTTTGCTTCCCCAATCAAACTAGACTTCACCAGTGGATATTGGGAAGGTATCAGACTGTGATGACAGTGTTCCTAGCTTTGCCACCAATATCTAACTTGTATAATAATCTCAAATAGTTATTTAGGTTCCAGTGTTTTTTAAAAAAATGGGGTGTGATTGCAAGTGCTGTCATGTACTTACGCCTTTTCTCTTGTCTTTCTTTTCCATCTCTTTCAGATACTTGTACTGGACAGACTGGGGAGACCATTCCCTGATTGGCAAGATAGGTATGGATGGCACCAACCGGAGTGTCATTGTGGACACCAGGATCACCTGGCCCAACGGCCTCACACTGGACTATATCAACGGCCGCATTTACTGGGCTGATGCCAGGGAAGATTACATTGAGTTTGCCAGCCTGGATGGCTCTAATCGGCACATAGGTAAGGGAGCTGTAGCAGCTGCGAAAGTCACATCCAGATAGGCTAGTCACAGTGACCAGGAATCTATACAGGCTGTACCTCTTGAAAGAAGGCCAGAGCTTCAAAGGAAAAGCTATGGGGAAGAAGAGTGGCGTATAACTCTATGAATACCAAATAGCCATTGCAAATGCATATCCTGCAAATCTGGATTTTCCTTGGCTGGACCTTCTTCAAGTTTCCAAACTTGACTCATGGGAAAATGTGCCCTGAGCTTGCATTTGCAGAAGGATTGGCAGTTATATCATAGTTAATCACTATTCTCCTGCTAATTATAGCAATACTTTATTTGTAGACCAGTTGTCCGAGTAACCAGGGTAGCTGCATCACCACCACCTTTTGAATGGTGAAGAAAAGTAGGAATAGAAAGAATATTTTAAAATGTTTTAAAATGTTTAAAAATATGTTTCTGGAGTGCCCGAGAATTTTGACAATAATCTTGGATCGGTGAGAATCTTTGCAATCCAAGACTAAAGCCACACAAAAATCACACATGATTTTGTTACTTTTGTACATAGAAGTCAGTATTTTCTGCACAGGAAAGTATTTTCTGTACAGAATATGATATTTCTATGCAGAAGTATCATTTCCTGCCAGGAAAATGTTTTGATTTGCACAGGAAATGCTGTTTCCTGACCAAAACAACCATGTGCACAGAATTAGTCCAAAATTGTGAATAGGCTTCAGAAGATATCCTTGCAAAGGGGAGAAAATTGCTAAAATTACTTGCTTCCTTTTGGGAATCTTCATAGTGAATTACACCCCTGAAGAAAACACTGGGTCAGAAACTTTCTGCATTCTATATAACTGGGAGGTTATCCACACATATCTTCTCAGCTTCTGCTGAACTCTAGACTCTTTTGTAGTGCCTTTCTGTACTCTGTCATATAGCCTGTCTGTCAGTTTGTATTTGATGTGCCTCCCTGTTTGCTCTATTATATGCCTTCTGAGCCCATTGAAGATGGGTTCAGACTATCTTCCATACATGATGATTCCCCATTGTGGTCCCTGTGAATCGCACATATGGTATTTCCTGTGCCTGCGCAGACAGTTCGGAATCTACTAGAAAACTTATTAGACACTTTTAGGCGGTAGCTTCATGCTGACACTTCTCTCACTATGTCTTTCTCTGGGCATTGGGCCTATTAGTTGCCAGAAGAAAATCCTATTTCTATCCTTCCCAGCACATTTGATTCATTGGACCGCCTTAGATGGGTTCCTTGCCCTGAGCTCATTAACTATTCAAATGCTGCGGAAGCCCTGGGTAATGGCTAGAGTTGCCCACTCATTTCTAGGCCACAGGGTCTCCACAACCATAGTAACCGTTTTGCTACACTGATCCTCTGCCCTCTAAAGGCATAGTTCCTGGGAGTGCTCAACTCTTCTGGCGACAACTTCCACGCCTCTAGAACAAAGTATCCAGATGTTTGTAGGGCCCTAGCCTTTTATGTTGACAAGACTGCGGGGATACAGAAATCCCCAAGATTGTTCGTGAAGTACAGGAGGGATGCCAGTGGCCTTCCAGTGTCTTCGCAACACCTATCCTCTTGGATTGTGTCAGTGATTCAATTGCTGTATCGATGAGCAGGTCGAGACCATCSTCAGAATGTGAAGGGTCATTYCAYGAAGTCGACGTCCACTTCTAYGGCCTTCATGAGGGRCTTGCAGCTGGATGTGGTTTGCCGTGCTGCCACRTGGYCCATGCCGCTTACCTTCATGTCCCACTACAAATTGGATGTCTCCTCCAAGAGGRATGCTTCATTTGGAAGGGCAGTCCTCTTCTCTGCGSTGGCATGAYGCCCACCAGCCAGGGTTAATAGSTTGCTAGTYTACCATATGTGCGATTCACAGTTGACCACGATGGGRAAATATARGTTGCTTACCTGTAACCATAGTTTTMYGARTAGTCACCTGTGAATTCGCACATCYYCGCTCATCCTCCCCRTTGTGGTCATGCCCCCGTTTTTYTGGCTGCTTTCRCRGCRGAAGAACTGAGRCGGTGGCCCCACCAACCAGCTACTTATACTCACAAGGGGAGAGTGGGYRGGGCTAACCACCAGAAAAGTTTTCAAATCTATCTAGAAGGTTCCAAAGCTGTCTGCTCAGGCACAGAAAAAACTTAGTAAAAAAACTGTGCAAACATTTCCRTAATWGAACKGTATTTTTCTTTTGAATTGCTTAGTGGCTTTTGGGTAMATGTAGCTAAGAGAGACAGAGCAAGAGCATGGAGYAGGGACAGAYTGAAATGTCGATCATCAGTCTYAGMGCTTTTGCTACTGTTTCTCGCATCCTRCTCTGTTTCCTACTTTTGGCAAGATACTGGGAAGRAGGAAASTCAKGCATTTCACCCTTTGCTTGTAGCMAAAGTAGAATGGTAATCTACTGGTAACTGAAACCTAATAAATAAAACTATGATGCATCTTGAAAATAGGAAGCTATTTTTGTCCAGGCTGTACTATCAAGGATATGGAAGTTATTTATTGGTTCTTACTCACTGAGGTATATTGGTTTCTAGAGCAGTCCTAGATGGAGATAATCCAAAAATTCTATTTAATTTGAGAAACTAAATACCTTACAAGCGCTTGTGGAAAGAATGGCTGCAACTTTATCTTTATAATAGCTTAAGATTAAAATATATGGGGCAATTTCTTCAAAGAAAGGAATTACTGATTTAATCACCAGAAATCAAATTCTTGCTAGCATGTATAAAGTTGTATGTAATTGAGAGATTTGCCTCTTTTGCTTATTCAGTGGGCTGTGAGCGCCAATTCCTTATTAATCTAGGCATATGGTTGATTGTTTTTATGCTTATTGATCTACCATAGTCGTATTTTCTTTTAAAATGTTTTTTTTTAATCTTTGTGACTTGGAGATTTGACAAATGAATAAATGCGACCTAGGCTTCCATATGGTAATTACAATCATGATGGATGTGCTAGCTAGAGTAGGAGCTGCTTTTTTCCCACCGCCACCTTAAGATGTGGAAAAGAAGGCTGGTTTAATAAGAGCACATCCCTGACAGGGAATATAATCACTTTTTCAAGACTGGAAGTTCAGCCTAGAATCTTTCAGCAATTTGTGATTAAAGTGAGAAGCAAAACTAGGTCCCCAGGTTTGGTGATAAATTTTGAAGGTGCTGGATGTTGGACAAGTGGACCTATTAACAAAAGACCCTCCTCATAAGTATCCAGCAGAGTAACTTATTGGCAGCAGCGTGACCCAGCACCAGTGCCCGAAGTGATAAAAAGGATAAAAACATACACACCACTGTTATCTTTTCCATAGGAGGCTTTTCTTTATAGCAAAATAATATGGTTGCACTATGTACAAGAAGAAGGTTTCCATAACATAAACAAAGTTCTTTATACTTCCTTATTTGCTTCCACACTGGGATTCTTTCTCATGCAGATAAAACAGCTTCACACTTACAGAGCGAAGCTGTTTTATCTCACACCGAAGTTACACAGCAGCCTTCAGACATGAACTTTACACACAAGGCCTTCAACCTGGGGCTTCTCTCACCAAAGCTTCTCACAGACTAAGGCATACCTCACACTGTGGCCTTCTATAACAGACTAAGGCTTACCTCACACTGTGGCCTTCTCTAACAGACTAAGGCTTACCTCACACTGAGGCCTTCTCTAACAGACTAAGGCTAATTTACCTCACTGTGGCTTTCTCTAACAGACTAAGGCTTACCTCACATTGTGAGGCCTTCTCACAGATTGAGACCTTTCTCCCAATGATGGAAACTAACACAGAGACCAGCTAAGCTACAGGCACACCTGCTTATATAGAACTGCAGCTTTTGCTGAGTCATTGCATCAATTTAACCCTTTCAGTGCTTGACTCACATTTTTGTAATTAAAAATAGTTAATTTTTAATATTTTTGATGCTGGATACACTGTCTTTCAGTCTAGCTCTTTTTAATCTTTTAAACCCCAATAATGGTCTTAAAAATGACACCTCGTAGCTCTATTCCAAGGGGCATTTTGAAGAATTAAATATGGTGTCTGAGAGCAATGGGGAGAGAAGCCCCATCAAGTTTGCTCTCCTGTAAGAATCCCCAAACACATTCTGACATGCCTACGCATAGCCAAAACTCCAGTTTCATGGTGTTTCAATTCAGTCTCCTACACAGCACACATGGCTTGGAATTGTGAATTTCCCTGACTGAGCACTGGATGCCTAGAACAGAAGATACAGAGCTAGGGCCAGGCATTTCATTGGCAAGTGACTTCCAGCATTTCCCATTTCTGTTGTCTGGTTCTCCACTGGGTCCCCATGTTTTTGCTATGCTGTGAGAATGTCTCTTTCTCTTCCCACTCTAGTTCTGAGCCAGGATATTCCACACATCTTTGCCTTGACACTCTATGAGGATTACATTTATTGGACTGACTGGGAGACCAAATCCATCAACCGAGCACACAAGACCACAGGCGCCAACAAGTCTGTGCTGATCAGCACTTTGCACCGACCTATGGACATCCACATCTTCCATCCCTTCAGGCAGCCAGATGGTGAGTCCCATGCTCCTAAGAGATTAAAGGAAGGGAGGGCATCCTTGCAAAGGGGTTGGGCCAACTTTAATCCATGGGGAGAATATCAGAGAGAATACTGGATTTAATATCTACCAGGACAGAATGGGAAGATGTGCTTCAAAGTATATTAAAGCAAGCCTGTGATAGAAAGAGCAAGGGGAAAGCTCCTGCACTGCTTAAACATAAAGACTGAGTACAAGTTGTTTTCTTTGCTAATCTGGAAAGTTACTCTGTAAACTCCTTATTTGTGATATGCATAAGTTAGATCAGGCACGGGCAAACTTAAACCCTCTGGGTGTTTTGGACTTCACTTCTTACAATTCCTCACAGCTGGTAGGATGCGAGAAATTGTGGGAGTTGAAGTCCAAAACACCTGGAGGGCCGAAGTTTGCCCATACCTGGATTAGATCCTTGCTTGCTGTCCTATTCATTCAGAATGTGACTATGGAGAGACAGTGAACTTCTTTCCTTTTCATATGGAGTCTTTTTGGAAACGGTAGATCCGACTTTACACACATGTGCATTTCAAGAACAGCAGTGTCCTTGTCCAAGTATGTTTACAGTCTATGCAAGACATCCAGGAGGGTTTTCTGGACAGAATCAGACCAGATCTTTAAGGAATCTAAACAACGTGCCCTGTGATGTTCACTCCTATTCCAGTGATTTGCACTGGGATTAGCCCAGTTCTGTATTCCCATCAGGTCTGTTGCCTGACATCAAAGCTCTGCATAAACAAGGCAGCAGTCATGCCACTTACAGTAAAAATATATAGATGTTTTGTTGATCTCAAACCTATTTCTTTCTCTCCTTGTAGGCATATGTTTTACTTTTTTGTTTTCCATGTAAACAATTTTCTGAACCACAATGCTCTAAAATACGGGGGATTGGTTAATCATGTAAAGAGGCACCCTTGGTGATTTTGCTTTACTCTTCATTTTTCCCCCTCCCTTTCTTCTTCTGTTTTTTTCTCTTAGTTCCCAATCATCCCTGTAAAGTCAACAATGGTGGTTGTAGCAACTTGTGCCTGTTGTCACCAGGGGGTAATTTCAAGTGTGCCTGCCCTACCAACTTTTATCTGGGTGAGGATGGCAGGACTTGCATCTCCAACTGCACAGCCAGCCAGGTAATATCATGGGACAGAGGGAACACATAGTATTTTAGTATCAGGTAGACATGCCCCAGCAGGCAATGTTATTTGGTGGTTTATTAAGGGAATCTTGTAGCACAAGTCTGGGGAATCTCTTGCCCTTTGGTCCCCCATCTCCTCCACATTGGGCAGTATGAACCTGAAAACCTAATGAAACCACATTTTTAATTATTCAAAGTATCAGGTAATCAGAGAAAATGGGGTGGGAAGACACGTTTGTGTTGTTTTGATATATTAATTTGGGTGTTTTATGTTTAAGTCTTATGTCGGTTATAATTTTCAATTGATTATGTTTTATTTAAATTAGCATTGTTATGCTTAAGTTGCTATTTATGTGAGGTTATCTTGGGTTTTTATATTTGTATTTACTGTTATAGAGGCATTGAATAGTTGTCTTTTTGTTTGTTGGAATTCACCCTGAGTCCCCCAGGGGAGATAGGGTGGAAAATAAATAAATATTTATTATTATTATTATTATTATTATTATTATTATTATTATTTGAAACACAGCAAGATCACAGCAGACAAGATCACTCTGCTGGCTGTTGTATTGGATCACACGTCAGGCACTTCCCAGGTATCTAGGACTGTGTGATGTATCGGCAAATAATGCGTGCAGATCCCAGTAAGGTGGCCTTCTGCAGCTGGCAGATAGTAATTTTGTCAGCGCCGATTGTTTTTAAGTGCAGGCCAAGGTCTTTAGGCACTGCACCCAGTGTGCTGATCACCACTGGGACCACCTTTACTGGCTTATGCCAGAATCTTTGCAATTCTATCTCTAAATCCTCACATCGTGTAAACTTTTCCAGTTATTTATCATCATCATCTTTATTTATATCCCACCTTTCTCCCCATGGGGACTCAATGCAGCTAACACTCTATCACTCCATGCTAGAGAGGTTTAAAAGGTGTCATACAAAAGTTGAAAAGCAATTCAATAGTAGCAGCGTGGTAAAAACAAATTTGAAATAGAGTAAATACACTAAAGGGGCCTTTAAAACTCATATTCCCCCCTATGCCACTCACAGAACCTCCTGAATTCAAAACCACAGCATAGGAGATAGAACAAGGGTTTGAGTTGGTTCAGCTGGAATTGAACAAAAAGTAAGAGGAAAAATGAAAGCTACAGGGGAGCTTTCTTCTATCCCATTGCTCATGACTTACCTCAGCTTTATGATCTTTACTTTCCAACCCTAGTTTGTCTGTAAGAATGACAAGTGCATCCCTTTCTGGTGGAAATGCGACACAGAAGACGACTGCGGGGATCGTTCGGATGAGCCGGAGAACTGCCGTGAGTAAACAGCTGGGAGGAGGTTCCCAAGCATTTGAGTGGCACAGCATACAGGACAAAATTATCACTGATTCGGCTGACTGAATGCTAAGTTGAAGTATATATGCCACAACTTTTGCTTCAGTGATGCCACTGTATGCTGAAACAACTTCCAGCTGAACAATAAGTACACCGTATAGCTTCATCTTTACTAGATAGTAACCAAGAGTGAGAATTCCCCTAATTTAACATTTTAAAATCAGTTTTTCACCAGTATGAACCATCTTCTGATTCAAAACAAACAACACATTATATGTAGTAGAATTTATTAGTAGAGGAATTTGGGACGGAAAGAGAATTGTGTGAGAAAGCTGATGATGCAACAATGGATGAGAGAGATTTAATTCCCCAGTTTGGCAGGGGAATGCCCTGAATCACAGGAAAAACATAGGAAGGTGTCTAACCTTCGGTTCTTCTAGTTCTGTGTAGCTACTCTTGAAAGGAGATTCCATCTGAACATTAGGAAGAACTTCCTGACTGTGAGAGCTGTTCAGCAGTGGAACTGTCTGCCCCAGAGTGTGTTTGAAGCTCCTTCTTTGGAAGCTTTTAAGCAGAGGCTGGATGGCCATCTGTTGGGGGAGCTTTGAATGTGATTTTCCTGCTTCTTGGCAGGGAGTTGGACTGGATGGCCCACGAGGTCTCTTCCAATTCTGTGATTCTATGAGTTCCAGCAACCTTGTAGGGTCTTCTTAGTGCTCTTCCACACAGTCTTATAACCCGGAATATCAAGGCAGAAAATCCCACAATATCTGCTTTGAACTGGGTTATCTGAGTCCACACTGCTGTATATCCCAGTTCAAAGCAGATAATGTGGGATTTTATTCAGCTGTGTGGAAGGGGCCTTAGACATGTTTTGCCTGATCTTTTACCTGGAGATGCTGAAGATTAAACCTGGGGTTTTCTGCAGGGTAAACATGCAGTCTGTCTTAGAGCTACAGTCCTTAAAATTCCTCTCCCAAAGCATCAAATAATTCTTTCTCTGTGCAGCTGAATTCAAGTGTCGCCCAGGTCAGTTCCAGTGCTCAACAGGAATCTGCACCAATCCAGCCTTCATCTGTGATGGAGACAACGACTGTCAGGACAACTCAGATGAGGCCAACTGTGGTAAGTGTTCTGTGTCTTTTAAACTACATGTAGGTGTCAATATATGCACATGTGCTGGCATTTGCTTCCTTGTTGGCACACCCTTGTGTAGCTGATGCTCAAGGTGACTGAAAACATTTCAGAGGAAGCTATCATGTCTCTAAAAATATAAGCAGAAAATGTCAAGGATTCAACAGCATATGGCTGTCTTGGCATGGGTGGGGTGTCTGTCAGCGCAACGGGTTAAACTGCAGAGCGGCTTAACTTGCTGACCAAAAGGTCAGCAATTTGAATCCGGAGAGCGGGGGAGCTCCCGCCCTTAGCCCCAGCTTCTGCCAACCTAGAAGTTCGAAAACATGCGAGTGTGAGTAGATCAATAGGTACCGCTTTGACGGGAAGGTAGCCGCGCTCCATGCAGTCATGCTGGCCACATGATTTTGGAGGTGTCTATGGACAATGCTGGTTGTTTGGCTTATAAATGGAGATGAACACCACCACCCCAGAGTCAGACACAACTAGACTTGATGTCAAGGGGAAACCTTTACCTTTTTTAAAAGGTCTCCAAATCCAGATCACCTCAACATACTCTCCAAAGCCCTCTCACCTTTGCTATCATATGCTCACCACTGGGTGACATGTATGCAATCCCAGAAAATGAGAACAAGGATGTTCCTGCTCTGCCTTGTTCAATAAAAAAGTGTCAATGTGTGTAGCTTAGGAGAATGCCTAGGTAACCTTTGAAAAGGCAATTCTTTTGAGATTCTACTTATTTGCAGTCTGTCTTGTGAGACTTCCTGACAAATGAACAGATTTGGTGTCTAAAATTTGAAAGAGTTGTTTGGTTCTTTTAAAGCTCTTTTCTTTTCTGCTTTCCAAATGACAGAAGTGCATGTTTGCCTGCCCAGCCAGTTCAAATGCACCAACACCAACCGTTGTATCCCTGGCATCTTCCGCTGTAACGGACAGGACAATTGTGGAGACGGAGAAGACGAGAAGGACTGTCGTAAGTCATGCTCAGAACAGAAGCAGGAACATATGAATAGGTGTCATTGTATGACCAATCCAAAATATACTAATATTGCTCTGTAATATATACACTGCTCTGACCCAAGAGACATATCATTTGATTAAAACATCTTGTTTCCAGACCAAAATAGCAAAGTTTGCAGGAAATGTGAGCTTTTCTAACCTGTAACTACTGTTTCAAAATAAGAAAATGTGCTTGGTTTGCATCATTCGTTTTGTTTCTGCTAATCATGGTGAAGAGTAAAGAACTGTATAGGCTATTATGATCCCTAGAGAAGCCTGTTCTTTCTCTTCTCTGGCTTTTGAGATTTCAATAAACACTGTCCAAACATAGTTTTACATATTTCTTCATTCCTTTGTGGCCTAGCAACTTGATGTAAATATGGAGGGGAAAGTGAGGATCCTGAAGATATGCAATTGTATATCTATTATGCATTTCTGCATCTAAGTAACAGAATGACAGTATTGGCATTACCATAGCTATTGTCCAACTCTATATTGGCAAGCCTTAATTTTGGGTGGACCTCTGCCTGTTTTGGAGTAGACTAGACCTTAGAATTGTCTCTTGCCTCCTCTTTCTATTTAGCGGAGGTGACTTGTGCACCAAACCAGTTCCAGTGTGCCATCACAAAACGTTGTATTCCACGAGTCTGGGTGTGCGATCGAGACAACGACTGTGTGGATGGATCTGATGAACCTGCCAACTGCAGTAAGAAACTACATTTGCTGAAAAGGATAATGCTCAAAGACCTTTGTAATGGGAGATGGAAAATAGGTTGACTTTCCTTAGGGACCTACAGTGTCTGATTAGAATGTCTCAGCTTTCCTTTGTCCTTTAGGAAGATGAATTTGACTCTTGTATCTTAGATACATTTGCAGAAGATGTCACAAGGTGCTGTTAGGGAATTAATACACAATGAGAGCTCACACACTTACTGTAACACCAGAATCGTGTGCAAGCCTCATAGAAGCAAGAAGGATTTGATCCCCCTTGCTCTGAATCAGGTTTATATCTTTTGAACTGGTCTACTTCAGGTAGCTTGATGGGACCTGTCTAGAGCTTTAAATAGGTATTTTAATTGTTTTGCTTTAAGAAATTCTCAAATTCCACATGGGACTTATTAATAAGAATGTTTTCTGATGTTCATAAATTGAGTAAACAGTCATGTTTTTCACTTATTGTAAATCTTGCAAAATTGGGGGGAAATTCTGAAGACAAAAAGGGTATATAGGAGGAATGGACAAAGTGCAATATAAAGAAGGGTGCATTAGCAAGAATGTACAAAATACATTTGGATGGAAGGATATTAGAGACAAAGTTGAAGTACTTTGACCACATCATGAGGAGACAGGAAAGCTTAGAGAAGACAATTATGCTGCGGAAAATGGAAGTTAAAAGGAAGAGGGGCCGACCAAGGGCAAGATGGATGGATGGCATCCTTGAAGTGACTGGCTTGACTCTGAAGGAGCTGAGGGAGGTGACGGCCGACAGGGAGCTCTGGCATGGGCTAGTCCATGAGGTCACGAAGAGTCGGAAATGACGAAACAAATGAACAACAACAACAATAAAATACATACCCAACCCAATATACTCTATTGGGATAGAAGCATCTAGGACACACAAATGGCCATTCAGAGTTAATTGTTTTGGCCCCATTTTTTTTCAAAGCAAGGGTTGATTTAAAAAAAGGCAGATCAAATTATCTTCTAGTAACATGTATCCACCTCAACCTTTCAAATAGCTGTTTCTTTCAACCCTCCTAGCACAAATGAGATGTGGTCTGGATGAGTTCCGGTGCAAAGATTCAGGCCGGTGCATCCCTGCACGATGGAAATGTGATGGGGAGGATGACTGCGGAGATGGCTCAGACGAGCCCAAAGAAGAGTGTGGTGAGTTGATAGTGCAGTCAAATGGCTTTGTTGAGCCAAAGTGCCAAAAATGGCTGGCTTGGCCTGTTTTCTGTAGACTCTTGCCTGAGAGGGTCAAGTTCTGGAATGTTTATAAATGTTTCTCATTTACAACCTATGGGAATCCTAGGGTTTTCTTGTCAAGGTTTGTTCAGAGGGTAATTTACCTTTGCCTTTCATTAAGGATAAAAAAGTGGGATTTCCCCATAGTCAACCAGGAAGTTTACATGATAGAGCTGTCATTTGACCCTTAACCCCCAGGGTCCTGACCAACAACCAGACCCACTACACTACCCTGGCTCTGTTCCATAGGACCATAACATCACCCAGAGTGTGGGAGAAGGGACAAGGAGGAAGTTACACTACTCCATGTATTTAAAGCCTTAAGGCGGATGCATAGTGGTTAATTTGCTGTCCTTCCCCTTCCCAACATCACATCCTTTGTTTTTAGATGAACGGACCTGTGAGCCATATCAGTTCCGCTGCAAGAACAACCGCTGTGTACCAGGCCGCTGGCAGTGCGACTACGACAACGACTGTGGAGATAACTCAGATGAAGAGAGCTGTAGTATGTGTCCCCTTCCACCTCTTTGCTAGATAGCAGAATGTTTGCATGTGGTGTTGGGGAGGGAGGAATGGTCTTTTGTCTTTTCTTATCCTAATCAGGCTGAGCTGAGTAGAGAAGATGAAATGAGCATTGCTTGAGGGAAGGGGGAGGGGGACAAGTGCTGGGAAACCAACATAAATCAGGCCTTCCTTTGCTGTCAAGAAGCACCTCCTTGTACAACCAGTAAGCAAGATAGGGAGTGACCTTGAGACTAGAATAATTGAGAGAAAATAAATGGTTGTGTTTTGTCATCTTGGTGTAATTTTGAGAGGGAGAAATACAGGACTCCTACCACTCCTAAGACATGCTCTCCAAAGCTATCCAAGTCATTGACTGTTTCCCTTCCTTTCCTTTTGTGCTAGTTCCTGTACCCATTTCAGCCTATGGTAGCAGTAGGGAAACCCTGGCTTCTGTAGACTTTCCGTGCTACCTACATCATCCCATGATAATGCAAGTGTAAGGACAGACCACCACAGGAATCAACACAGAGCAGCTTTTGGCACACCATCCAAAATTGGTGTTCTGGTTATTTATTGTCATCCAATAGTTGTTTTTTTTTGGGGGGGGGGGGTTGTGTCAGAAGCTACTTGAGAAACTGCAAGTCTAGTGTGGGAGAATTGGCCGTGTGCAAGGACGTTTCCCAGGGAACAACCAGTGTTTTACCATCCTGTGGGAGGCTTCTCTCATGTCCCTGCATGAGAAGCTGGAGCTGAAAGACGGGATCTCACCCCGCTCTCCAGATTTGAACTACCGACCTTTTTATCAGCAGTCCTGCCGCACCAAGGTTTAACCCATTGTGCCACTGGGGACTCCTATCCAATAGTTGAGAAAACACAGATGTTTTCTGTTTTCCCCATAACCAAGCAGGTTCTTTTGAGGACTGATTTGTCCTGAGCTGAGCTAGGAGGGATCTTCTCCACTTCTACATAATGGTATTTTGTTCTTCTCACCCACATATTTGATAATTCCTTAAATCCACGTTCTGCTTCCCATGCCTGAGCAACTTGAGAAAAGAGCATAGGAAAGTTTGTTGTTTTGGACAATAGCTCTAGGAATCCCTTAGCCAGAATTGCTCTTAACCGAGGGGTCTTTGTAGTTGTAGTCCAATGCTAGGATAGAAAAAGAGAGAGAGGGATGTACACAAGTGCCACGTCTTTTCCATCTGGGAAGAGAAAGTGGATTCAAGAATTAAACTTTTCACACGTCAACTTTGCTCTCATTGACTGCTAAAAGCAGTATATTCCTTTTTGAGATTGAGAAAATTTTCTAGAAAAGACATGTGATGGGTGGGAACCCAAAAATGATGGTCTGGCTAGTAATGGGTTGATTGCTGTAATCTTGGAAGAAAAGAGATCAGGGTGTGCTTTTACATGGCCAAGCTTTGAGCAAGACTTTTATTAAAGTTTTAAGATGGATGGCACACCTCATTTTCTCCCACCCCGTTTCCCCAACCTCTCCTTGTACCCTTGTAGAATCTAAAATGTAACTTTCTTTTAGGTTTTTTTGTTGTTGTTATATTTTTGCCACATTGTGTAATTTGAGTTTGTGCCATTTCATCTCATCTTATGTTTTTCTCCATTTTCACACTGTCGTATCGGGGGTTGCAGAGGTAGGTTTCTGTCAAAAATACTTCTTTTCCTTCTCCTTTAAAGCTTTAATTGTGTTGAAAGGGGAACATGGGATGGGGATTTTCTTTGCCTTCCAAAGTATTTGCCCTCCCCACCTTACCCCTCCCTCCTCCCAAGGTACTAAATGGAGCAGGTTTCTGTTTTTGATGCTTTCTTAGCTCCTAGAGATCCAACCTTCTACCTAGCCCCTTTTGCAGGACAAACTGGGCTGAACTATATCTTCTTCAATCACTGGCAAAGGTCCAAGGGTACATTCAGTTTCTCCTTAGCAAATCTTTCATTGCCAGTGGGTACCAAATATGCTTGCTCTGTAAAACCGTGGAGGGCAACTGGAATATTGCAAATCTTCAGCACCACAAAAAAAAGGCAACAGAGGAAGGACCATAGTACAGTGTTCCCTCGCTATTTCGCAGTTCGCTTTTTGCTGTTTTGCGGTTTTTCAATAAATACAGTAATGTATATATTTACACTGGAGCTACGCCTCTCCTTGCCACATGCATCGTGGGAGATGCAAGCCTGGGAAACCACCTCCTGCAGGCACTTGAGATGCTACTTGCCACTGTGAGATTGTGATAGATAGATAGATAGATAGATAGATAGATAGAGAGATAGATAGATAGATAGATAGTGTTCCTACTTTGCGGATTTTCACTTTTTGCGGGTGGCCCTGGAACACTGTACACATGGGTTGGCTGTAGAACAGTGGTTCCAACCTTTGGTCCTCCAGGTGTTTTGGACTTCAGCTCCCACAATTCCTAACAGCTGGTAAGATGGCTGAGATTTCTGGGAGTTGAAGTCCAAAACACCTGGAGCACCAAAGGTTGGGAACTACTGCCTTAGAAGGTCACAGGTTTAATCTCCACATGGAGCTGGGTTAATCTCTTCTCTGAAGCTGTGAGAGATGGACCAGTCATCTGGTTCTGTATGAGATAACTTCCTGTCTGTATAATATTAGTCATGACAATTCTGAGATGCTACTGTCTTATGCCAAAAGAAACAGCAGTTTGCTTTACTTCTCCCGTCTCCACTGCACTTCATATGGAAGTTTCCATGTCTTTATAGCAGCACATATGCACCTGGTGGCACAGCAGATTAAACCGCTGGGCTTCTAAACTTGTTGACTGAAAGGTTGGCAGTTTGAATTCGGGGAGCGGAGTGAGCTCCTGCTGTTAGACCTAGCTTCTGCCAACCTAGCAGTTAGAAAACATGCAAATATGAGTAGATTAATAGGTACCGCTTCTGTGGGAAGGAAATGGTGCACCATGTAGTCATGCTGGCCACATGAGCTTGGAGGTATTTACATATGTATAAAACAGCTATACAGTTTCAAGACACAAAGATAATCTATATGGAAATAAATAAATAAATTACTGAAGATATAAATGTCACTCTTCAAGAGAGTTTGGAAAGAGGAAAGAATAGGGAGTTTCAGTTATACTTCAGTGCTTCATCTGCTATAAAGATAGACATGGTTAGGGTTTAGTGTTATATTTATTTGAATGAAGATTAGTTTGTATCTTTTAACATAGGGAATTATTTTTATGAATTCAGATATTGATACATATGCTAACTTTTCTTGGTATAAACAAAGCTTCAGCATCCTTCTCCCAGACTTTGGGAATGCTTCTTTTGAGGGATTACAGAATCTCCCAGCCATCATGACTGCCACTACCTGAAGGATTATGAGAACTGTACTCCAATTACTTAGCCTTACCAAGATGTAGTTGTTCCTCTCCCTGGCCCTCATCACTGTAGGGTTTATATGGAGCATGCCCAGATGATAGTGGTTTGCCACTTTTATTCTCAAACAACAGCTTGAGGTGGAGCTCTCAGCCAGTACAGTACATGTAGCCTCCAAACTCTGCTGATGTATAGTGCAGCTTGAGACAGCTAGAAACCAAGGGCCCTTCTAGACAGGCCCTTTCTCCCAGGATCTGATCCCAGGTTTTCTGTTTATCCCTGATTATCTGGCAGTGTGGACTCATATAATCCAGTTTAAAGCAGAAAACCTGAGATCAGATCCAGAGATTTAGGGCCTGTCAGGAAGGGCCCCAAGATGTTCCATTTCTCCTCTCCATCCCTACTTGTTTCCCTCTGTGGCTTCTCCTATGTTCTCTTCCTTGTTGTCAACAATATGCTTTGTTAGATTCATAGTTCTGTTTATTCCTACCCAGTGACGTACTAGGAATAAACAATCACATTAAATCCCTGAATTATATAGTACCCACCCATCCCACCCTTTCTGTGCTCATTGAGGCTTTCCAGCTCACCTGTCCTATGCTTCTTCTCTGTCTGCAGAACCCAGGCCTTGCTCTGAAAGTGAATTCTCCTGTGCTAATGGACGCTGTATTGCTGGCCGGTGGAAATGTGATGGGGATCATGACTGTGCTGATGGCTCTGATGAGGTAATGGACATTCTGATTTGGTTTCAAGCTTGAGGAGGTTTTTTGTTGTTGTTGTTGTTGTGTCAGGAGCAACTTGAGAAACTGCAAGTCGCTTCTGGTGTGAGAGAATTGGTCATCTGCAAGGACGTTGCCCAGGGTACGCCTGGATGAATTGATGTTTTTATCATCCTTGTGGGAGGCTTCTCTTATGTCCCCGCATGAGGAGCTGGAGCCGATAGAGGGAGCTCATCTGCCTCTCCCCGGATTCGAACCTGTGACCTGTCAGTCTTCAGTCCTGCCAGCACAGGGGTTTAACCCACTGCGCCACCAGGGGCTCCCCAAGCTTGAGGAGTAGTAAAGTTTTTTTTGTTTTGTTTTTGACTTTTACTGTTGATATGGTCAGTGGACAAATCAATAAACTTTACTAAGCTTGAGGAGTAATAAAGTTTATTGATTAGCCCACTGACCATATCAACAGTAAAAGACAAAAACAAAAAAAGTACGCAAATAGAAATTAATCACTGTCCTAAAACTCCTGTAATACTGAACATACATTAAAACACCCATTAAAACTTGATTAAGTTAAAAGTTAAAGATAATTAAAAATGTCATCATTAAAGTGCCAAGTGGTTTCAAGCTTGGTTATGGTATGGAGATGTCTGGGCTGCTATGATGGATGATTATGCAGGACCCAGACAAGGAAAAATATGGTACCTATAGGTTCTGTCGAACGTCTCAGTACCATCAATTATCCTTTCTATGATTAGGCTTTGGAGCAAAAGATTCCAGTGCTTCTCGGAAGCATACATTCAGATGGTGCTGGAAGATGCCAGTTTGACAGCATGGCTGTTGGTCTGTGGTGTCTCTCAGGGTTCAGTTTAATAACCCATGGTGTTTAACAGGTGCATGGAACTTTGGGCAGAGGTCAGCAGGAGCATGCTGGTGATATCCAACTTCAATATTTGCTGGATTAATTTTTGTGCATTTTTAATTATTCACAGATTAATATGGAATCTCTAGGTCCACACATAATCCCTCTGTGGCCAAACTTTGATGGGTTATTTGGCTGAACCCTTTTCGATTGGCCAAAGGCCAGCCCCTGTCTCAGAGTTGAAGAACTCGCCATCACTGAGTGATCTTGTTTGCTTGCCTTCCTTCCCTTCCCCGTTTCTCCCTTTACAGAAAGACTGCAAGCCGCGTTGTGATCAAGACCAGTTCCACTGCAAGAGTGGGCACTGCATTCCACTTCTGTGGCGCTGTGATGCTGATGCAGATTGCATGGATGGCAGTGATGAGGAAGACTGTGGCACCAGAGGTAAGGGTCCTCCCACATCTTCTTGCCCCTTGGGAAGAAGTGGTTACAGTGGCTTCATTTTAGGACCAATTCGAGTGTGAGGAATCAATGCCGGGGGGGTGGGGGGGGGTGAAGTAAAACATTGGCATACCTATGAGTGTCAAGTTCCAGAACTCCCTTTTCCTGGAAATACAGTAGTTGTCACTTTTATACAATCCTTGGCAACCAGGTTCAAAGCTGGCTTCATTCTTGAAGGACAAAGAGGAAAGTGTTCTCTAGTGATTGCCCTTTTGTATCAGCTGACCCCAGGTGGCTTACCTGCATGTGATAGCAATGCTACAAACAGAATTGATCTGTGTAGTGTAGCCACTCTGTTTACTGCAGTGTTCCAGAGTATGACGCATTGAGAGAACTGTAAAAGATGATTTGACTGGAATTTTAAAAGAAAAATGTTACAAAACAGAGCATGCTAGATTGATCCCAAGCAACTGCCCAAGGATACCTCATCTTTATGAAGTGATATACACTGAGTGTTGGGGTGTAAAGAATACAGCCAAATGCAATAATAATAATAATAATAATAATAATAATAATAATAATAATAGGATTTAAAGATCGAACTGCAAAGACTCTGGCACAAGCCAGTAAAGGTGGTCCCAGTGGTGATCGGTACACTGTGTGCAGTGCCTGAAGACCTTGGCCTGCACTTAAACACAATCGGTGCTGATAAAATTACCATCTGCCAGCTACAGAAGGCCACCTTACTGAGATCTGCACGCATTATTTGCCAATACATCACACAGTCCTAGACACTTGGGAAGTGTCCAATGTGTGATCCAATTCAACAGCCAGCAGAGTGTCTGCTGTGGACTCATCTTGTTGTGTTTCAAACAACAACAACAACAACAAACTTTATTTATACCCTGCCCTCTCTCCCTGAAAGAATTCGGGGCAGTTTACAGCAAATCATGGATAAACAAAAAACAATAGTGAACAATTACTGTATTACTACATAACATTAAAATTACTTATTATTAAAAAAAACATTTATAAATAACAGTTTAAAAGCTATTTGCCATCTAAAACCAATTTAAATATAAACATTGAGTCTAAGAAACGTATTAATGAAGATTTAGATTCCTGTAAATCCCTAGGTGTGGAAATGGTCATTGCCTATGTTTTTAAGACCTCTGGAGTGGGGACACCTCCAAATGAGACTCTCGGTGCATGCAATCCTCTTGATCAAAGCTTGTAAAATATATGTGGGAGGACTATAGTTCCCAAGAAAGTTTTAGTCCAGAAAGCAGTGTTCTCCCAAGTTCTTATCTCAGTTGCTGATGCATTCAGACCCACTTACTACTCCACAGTGCGGACCTGTCCCTTGGATGAGTTCCAGTGCAACAACACCCTGTGCAAGCCTTTGGCCTGGAAGTGTGATGGCGAGGATGACTGTGGGGACAACTCTGATGAGAACCATGAGGAATGCTGTGAGTATCCTGGACTTTGTTCCCTGCTTCTATTTGCTTTTCTACACCCATAATAATGCATGTGCATGATTTAATGGTTACATTTATAGTGAAGCCCCATCCAGTTGTATTTATGCCCTCAGATTCAACAACCATTCATTATCATGTCTATAAAATTCCAGCTCAACTCCCAATCCTCCCACCCTGTGGAAGTCCATTGGTACCAGGCAGGTGTGTGGAATTTCCCTGGACCGAATGAGGAAAGAGAGGAAGAGAGAAAGGGTGGCAGTGCCAAGGGGAGAACCAGAAAGAAAGACATAGCTGGAGAGAATGAGAAGAGTGTGAAATCCTAGATGGAGATCACTCACTAGGCACCCTTTATAAAATGCAGGGCTAGACCAAACCAGTTTATTGCCTGAAGAACTGGACATGTTTAGCCTGCAGAAGAGAAGGTTAAGAGGAGAAATGATAGCACTGTTTAAATATGTGAGGAGGGAACAAGCTTGTTTTCTGCTGCCAGATTAGGAGGTGGAACAATGGCTTCAAACTACAGGAAAGGAGATTCCACCTGAACATGAGGAAGAACGTCCTAACTGTGAGAGCTGTTCAGCAGTGGAAGTCTCTGCCCCGGAGTATGGTGGAGGCTCCTTCTTTGGAGGCTTTTAAACAGAGACTGAATGTCCATCTGTCAGGAGTGCTTTGAATGTGATATTCCTGCTTTGTGGAAGAGGGTTGGACTAGATGGTTCACGAGGTCTTTTCCAACTCTTATGATTCTATGAAGTAGACCAGCAGGTTCTGACTTCTGCTCAACCAGGTCAAGGTCCTAGTCTCCAAAGCTAGCCAAGCTTTTTTGGCACATGAAACAGACAATTACAGAATAACCTCTCAGTGTCCATGAGAGTAACAAAACAACTGTTTAAAAAGTAAGGAATTTGTAGTTTGCTTTTCTTTAATGTCTGATTTGTTCACAATGCCCTGTAGAAAACCAGGGCACTGTGAACAAAGAGGGGTGAACAAATCCTTGTTCATTTTTCCCCAAAACTAGGATTCAGGAAATAGAGGAATGGAAGATGTAAGTGTGGTTGGGGAATCCTACATTGTTACTCACCCCTCTTGGGTCACAGTAATCTTTTGCCATCTTTTGTCTGACATTCTGACCATTTTTCTCTTTTTCTGCTACAGTGAAATTCCAGTGTCCGCCCAACAGACCTTTCCGCTGCAAGAACGATCGCGTGTGTCTGTGGATTGGCCGCCAATGTGATGGCATTGACAATTGCGGGGATGGTACTGATGAGCAATTCTGTGGTGAGTGCCTCAGCCTCCCTTATACACTCACAGGGTGTGCAAAAGTATTGCACAGAGCCCCGCAAGATGACCCTATCTTTCTCAGGGTCCTTCCACACAGCCACATAAAGCCCTAAACGGTTTGGGCCCCGCCTTTTTCCGCGATCGCATCTCCTGCTATGAACCGGCACGAGCTCTAAGATCTTCCGGGAAGGCCCTCCTCTTGATCCTACTACCGTCTCAAGCGTTGTTGGGGGGGATGAGAGAGAGGGCCTTCTCAGTGGTGGCCCCCCATCTCTGGAACGCCCTTCCAAGGGAAATAAGACAGGCCCCATCCCTCCTTTCGTAAGAGCTTGAAGACCTGGTGGTTTAACAAGCCTTTGAAAATGACCAGTTCTAACTCAGCCCTACACATTCTCGAATATGGCCTTATTCTTCCTACCAATTACCCAGATTCTGTCCTCTAATCGGCCCCGGAATGAACAGCCACAGACCCATTCCTAATATTATTGTTGCCTGCCATTGCATTGCACTTAATTCCTGCCCCCCCCCCCCCTAGAAGTTTTGGGCTTGCACAAATCTTGGCCCGGCCTTTTAAATTTTTTATTGCCTGGAACAGGCAGGATTACTTTTAATATATGTGTGCTCTGTCGACAATTTTTATGCTTATATTTTGTTTTGTTAATCTTATGATTATGTTGTTTTTACTTGTATGTTTTGTGATGTTACCTGGGAACCGCTCTGAGTCTCCTCGGGGAGATGGAGCAGTATATAAATAAAGTATTATTATTATTATTATTATTATTATTATTATTAAACCCAAAATATTAAGGTGGAAAATCCCACAATATGTGTTTTGAACTGGGATATCTGAGGACACACTGACATATATTCCAGTTCAAAACAGACAAACTGGGATTTTATTCAGCTGTGTGGAAGGGGCCTCAGATTCCTCCATTGCTCCTCAGATTGTAGATTGCTATTTTGCTGTACTCAGTCTATAACTAATGAGAGCAGAGATGTTAAATAACAGCTAAACCTGAATCTCTCCCTGACTCTTGTGATACTTGACAAACATGTCTTCTGTGGATGAAAATCAGAGCCACTTTCCTCTATATACCCCAGTAGTTTACTTCCAGAATGACCTATATATCAAGGAGGCTTTCTCCTGTCATTTTGCATGAATCTCTGTCTTGAGTTTGGCTCCTGATTGGAAAGACGCAATTACAGATGTGACTCATGCCTCATATACTTAGGCATATTCCTTTGTGGTTGGGGCTACTTCATTGTGCCTTAGAATTTGGGATGATTCAGTTCTTTTTCGCAGTTGGTTCTGCTCTTTTAGAACGGAAAAGGCAAGGTAAGAGAAATTTGACATCACAAGCACATTTGTCATAAGTTCTCCCTGCTCTCTCCAAAATTTTGCAGAATCACCAACTGTAAGGAGCTGCAGCCACGAGAAGAATGAATTCCACTGCTTGAATGGGAAATGCATCAGTGCAGAGCTTCAGTGCAACTTCTTTGATGACTGTGGAGATGGATCCGATGAATATAAATGCTTGACAGGTGAGTATATTAATCTTTCAAAGGCTGACAGATTTGGGCTAGGACCATAGGTTGGGATTGGTAATGCAGGGAGAAGGGGAGTTTTAGAACACTAGGCATGATATCTGTGTATGCTTTGGCAGATCACACATGCTCCCCATTTGCAACTCAACTCTTCACCTGCCCCTCCCTTTGGTGTTGGCTGATACAAGATTTGTCCATTTCCATTTTCTGCCTGTAGATCCCAAGACCTACGGATGTCACACTAATGTGTCTATGTGTGGTGATGATGCCAAATGTATCCAGACCAACACATCTGTGTATTGCACCTGCCCCAGCGGCTTCCAGAAAGTGCCTGACAAGAATTCCTGCCAAGGTACTGAGCCAAGAGATGGGTCCTGCCAAGAAAGTTATTGGAAATACAAGAAACAAACCTGGGAAGTGTGTTGCAAATTTCACAGGAGGGTGTAAGCTTGCACCACCTACAACAGAGTATCTGGAGATGTGTAGAAAACGTTGGAAGAAATTTCACTAGATTTTATGCAAAATCTTTTTGTTCCTGTCATTGTTTCCTCCAAAACCACATTGAAATTTTGCTTCAGTCATAACTTTGCTGACAGGGTTTGGTATAGCTAGAAGCAGCTCCAAACACACCCAAGCTATAAAAATATTTACCCCTGCCTCAGAGTAGTAACCAAAGCAGATATTTCAGTACCTTCTGGCAAACAAATTACTCATATGTGGGCTAGGCCAAACTACGGTTAGGTGGATCTGTAATTGGTTAAATGTATGAACTCAGAGGATGCTCAGCAATGTTTCCTCTTTATCTTGGAAAGAAGTGATGAATGGAGTGCCATAAGCAGGGTCCTGTCCTGGGCCCGGTCCTGTTCAACATCTTTATAAATTACTTAGATGAAGGGTTAGAAGGCATGATCATCAAGTTTGCAGACGACACCAAATTGGGAGGGATAGCTAATACTCCAGAGGACAGGAGCAGGATTCTAAACGATCTTGACAGATTAGAGAGATGGGCCAAAACTAACAAAATGAAGTTCAACAGTGACAAATGCAAGATCCTCCACTTAGGCAGAAAAAATGAAATGCAAGATACAGAATGGGAGACTCCTGGCTCAACAGCAGTACGTGTGAAAAAGATCTTGGAGTCCTCGTGGAGAACAAGTTAAACATGAGCCAACAATGTCATGCAGTAGCTAAAAATGGTGTGTGTGTGTTAGCATATAGATGACAATGGATCCCAGATCTTTAGATGGCCTATCCTAGTGGTTTCATGTAGATGTTAAACATCACAGAAAACAGAACCAAGCCCTGAGGACACCACAGTGTCCAGGGGATCACTATCCTCTTAGAAAAACCAGAGCCACTCCTAAATTGGTGCGCTCTAGGTTCCATCCCAGAGAGGCAACTCAGAAGGATGCTGTGGTTGATGGTTTCAAAATCTATTAAGATGTCTAGCAGAACCAACAGCGACACACTTCCCTCTTTAGTTTCTATGAAGGATCTTGACCAAATCTTTTATTCTAGTTATGGTCATTCTCATGAACATCTAAACAGAATTTTCTGGTTCAGTATTTGTTTTTCATATTTGTATTACCTCTCAATAAATTGAATCAAAATATTTTACTGCAGGAAAATCCTTGTGTCAGCAGTGACCCTTTTTGTTTGCTTTATGTTGTAATTGCAAAATATATTTTCTGAGTATTTAGTAATCGTAATCAGAATCCATGATTGTATATGTAGCTGCAGGATTGTTGAAAATGTGAAAGGTAAGAAGAATGTCAGATACAATCCTGCAGATAATGGTAACCGCTACAGGTGAAACTGGTGTCACAAATGGTAGAGTTGTATTTCTGGAGTAAGTGAGCCTTTTTTTTTTTTTTTGTCTTTTCCCATGTTCTAGTTTGATTGCTTGAGAAAGTTGGACAAGAGTTGGTGGCAGGACAGGGAAAAAAAGAGTACTGGTGAATTTTGGGGGAAAGTGTCTTTCTGTAATATAGACTTCCAATGTTTGCAACCAGTAACCTTGTTTTTATGTTTCACCTGTTCTTTCCAGACATCAATGAATGCCTGAAATTTGGAGTTTGCAGTCAGCTCTGCAATAACACAAAGGGCTCATATATGTGTACTTGTGCCAAGAACTTCATGAAGACCCATCAGATGTGCAAGGCAGAAGGTACCAGCACCTTAACTAGGAGGAACCTTTTTTTCATAGTCTGTGTTGTTGAGTGTGTGCGCACCTATGCATGCTTAACAGGCCCGTGATAATGCACTTCTTCATAAGATGTCATGCAATTGACAGCCTTTCTCCTATAGGCTATCACTTGTACTTTGTCAGTAACCGCTTCACTGAAAAAAGAAGTTATGTCTGATATTTGTGGAAAACAAGGAATAAAGCTGAGATAAAACAGTGGCAGCTTAAGCTCTTGGAGGCTAAGGAAACATATATCTTCTTAATGGAGGATACGTATCTCTTCTTCCACTTCAGATTTTGTTTTATCATATTGTTTGGGGAATTCTGAGAGCTGTATTCAAAGAAATTAGCTTTTCCTGTGATTCTAACAATGAGACTCTCTCCAAGCCCAAAAATGCATTTATTTCATTATAAAAAATGATTAGCTGTTTTGGATGGTTCATGTCCACTTCCTCAACATTCGCCTGATAAATAGATAGCTAAGGGGTTAAAATTCATTAAAATGTATGCAATTTCTACTGGTTAGGATTATTACATGCACATTTAGAGATACTTGTTTGTTTATTTATTTATTTACGACATTTATATGCCGCCTTTCTCACCCTGAAGGGGACTCAGAATGGCTTACAAGATATATATACATACAATATATTATTAGCATAGTACAATATCAGTTTTAAATATTGCTATATTGTACTATATCAATTATACTGTAATTCTAGCATTTCCAAAAGTGAAATAAAGCCATTAGTGTCACAACATGGTGTGCTTTATTAAATGATCTACCCTCTTCTCCATGTGTGTAATATTTGATTAAGTGCCCTATAATGATTATTCAAGGGTTTCTTGGACCTCTCTTCCTTTCCAGGATCTGAATATCAGGTACTTTACATTGCTGATGACAACAAGATCCGCAGCATGTACCACTTTAACCCCAACTCAGCCTATGAGCCTGCCTTCCAAGGGGATGAGAGTGTCCGCATTGCTGCCATGGATGTGTATGTCAAGGGCAACAAGATCTACTGGACCAACTGGCATACGGGACACATCTCTTGCCGAGAGCTGCCATCCACAGCTGGCTCTAGTGCTTCCAATCGTAATCGGAGGCAGAGTGATGGTGCGGTCACCCACCTAAATGTATGTAACAGAGCTTTTGTAAGAAAATACAAGGAGGTGCCAAGTTGAAAAAAATGGGAATCCAGAAGTGTAGTTAGAAAGATCCTATTGTTCACTTTTTGATGCCTGTAGTGTGTTGACTTTTACAGATATCAGGGCTGAAGATGCCAAGGGGTATTGCCATAGACTGGGTTGCTGGAAATATTTACTGGACAGATTCAGGACGTGATGTCATTGAAGTCGCACAGATGAAAGGCGAGAACCGTAAGACGCTGATCTCTGGCATGATTGATGAGCCACACGCTATTGTAGTGGATCCACTACGAGGGTAAGATGTGCCACTCTACAGTTTTATGGCTTGGGTTTTTTGCCAACTACTTCTGCCTCTCACCGCTCCAGAGTAACCTGAAAGAATCTCTCTTTCTTTATAGTACCATGTACTGGTCTGACTGGGGGAATCACCCTAAGATTGAGACGGCTGCTATGGATGGGACTCTGAGGGAGACCCTTGTACAAGACAATATCCAATGGCCCACAGGTGAGCTCAGAGTGGGTGGATTTTAGCTTTCACATTTCTTTGCTAGGTATTAATCAAACATTAAGCCACTTACAAAACTACATGTTTTCTTTTTTAATGTTTTTATTCAGGAAAATATCAAATAAAACATACAATCATTTTAAGTATATAAAAATATCAAATCTACACAACTACTTACTAGAAGCTATTAGTGCACTACAACTAAACAACTATAAAAATATACAAAACTATGAACTTCTCACTCTCTATCTGATAATTATTAACTCTTATTAGTTTACTCCCTTTAAACAATATTGCAGTCACACTTCTACCTTGCGCATCACTGTGTAAATTCATTGATCCCACAGTTGAAAACTGTCCCTACCATTTCTGTAAAAAAAGTCATGAACAGGTCCCAGTCTTTCTTAAAACAGATCAAAGGTTTCTCCATAATCAATGTTTCCATCTCAGCTAATTCAGAGACTTTCGTCAGCCTTCATCTCCTTGCATTGGGATAACGGCCTCCTTCCTTTTTCTGGAATACACAATTCTTGCAACAATTGTCATATATTGTAGCATTCTCCCCAATTTTCTTTCTAGATCAGTAATTCTCAACCTTCCTAATGCTGCGACCCCTTAATACAGTTCTTCAGGTTGTGGTGACCCCCAACCATAAAATTATTTTCATTGCTACTTCATAACTGTAATTTTGCTACTGTTATGAATTGTAATGTAAATATCTGATATGCAGGATGTATTTTCATTCACTGGACCAAATTTGGCACAGATACCCAATACGCCCAAATCTGAATACTGGTGGGGTTGGGAGGAATTGATTTTTGTCATTTGGGAGTTGTTGTTGCTGAGATTTATAATTCACCTACAATCAAAGAGAATTCTGAACTCCACCGATGATCAAACTGAACCTACCTTGGCACACAGAATTCCCATGACCAACAGAAAATACTGGAAAGGTTTGGTGGGTATTGACCTTGAGTTTTGGAATTATCATTCACCTACATCCCGAGAGCACTGTGGACTCAAACAATGATAGATCTGGACCAAATTTGGCATGAATACCCAATATGCCCAATTGTGAACACTGGTGGAGTTTGGGGAAAAATAGACCTTGACATTTGGGAGTTGTATTTGCTGAGATTTGTTGTTCACCTACAATCAAAGAGCATTCTGAACCCCACCAGATAGAATTGGGCCAAACTTCCCACACAGAACCCCCATGGCCAACAGAAAATACTGTGTTTTCTGATGGTCTTTGGTGACTCCTCTGATACCCCCTCATGACTCCTCCCAGGGGTCCCGACCCCCAGGTTGAGGAACACTGTTCTAGATGATCATGTGGCATTCGAGGCAAATACAACTATGGGCCATGGCTGTACTTTCTCTGTATCAATGATACACAGATGCTGTGATCAGAATGAATGGTGCAAATTCCCCATATGTAGCAATATATGAAATTGCCTGATAATGAACATGAACAACCTCATAACTTCTTTTCCAAACTTCCCCGATCTAATTCTCTTCAGAAGTTTTGGACCATATCTCCCATTGGACCCAGCTGATATGACACGGGATCATGGGAACTGAAGTCTAGGACAGTTGAAAGGCTTCAGATTAGGGAAATCTGGGCTGCTGTGACTGGCAATAGTTCTCCAGGGTCTGAGACCCAGGAGAGGGCCTTTCTAAGTGTGTCAAGTCCACCTTGATTAGGCTCCCAACCACCGAACCTGGGGAGTTCTCCTTCTGCATGATAGTCATATAAAGATGTGTTATATATTACTGACCAACATCAAAGAGACAAGGAGGGCTAGGAAGTCAGTCCTCTACTTTCTCTTAACCTGGTCAAGGCATTGACACAGAAAAGAAGATCTGGTGAGAATTCTGCATGAGAGACAGTTAATATTTCTATCTCATCCGGCAGTTCAAACTTTGACGCATATGGCATTTATAATACATGCTCTGGGAGTCAAGACTTTTCCTTAGAGATTGGGATGTGCATGATGTTTGGTGTTTTTACACATTTAGATGTTGACACCTATGCATATTGATTACCTGCAGGACTGGCTGTTGATTACCATAATGAGCGTCTGTACTGGGCTGATGCCAAACTTTCAGTCATTGGCAGCATTAGACTCAATGGCACTGACCCTGTGGTGGCCATTGACAGCAAAAAAGGTAAGAAGAAATTAAATTTGAGGATGTGTGTACATTCCTTGGGGCCTCCAGGCTCTTTGGTATTAGCAAAGGAGATATGCATTACAGTCATTGTTACTCAGTGGAAACTGGGGGTCTTCAATGACATTGTAACAGGAAATTTGCTCTGGACTTTAAAGGAGCCCCCCCCCCCAAATTTGATGCTCCCAAATATAGTGCTCTTTCTGAACAAAGTTTAAGAATATGACACCCATTGAATTGCCTCTTCTGTCAGAGAACATGCAATATTTATGTCCACAGCACCTTCTCTACAGATCAGAAAGTAGGCTTGTTCTTATTTAGTGCCCAGCTCTCCCCGCAAAAAACCCAAAAAGAACTCCAATACACAACACATTTAGTTGAACTAGGTTCTAGCTTCTATCCCAGACAATGTGTCCATTGGGCCCAGCTTGCTTGTAACTCTTATTTCACCTTTTCTCACTGTAGGACTCACTCATCCCTTCAGCATTGACATTTTTGAGGACTACATCTATGGTGTCACCTATATCAACAACCGCATCTTCAAGATCCACAAATTTGGTCATGGCACTGTCACCAATCTTACAGCTGGACTGAACCATGCCACTGATGTGGTACTCTACCACCAATACAAACAGCCAGATGGTTGGTACTATCTACTGGAATAACAAGTCTTGGCTGCCATGTTGATTTCATGATAAGAACAACTTGTAGTAGATTTGAAGTAGAATAATTTTATGGAGATAAGATAAGAGGAATCGAATAGGATAGAATGTCAACTATAGTTCAGAAAACTTGGGCATGTTTTGTAATGATGCCTAACTTAACAAATTATAATTTATAATAGTTTAGCAGATATGAAACCAGTCATATCTCTATCTCTGGAGGCAGTTGCATTATAGAAGCAGAACGGCTGGAAAATAAGATGATGCTATGCCTTACAACATTTGGAGGTTTGGAATCGACCATATATACTCGAGTATAAGCCAGCCCGAATATAAGCTGAGGCACCTAATTTTACCACAAAAAACTGGGAAAACGTATTGACTCGATTATAAGCTGAGAGTTGGAAATGCAGCCGCTACTGATAAATTTCAAAATGAAAATAGATATCAATAAAATTGCATTAATTGAGGGATCAGTAGGTTAAATATTTTTGAATATTTACAGTAAACTGTACTTTAAGATAAGACTGTCCAACTCTGATTAAACCATTATTCTAACCTTCTTTAATGTAAATGTGGTTATGTATCCTTCCAATAATAATAGAATAAAATAATAAATGTAATAATAATAATAAATAGAGTAAAATAATAAATGTAATAATAATAATAATAAAGTAAAATAATATAAATGTACTAATAACAGTAATAGAGTAAAATAATGTAATAATAAAAATAGAGTAAAATAATAAATGTAATAACAATAATACAGAGAGTAAAATGATAAAAGTAATAATAACAAATAGAGTAAAATAATAAATGTAATAAAAGAATAATTGATTAAAATAATGGTAATATAATAATAAACTTAATAATAATAATAGAGTAAAATGATACACTTAATTACAAATATTAAAAACAGAGAAAAATAATAAATAACTTTGACTCAAGTATAAGCCGGGGGGGGGGCTTTTTCAGCTTGAAAAAGGGGCGGAAAAACTCAGCTTATTCTCAAGTATATATGGTAATTTATGGGTAATACTTACCATGGTTTGAACGGGTGCCTGCTTGAGCTACAGACAGTTTTGAAATATTTAAACTGGCTTCAGTATACTGGCTGAGAAGATAAGACAAGGAAGCAATGCTAGAGTTGGATTTCTGAATGAAAGACTTACCTGTCAGTTCTCCATCCGTTTATCTCTCTCGAGGCCTGAGGGTCTACCAAACAAGAGGGACAGATTTCCCCAGAGGATCCATTGAGCTCTCCTTTCTTTGTGTCTTTCCTTTTCAGTGGCCAACCCATGTGACAGAAAGAAATGTGAATGGCTCTGTCTCTTGAGCCCCAGTGGCCCTGTGTGCACTTGCCCCAATGGCAGAAGACTGGACAATGGCACCTGTGTACTCATCCCCACACCAAGTGTCTCACCTGTTGGTAAGTGTATGTCTTTTTCTCTTTCACTCACGCACACACACACCATTAAAAAAACAAACAAACAAACCACTGACTCAAGTGTTTTTTGTCTTCTTTATGAGAAGTGTTTTCCAGAGCGTGGGAAAGCTTGAGGAATCCCATAATCCTCTGGCCAGCCATCTCAGCTGCTTCTTTTTTTAGTTCCAGAGACTGACACCTGTGATCTGGTTTGCCTCAATGGTGGCAGCTGCTTCCTGAATGCCCGCAAGCAGCCCAAATGCCGATGCCAACCGCGCTACAGTGGGGACAAGTGCCAGAACAACCTGTGCTCGGACTACTGCCAAAATGGGGGCACCTGTTCTGCTTCATTCTCAGGTGAGGGGGGTTCCGTTGACATGGGGAGGGAGAGAGTTGGATGATTTGGAGACAGAACTCAAATGGATGACAGGGAGGGTACAGATCAATTGCTTCTGAAAATGGAGCTAATAGTGTAGTTTGAACTTCTACAAGCACAAGGTAACCTGTTGTTGCCTCAACTGAAAAAAAAACCACTCAGATGTTTTTATCTTAAGGCATGAAGGTATTTTTCAATGGGTATTGGTTGAGTACCAAGAAAAGATAGTCATGTGTAGTCGTGTCTGACTCGGGGGGTGGTGCTCATCTCCATTTTTAAGCCAAAGAGCCAGTGTTGTCCATAGACACCTCCTAGGTCATGACTGTATGGAACATCATTACCTTTCTGCAGAAGCAGTACCAGTTGATCTACTCACATTTGCATGTTTTCGAACTGCTAAGTTGGCAGAAGCTGCACCTAACAGCGGAAGCTCACCCTGCTCTCCAGATTTGAACCATCAACATTTCGATCAGCAAGTTCAGTAGCTCAGCGGTTTAACTTGCTGTGCCACCAGGAAATAAAAGATAGATATCAGATAAAAAAAGAATCATGGCTTGTAGTAATATCTTTATCCCTTTGACCACTTCCTTCTAAAACTAGCGAAGCTCTGATCAGGAAGTAATTGCACAACTGTTCCAAGGGGGGAGCAGTATACATTCAGCTTGCCTAACGTTTTGTCCAAGATTTTATTGTAATGTTTTGCAGTTCTTCCGATTGAACAACACAAGTTTTGTACAATACGTTGTATGGTCCCAGTCTGATCGTAACCTTTCTGCTTTCTCCCACCAAATTCAGGGGTCCCAACTTGCCGCTGCCCTAATGGCTTCACTGGTCCTCAGTGCAACAAGCAGTCGTGTGCAGACTACTGCTTCAATAATGGCAGTTGCACTGTCAACCGGGGCAACCAACCCAACTGCCGCTGCCCACCAGAATTCATGGGCGACAGGTGCCAATACCGTAAGTGCCTCTCATTTTTCTTGATCTCTCAGCAAATGCTGGACTAGAGAAAATACTGGGTGGGTAAGAGTGTGTCTGCTTCTAGTGAGGGATATTATTTAAATCTCTAGTCTTCATTTTAGGCTCTTGGGGAGTTCTAGAGCAGCAGGAGGACTCCTACTGCTAGCTGCACATCTCCTGGTGTTTCCTTGGCCTTGCCTAGCTTCAAATTCACCTTGTCTGTTCTCAGCAGGAGCCAGTTTTTGCAGCGCATGTAGTGTAGGATATGAGAACAAAGGGATTGGTGGTCTGTGCTCTGAGAAAAGGGAATGTTTCATCCTTTTAATGGTGAAGCATATAGTTACCCCTCTCCCAGAGACAATAAGACTGTTGAGCAAGTGGGTTTATTAACAAAAGACCCTCCTCATAAATGTACTGCAGAGTAACTTATTAGCAGCAGTGTGACTCAGCATCAGTGGCCAAAAGTGATAAAAAGAACAAAAACACACAGAGCAATGCTATCTCTTCCATAGGAGGCTTTTATTTATAGTAAAAATAATATGGTTGCACTATTCACAATAACAAGGTTTCCATAACACAAATAAAGTTCTTTATACTTCCTTCTTTGCTTCCATATTGGGCTACTTTCTCATGCAAATAAACAGCTTCGTTCTCACAGAGCCTTCTCTCACACCGAAGTTACACAGGAGCTTCACACAGTACCTTTACACACAACAGCTTTCACACTGGAGCTTCACACAGTGGGTTTACATGCGAGGCCTTCAACCTGGGACTTCCTGTCACCAAAGCTTCTCACACCCGGCCTTCTCAAACTGAGGCCTACTAACACTGAGGCCTACCTCACACTGAGGCTTTTCTCCCACAGAGATTTCTCACAGACTGATGGCTACTAAGCTACAGGCACACCTGCTTATGTTGAACTGCAGCTTTTGCTGAGGGATTGCGTCCATTTAACCCTTTTACTGCTTGACTCACATTTTTGTAATTGAGAATACCTAGTTAATGTTTAATATTTCTGAGAGAGACACCCATCCATACAGTACTCAGACTGACTTACAAGGTCTGTATCTATTAAATTTTTTAGTTCTTGGTACTTTCCTAAAGAATGATACAGTTCGATTCCAAACACAGTGCTCAGTGTGAATCCATACCTCCTGCGATTTCATAAATCCTTGCATCTCTCTCCAGCTTCGAGTTTCATTGTTTTGTTACTTGTGTATGAGGTGCAAGGCTTGCGGGAGACTGAGGATATAAGGGATCTCTGATATATATGTATTTGAGAGGAAAATACAGTAAATTATGTACTGGAGATCCCAGCGAGCATGCCAAACACCTGTTTCTTTTTTTTTCTTTTTTGTTTCTGCTTTGCAAACGAATAAGCAGGAGTGGTACAGCCACCACCTCAAAGGCAAAAGCAGAAGGCTAGCAGCAAAAAGTTTCAGATTTTAGAGCACTTTGGTTTTCAAGATTAAGGATGCTCAATTATTTTCCTCATAATAATCATAATAATAACTTTATATTTATACCCCACCTCCAAATGCATATCAAAATGCATATCAACAAAATAATAACAAAAAGCAATATAACAAAATAAAAACAAGTATGTAGACAGCCTCGAAGAGATGGAAAGGAATGTTTGGTGTGCCGTCCAAGAGGTGTTTACACCTGTCTGTAGAAGACTGAATGTTGGCTCCATGACCTGCTATTATGAATTAATCCTTCAAGCCATGTTTCAGATTTTTCCTGTGTCTTTTAGGCCTGTGCCCTGGCTACTGCGAGAATGGAGGTGTGTGCCACCTGTCGGCTTCAGGAGTTCGCCAGTGCCGCTGCCCACCAAATTACTATGGTGACCACTGCCAGCATAACAAATGTGATCGCTGTCTCAAGGGCAACTGTTCTGTTGACAAACAGACTGGCAACGTCACCTGCATGTAGGTGCCCAAAATATTTTGAGCAGGGAGGGAGGGGTCTGGCTTGGTGCTGAGCAATGACAATCAAGGGCACTTTGAGTCTCCTGCATATGGAAGACACTGGAAGGAGACTGCAACGCGGTTAGCAGTGGAGATTAGATTGCCTTCAGGGGAGAGAAGTTAATGGACACCAAGTCAATGCTTAAAAAGGAGAAGGAAGATGGGATAACTTAGAGAGTGTTGCAAAAACAACATAATAACTGAATGATTGGTTGGGTAGAATGAATAATGTTTGTTTGCGATTGCTAAATAGTACAAAGGTAGTATTCTCTAATTTATTTAGCTTGCTTGATATTTTCAAGTGACAAATTTGCAACATTTTACTTGGGAATTAATAAGGGTTTTCAAGGCAATGCTTTAGCCTTTAAAAACAAAGTTCCAAACTCTGTATCTACCCACTAGTTAGAAAGCCAAAAAATAATAATAATACAGCCTTTGCAATCCCATTATATTTTAATTACTCTTCAAGATTTTTTGGCTCGTTGGTTGCTTAGGGAAGTACTTGCAAAATAGAGATGCGGCTTGCGTTTATAAGAAGAACCAGTTTGAAAGGCAAAGACTAATGCCAGGGGATGAGAGGATAAGGTGCAGGTGAGCAGCTTCAGAAAACACAAAGGGAAAATCTCAGCCAGAGCACTAACAAGATGTGTATTTATGTCTTTAAATGAGCCTTGACCAGCATAACCCAGTGAATGGGGATTCAGCCATTAGTTTTCCTTGGCATTATTTAATATTTAAGCAACTGCACCAGGCTTCGCCTCCTTGGTGATCTCCAGATGAGTAGGAGTTCAGTTCTTCCAGCTGATTGTGGAATTCTGGAGTTTGTGAACATCATGTTGAGAGCACCAAGCTGGAAAAGGCTGCCCTATGCCTTTATCTATTCTGAACACTTGACCTCAGGCTTAGAATATGTGAAGAACTAAGCAGAGAAAGCCTTTGAACATTCCCAGGGTGCACACCCCTCACAACCATGTAACTACGGGTTGGTTACTTTTCTGGAATTAGGTATGTAAAGAAAGCTATAAGAGGCTTTCTGATACCACTTGCTTTAGAACTATTTAGTTGTACCTAAAAGAGAATTGATCAATTTATATACAATACAACCTAAATCATACAGGTGTTATTTTAGTTGAGATCAATAACGAGTATAAAGCACGCTATAGACTGTCAAGGGCAGTGTTAACAGTTCTTTAAATATGAATAATGGATAAGGAGGCTCTCTTGTGGGATGGCAAGCCTGAAGAATGAGGTATAGAGGAGGAGAAAAATACCAAAAATGATCAAAAACAAAAAGCATATATCAAGTATCAAGAAACCTTATCAAAATCCAAGACTGACCAGAATCTTTTATTCTTCAAAAAAAATCACATTGTTATTTTGTACAGAAAACAGCATTTTCTGCACAATTTTTCTACAGAGGGATAAAAATATCTTAAATTATTTTTAAAAAACCAAAAAGCATATATCAAGTATCAAGAAATCCTATTAAGAATATTTGACAGACCAGAATCTGTTTTTAGGTTAGAACTTATTCTGCACAAAATTTCACATTGTTGTTTTGTGTGTAAAACAACCATGTGCTAATTTCGAATAGGCTTTAAAAATTGTGAGGTTTTCTGAGTCTTTATTTCAGGGGAAGAAAATTGCTAAAAATTACTTGTTGCTTCCTTTGAGAAGAAAATTAGTGATAAGTTATGTCCCTACATAAGACTCCCAAAATCTCAGATGTCCAGTATCAGCCATATAAAAGTAGGTGCATGTCTGTACACCCCTTGCATGGGAGTATATCCCGTTAAAGCACACATACACACACAACTGAGGGAAGCTTTGTTCTGTATGTCTGAAGCATCAGGAACTGTTACGTTGGAGGGTAAGAGATGTTGCAGATTGGTTTCTGTTGCCTTAGGATTTGTGTTGGCTCTCAAAAACAGATTTTTAAAAGGCAAAGGGTGCTGAAGAAAGAAAACTTGGAGGTATAACTTACTCCTTGCCACCACAGAGAGATAGGATGATAGCTCAAACGTTTCTGGACACTAGTCCAAAAAAGCAATATTGCATTATTATATTTGTAATATTGTATTATTATAATTATATTACTTATACTTATAATATAATATAATATAATATAATTAAAGTTTCCAATTCTGTGAGGGAAAGCATATGTGCTGGAGAAGAGGCTGGATGAGCAGTACTGGAATAGATGATTGTGTCCGGCAGAGGTCAGCCAGCCAGAAACATGAAAATGCGATTTGCTTGTAGGGCAGGAGTGAGGGGGGAAGGAGAAGGAGCCTATGTTTGTTTGTTTATTTATTTATTTATTTATTTATTTATTATTCAAACTTGCGCTGACCATGTCTTCCTTCTACTCTTGCAGATGTCCTGATGGTAGGACAGCCCCCAGCTGCTTGACTTGCAATGACTACTGCTTGAACGGGGGCACATGTACGATGAATACTGAAACTTTGATGCCAGAGTGCCAGTGAGTCACCTGATCCATATATTCCCTAATCCGGGGGGTGTAGAACCTTTGGCCTTCTTACGGTTTATGAGCTACTATTTCCATTGTGTTTTACTTTTAGGCAGGGTCATTAGACTCTATGGGAATTTGGAGTTCAATAACTTTTCAAGGGTATAAACTGATTTATCTTGGCCCATCCTAATTCATGATCATCTACATTCTAGGATATTTATAGGCTTTTTCCTTTGATTACATGATTTTCCATTTTGCACATTCCAAGTGATATACTGTCTTTCATTGCATAATAGTTGCCATCACATAGTCGCATTCCCCCATTTTCTGTCACAATAGCACTTTTGCCATTCCCCACATAATAGTCGCACCCTTAGTTCACTTGCCTCCCTCCCTTTGCCCTCCTCACCTGTGCCCTTAAAGAACTATTAATCAGTGAAAAAAGCCCCTTAAAGGGAAGACTTTTAACCATGTTATAGTCACCATCACATAATAGTCACACCTCTTTTATTGGCAGAAAAATGGAGGCGGGAATGTGACTATAATGCGATGAAACACAGTACATCCCATTATCCTACCTTGCATAACTATTGCAAGCCTGGTATCATTTGTCTTTCCCATATGGACTTTCATGAGGTGCTTCAGCAGCTCTAGAGTCAGATGATGGCAGAATGCTATAACTCTATCTGTACAAACTTTCTTGGTGTCAAGTGTCAGCTTTCCATCTGGTGTTGGATTCTGTTTGCCAGTATCTTTCTCCTAGCCTTCATGACACCTAATAAATATATCCTCTGCTCTAAAAGAGTCTTCCAAAATCTATCCCACATTCACAGTGTCCTTGTTGTACTTCTTTGCTTCTCGCTCTCCAGGTGCACATTGGAGATGACAGGGGAGCAGTGTGAGAAGTCAGTGGAGAGTGAGCAACAGAACAACCGTACGTAAATTGTTGATATGGTTGCAGGTGAGGGAGGTTGGGAGGAAGCTGGAGAAATCAGAGGATACCTCTTTGGATGAGTGTATAGAGTTACATTCCTCTGTATCTACATGGAAAAAAGAAACATAACTTAGGGAATTCAGTTCCTGAATTTCATACAGTTATGGAAAATATGTAGCCCTCCAGACTGCAACTGGATTGTTGACCAGTATTTCTGTCCTCTCTTGTAGGAACAGTATCCATCGTCATTCCAATTCTCCTACTACTGCTTGTGATATTGGTGGCAGGTGCTGTGGTTTGGTACAAGAAACGAATTAAAGGGTAAGCAAGAGAATGAGAAACCGAGACCAGGAGAAGTTCAGGAGGGGGTGGATACCTAGTAAAGTAGAAGCAAGGTGGGTGGCTTCATGTCATGGGTCCAACAGCAGTCCGAACTGTAGACCAAAAGAGATAAAGCAGATTGGCACCAAATTATGTAGCTCATTTGCTACAGTTTAATAGGAGCATAGGATGAAATATTAAGAACAGGGTTTGGAAAGGTTACTCTTTGGTCTCCCAACTAGGAGGGGCTAATGGATGTGGGATTCTGGAAGTCGTAGTCCAAAAACATAATTTTCCCGGCTTCTAATTCATAGGTTGTTAGAGTGAGAGATCAGTAAATTTCACAAATGAATATAATACTGTTCAAGATGGACATTCATAGGAAATGTAATGACACATCATCTCATGTTTTCAATGCAGACTCTGCTAGTGAGATGCATGTTAAATCAAGTGCAGCTCAGTTGCCAATGCAAATTACCATACATTGTGTGCTCATGTGGCAAACATCTGTTCCTGTTACATCAGCTGTAGCTTCCATCCACTGAGTCCCACATATACAAGTAATAATAAGTGATGTGATGAGCCTTCAGATTGAGGGCAGGACTACAATTTACCATGGAAAACTTTTAGCATCCAAGCTTCTATTATAACATTAGTTTTACAGAAAAAGGTTCTTCTGCTGTCAGATCTCCTCTGAAAATATGCACACCCATCTGATATTGTTGAGTGGTATTTGTAGAAGAGAATCAACAGATGCAGACAAGAGTAAACATACCACCCTCCTGCAATCTATTTGCAGTTGGCAAATTAAAGTTGGAGTGTCACTTTGGAGTTCGGAGTTCTCACAACACCCACCTAGCGGTGATTGTTCATCTCCATTCTTTGCCATATCCAGGGCCAAAGGTTTCCAACACCAGCGTATGACCAACGGTGCCATGAATGTTGAGATCGGCAACCCCACCTACAAGATGTACGAAGGGGACCCCGACGCTGATGACGTGGGGGAGCTGCTAGATGCCGACTTTGCTCTTGACCCTGACAAGGTTTGAAAGAGGGAATTGGGAGGCAAACTAATATGCCTGTCGTTGGTTTGAGGAAGGGTTTCAGGAAGTGGGATAGGGAAAGGAAAGTGCAAAGAAACATGGGGTTTTGTTTAAATCAAGGGAAATAACATGCATGGAGGAAAGGACGGAATATGGAGAAAGAGTCCCAAGAAAAGGCCAAGTGAAAATGAAAGGGTGGTAGTTTAGAAGATGAAGCATTGTTAACTGAGCCATGCATCTTCAGAAATCATTCACATCTATATAAATAAAAATGTAATGTTCGTTTGTGGGATTAACAGAACTCAAAAACCACTGGACAAATTGCTGCCAAATTTGGCCACAGCACACCTACTAACCCAAGGAGTGGCCATCAGTCAAAAAAATTGATTTTGTCATTTAGGAGTTGTAGTTGCTGGGATTTATAATTCACCTACAATCAAAGAGCATTCTGAACCCCACTAATGATAGAATTGAACCAAATGTGGTACTCGGGACTCCCATGACCAACACAAAACACTAGAAGGGTTTGGTGGGCATTGACCTTGAGTCTGGGAGTTGTAGTTCACCTACATCCAGAAAACACTTTGGACTCAAACAATGATAGATCTGGATCAAACTTGGCACGAATATTCCATATGCCCAAATATGAACACAGATGGAGTTTGGGGGAAATAGACCTTAACATTTGGGAGTTGTAGTTGCTGGGATTTATAGCTCACCTACAATCAAAGAGCATTCTGAATTCCACCAACAACAGAATTGGGGCAAACTTCCCACACAGAACCCTCTTAACCAACAGAAAATACTTAAGGCCATCCAGTCCAATTCCCAGGTCCAACATCCAGTCCAAGAAAATGTAATCAAAGCCCTCCTGACAAAGATCCATCCAGCCATAGATATAGATAGATAAGATAGATAGATGATAGATAGATAGATATGATTCCCACATACACAGATATAGTATCATAAATTTGAAAGGGACCCCTAAAGAAGGACAATTATATGTTGCATGTTCCAGAGTAGAAAAACCAGACAATTTCCACATCAACACTGACAAAGTAACAACAAGAAATACTGTTTATCTACAAGAATAAAGAAATTACATATATTAGAAACCAACACTTTCTTGTTACTTTATTTTCCAGTTCACCAGACTGGGCCACAGTAACACGTGGCAAGGGACGGCGTATACACAGACACACACATACATACATACACACACACACATCCTTTCTTATCTCCAGGGAACATTCAGGAGTGTATTTTCTTATATTCCAAAACTTTGGGCAAAACACAATGGTTTCTAAATCATGTAGAAGTATCAGTTTTGCCTATTTTGGTCTTGAAAGATCTTTGCAGTTTGATGAGGTTCTATCACTTCTGAGTGGGCTTCATGAGTCACATACATGACCATGCCAAGGCCGATCTCTTAACTGTGACAAAGAGATTGTGCTCAGGTTACAGGCTGGGTGTTTCCTTCTTCTTCATGATCTAACAAAGCATGGCTCACTGGTACATGTGTACTGATGCTCACTGTGATAAACCATGTTAATCAAACCAGGTTTTAAAACCATTTATTTTTAATTAACTTTCGACTTCTAATTAGCAGTGGTGCAGCTGCAGATATAATACTAAACCACTGGTTCTCAACCTGTGGGTCTCCAGGTGTTTTGGTTTACAACACCCAGAAATCCCAACCAGTTTACCAGCTGTTAGGATATCAGGAAGTTGAGGGCCAAAACATCTGGGGACTCACAGGTTGAGAACCACTGCCCTGAACCATGGCAGGTGACAGGAAAGCAGGATGTGGGAGGATTATACACAGAAGTCATGTGTTTCATTCCTGGTATTGAACCATAACAAAGAGGTTGGCTGTGCTACATGTTCACCAGGCCAAGATGAGTAAATTTTATCCAGAAATCTGAAATCCAAAATATCCAAAGCCTGTAACTTAAAAAAAATACTCTAAAATTACAACTGCACAACAACAGAGAGGAAACAAACAAGGACCTCTAATCACAACTCAACAAAAGTTTGCTCCAGGCACTGTCAGGCCATTATATGCTAATCAAGGTGGTCAATTGAAACATTCACACCTAGCTCCAGCAGACAAGTCCTTTCTTCCACCCTGGTCATTCCACAGATATATAAACCCTTTTTCCTAGTTCCAACAGACCTCACTACCTCTAAGGATGCTTGCCATAGATGCAGGTGAAACGTCAGGAGATAATGCCTCTAGACTATGGCTATATAGCCTGAAAAAACCTACAACAACCCAGGGATTCCGGCCATGAAAGCCTTCGACAGTACAAAGCCTGTAACTTCTTACCATTCATTTCCATCTCCACTGGTCACACTTCCAGCGCCCACCAATGGTGGCAACTCACAGCGGTGGCGCAGCGGGTTAAAACACAGTAATCTGCAGAACTGGTCAGTGGTTCAAATCCGTGGGACGGGGTGAGTTCCCATTGTTCTCCCCAGCTTCTGCCAACCTAGGAGTTCAAAAACATGCAAATATGAGTACCGCTTTGGTGGGAAGGTAACGGCGCTCCATGCAGTCATGCTGGCAACATAACCTAGGAGGTGTCTATGGACAACGGCAGCTCTTCAGCTTAGAAATGGAAGTGAGCACCACGCTCATAGTCAGACTCGATTACATTTAATGTCAAGGGGGAACCTTTACCTTTACCTTAGCAAAATAGGTGCCCTGGAAACAGGCTGTGAGGGCAAACACGAAGCAACTCTATTGGCCATTGCCTGTATCGAGCCCAATGAGAATGAAAAATATTCACTACCTGGGATAGTGGAGCTTTCATCTCCCTTCCTGGCTACTTTGCTTACTTAGAAAATGTGTTGACAGCTATGGAAGTATCTGGAGCATCTGCTTTTTGCAGGAGCCTTGTATAAACAGAGTCTTTCCCTACTTCCTGCTCTGTTCTTTCCACCATTGAGGTCTTTGAGCTAAATCTCAGTAAATGCTGGATGCATGATTGACTCCTTTTCCCTCACGCCTCATCAACTGTGTATAAGCAAACACTGGTATTTACAAAGTCTGAATACCTTCTGGTTGTAAGCATTTCGGGTAAGGGAGACTCAACCCATAATGCATCTTTGTGATGGCTTTGAAAAATTAATTCCTAGAGAATGTCGCCATGGAAACCGAAAAATGGAACCGCCATTATATTCAGAAGTGTTACACATCTCTGTGATAAATTCCATGGACAAACAGAAGGAGGGAAGGAGTGGCCGTCATTTCCATGCTTTGTTTCCGACTCTCTTTTGGTCACTACTGGAGGCAGGGCACAAAGTTGGATAGATAATGACCTAGAAAGGCAATTCTTCTATTCATCTATGAGGGGTAAAGGTATAGAATAAATGAAATTATCTTCATCACAGGACATTTACACAATTTCTAAGAACTAAACAAGATGATCATAAATACACCCAATGCAACACAACCCCTCCATAACCAAATGTTTTCATACTTCTTTCCTAGAGCATTCCGGAGCAGAGAGACAGTGTAACATGACATGTTCTGTCATATAACAATAAAAAAAGCTCTGTCGTGTATGTGTTGTCGAAGGCATTCATGGCCGGAATCACTGGGTTGCTGTGAGTTTTCCAGGCTGTATGGCTATGTTCCAGAAGCATTCTCTCCTGACGTTTTGCCTACATCTATGGCAGGCATCCTCAGAGGTTGTGTGGTCTGTTGGAAAGGTCCAGGGTGGGAGGCAACCAGAGAAGTCAGCCATAGTAGAGCACCTGATAGACCAACCTGGACACAGCATATTATTTGGGAACACAAAAATGCTGGACCACTCTAACAACCACCACGTCAGACTACACAGAGAAGCCATTGAAATCCACAAGCATGTGGACAACTTCAACAGAGAGGGAAAAATGAAAATGAACCAAATCTGGTTACTAGTATTAAAAAAAACCTTTAAAATCAGAACAATAGATAAAGAGGAACACTTAAAAGCAGGGGGATTCCAGACAGGAAACAATCAGGGCCAGCTATCACCTCCCAACAAAGGAGTCCCTCAGGGAGGAATCTGCCAAGTCTTGAAGCTGCAAGGCCATTAAATGCTAATCAAAGGTGATTAATTGCAGAATTCAGACTTGCCCCCAACAGAGTAGAGTTCTTTCTCTCACCCTGGATATTCCACAGATATATAAACTTCACTTGCCTAGTTTCCAACAGACCCCTCAACCTCTGAGGATGCCTGCCATAGATGTAGGCAAAACATCAGGAGAAAATGCTCCTGGAGCATGGCCATACAGCCCAGAAAACTCACAGCAGCCTCTATCATGTTTGTTTGTAGTTGTAAAACTAACTAGCAACTAGCTGTCCCCGGCCACGTGTTGCTGTGGCCCAGTCTGGTGATCTGGAAAATAAAGTAACGAGAACGTGTTGGTTTCCAATATATGTAATATCTTTCTGCTTGTGGATAAACAGTATTTGATTACGTTTTCTTGCCCTGGTGAAGGGAGTTGGACTGGATGGCCTTAAATATTTTCTATTGGTCATAGGGGTTCTGTGTGGGAAGTTTGCCCCAATTCTATCGTTCGTGGCATTCAGAATGCTCTTTGATTGTAGGTGAACTATAAATCCCAGTAACTACAACTCCCAAATGTCAAGCTCCATCTGTGTTTCTAGTTGGACATATGGAATATTTGTGCCAAGTTTGGCCCAGATCCATTATTGTTTGAGTCCAGAGATGTAGTATCTCTGGATGTAGGTGTACTACAACTCCCAAACTAAAGGTCAATGGCCATATAATTGTCCTTCCTTAGGGGTCCCTTTCAAATCTATGATACTATATCTCTCTGTGTGAGTCATATCTATCTATCTATCTATCTATCTATCTATCTATCTATCTATATCTGTGGCTGGATGGATCTTTGTCAGGAGGGCTTTGATTACGTTTTCTTGCCCTAGTGAAGGGAGTTGGACTGGATGGCCTTAAGTATTTTCTATTGGTTATAGGGGTTCTGTGTGGGAAGTTTGCCCCAATTCTGTCATTGGTGGGATTCAGAATGTTCTTTGATTGTAGGTGAACTATAAATCCCAGTAACTACAACTCCCAAATGTCAGGGTCTATTTCCCCCAAGCTCCATCTGTGTTCCTAGTTAGACATGTGGAATAGTTTGGTGAAGATCCATCATTGTTTGAGTCCACACTGCTCTCTGGATGTAGGTGTACTACAACTCCCAAACTAAAGGTCAATGGCCACCAAACCCGTCTAGTGTTTTCTGTTGGTCATGGGAGTCCTGTGTGTCACGTTTGGTTCAATTCCATCATTGGTGGAGTTCAGAATGCTCTTTGATTGTAGGTGAACTATAAATCCCAAAAACTACAACTCCCAAATGACAAAATTAAAAAAAAAGAGTGAAGGACATACATTGGGTTGTTAGGTGTATGCTATCCAAATTTGGTGTCAATTCACCCACTGGTTTTTGAGTTCTCTTAATCCCACAAATGAACATTACATTTTTATTTATATAGATTAATTTCTCATAGAATATGCAGCAATAATAGAATGCCTCAGGTGATGTGGCCAAAATTACTACTCTCCAAAACCAAGATAATTTATGGAAAATATGTTCAGTCATTCTTACTAATGACTAAATGATTATAAAGAACAGGACCAAGAAGTATATATGTCTAACGTTACGAATTTTTAGGGATTCTGTGCAGACGCTGGAACCAAGGAGTATTCAGTCCCTGTAAGCCACAAAAGCTGCTGACTCTAAAATTCAAAAGCAGCCCCATGCAGAGTACACAGCGCTGCTCTGGCCTCAGGGTTATGCAGGTTGATAGGTCTCCATCTGAAAGGAGGAGTGAGTCACCACCTTTCCGGCTGTAGCTTATGAAATGTTCTTATTGCCCCGTCATTGAAAATAGTGAAAAGGGAGCCTAGGAGGAGTTGTTTTGGGGGCTGAGAGGAGAGAACAGGAAGGATAGGCCAAAAGACTGAGAGAACCTTCACAGAAAGCAGCTCTGCTCTCACCCCAGATCCTTCCCTCATGTGCTGATCTCTCTTTCTCTCCTTCACCCTCAGCCCACGAACTTCACAAACCCAGTGTATGCCACACTTTACATGGGTGCCCACAACAGCCGCAACTCACTAGCCAGCACGGATGAAAAGCGGGAGCTGCTGTCGAGAGGGGCCGACGATGACCTTGGTACCCCCCTGGCATAGGGAACGGGGGAACGGGCCCCACCAGTCCAGAGACCAGGCGGAAAGAGACAAGATGGGTCGGGGAGGGCAAGAGGGGAGGGCTTGGGAGCAAGAGATACTGTATAAATGTACAAATGAAGGATTATTACTTTTATATGTGAGCAGTATTATTACCTGTATATTCCCTTTCATCTACCAGCCGCTGAATCTCTGTCACTGGACTTTGGGCTGGACGGAGTTAAAGGCAACATTGGGAGGTGGGGGAGAAACCAAGAAGACCCTCGTTTGGGTCGAAGGGCTCCACAGTCCTACCTGGCTGCGTCCTTTTTCTTGCTGCACAAATCAACCCACTTTTGCTTCCCGTGCAGGCGTCTGTCGGTTGCCAGCCTGCCTAAACACTTGGAATCAGTTCCATGGCCTTCTCAGAGTGCAACTGATGAACCCAACGGGAAGGGGCTTGGGGCAGGCGCCCCCTCTTTGGACCATGAGACAAAGTCAGTTGTTGGCAAGTCAGGGAAAATTGAGGTGTCCCATCGTGGAAGGGAAAGAGGGAAGAGTCTCTTCCCGCTCAGGTGCAGGAACAAAATTCTTGTCTGATGGAATATGGACCACAATACAATGCCAGCCTGGCAGTATCTTAATATAGCTTCGCTGAATCAAAGGCACCCTGGAATGTACACCAGTTATTCTTAAATGTTGACACATTGGAACCGCACTTGCAGTTTGGTTTGTTCTTTCCAGAATGCCACACTTTCATATATTATAGCTTCTTGAAAAGGCATGAATCAAAGCCTCACTCTTTCCATACATATTCTGATCCATCTGAGGTTGAGGAGAGAGATTTTTTCGAAGGCTGCAACCACTGTTATTAACAAGCTTCTGACTTCTTTTGTACTTCCTCAGATATTTAGCCCATAAAAGTATTCCTCCGCTCCTCTCATTTCCATTTGGTTTGGGCAAAACTTAGACTTGCTTTTGGTTATTTCTGGAATCCACGTGAAATATCTCACTTAACTTTGCCAAAACACTTTTGATTTTTTTTCCCCGTAAGAAACTTCCAAACTTTCCTTCCAATGTCCTTCCAACTCTATGAGAAAGGCCTTAAATAGCAGTGCCTTCAGTGGCAAACTTTCTAGTGAGGTGCATAATGTGCAGACCTAGCGGTCACTTATCACAGCTAATAAGGCTGCTCTTTTTTTTATTCACTGTGGAATAAAAAAAAACGGTTAGATCTCAAAGTATGCAGTATGGTAGGGACACAAAGAATAGTTTCCAGTGTCCTTATTATTGGCAAGAAAACAGCACTTTGGCTCATTGAAACATCATCAAAAATAGTGGCCAACCACCAGCAGTTTAGTTTAACTCAGTTTAGCTCTATTCCATTTCAGGGCCTTTCCTGGAAAATATTGTGCAAAAACTCATCATAATAGAGAACGAATCCACCTAAAATCCGGTTTCTGCCTCCTGCAGAATTCTGGGGTTTGTAGTTTAGGGAAGAGCCTTTAACAGCCTCACTCAACTACAAATCCCAGAGTTCTGCAGGAGGCAGAAATCGGATTTAAAGTGGATTGATTCTCTAGCGTGATGAAGTAGTTAGAAAGTAGCTTGATATAGAAAACGTTGTCCTGCTATGTTCAAAGTTCTCAAAGAAAAGCCTCTTTTCTTTTCTTACACAAAAACATTTTCGTACAAATCGATTTTTTAAATAAATAAACCAAAAAGAGAGATAAAATACCCTAATATTCTCAGAATCCCACCCAGAAAGTTTTTTTAAAAAAATTCCATATTCTTGTATAATTTGTGAACCAAATTTTAAGAATCACTGGTGTACTATCCTGCCCACATCCTTTCAAGCGCACACCGCCTTCGTCCAGCAACCTTCAGCACGTCTTGCCAATGATAGCCTTTTATTTCACTACATCGAGCCAGTTGCATCGTCACTTTGCAACGCCTTAACCATTTCCCCCCACCGACAATGCTCTAACCTACTTCTACCGCACCAGCCATGTCAAGCACCCCCTTTTTGCCCCCCCCCCATTCCCTCTCTCCTTCACACTAATCATATTCCTGAAAGCATTTATTTCCAGAAATCATCTTTATCCTTTGAAGGGGGGGTGATATTACTTTGACTGTATCTCACCTTTATTTTAGCACCTGCATCTGAGATTAAACAGAGTTTACAAGTTGTCAATTACTACAGTTGTCCCGCCTCTGCCCCTTCTTTGGACCCACCTACCCTCCACCCTCCATTGCTACGGTTTGCATCGTCCTTTTCTGGAAAGAGGTTCAATGTTGTTTCAACTTTTGTTTCTCTCCGACATGCTTTTTTAAAAGATGAAAAAAAAACCAGATCAAAAATAAATGAATAAAGATGAACTAGCTTTTATAGTAGAAATTACACGCATGTGGGGGGAGGGGAGGGAAGGAGGTCTCCTCAGCCTTTTTTTTCTGGGAGTGGGGGAGCCAAAATGTTTTAATAATTTTTGCCGGATTACTTTACAACTAAAAACATTAAAAAAAGAAAAAAAGTTAAAAAAAACAGATATTGTTATAAATAAAACTTTTAAAAACTAACCAGCTTTTTACAATTTCTACTGCTTTGATTTGGGGCAGCATTTGTTCAGAGGGGAGCTTTGAATTACTGAGCAAGCCATACAGTGGTAGTCAACGCAAACCACAGTGTCTCGTCTGCTCAGCGTAGATGGAAACGTCCAAACCATCTGGACTCATTACAAGAAGTTATCTTCTCCACAACTGATGAATTTACACCCTATTTTTATAGGTTATGTGGTTTATTTTTTGCGTGATTGCCACTGAGTCGCATTTCCCATCAAGAATGTGGGGGAAAGACAGGTAAACATTTATCAGGTCCCAGGTATGCATGAAGGAGCTGGGGGTGGCCACGCCTGACAGGGAGCTTTGGCGTGGGCTGTTCCATGAGGTCATGAAGATCGGAAGCAACTGAATGAATAAACAACAAACTAGGCTTGTGCATTCAGGGCGAATTGTTATCCGTTTCTGTTTGTTTCTTCCGTAAGTTTCCTGTATCCATTTTCCAGTGCCTCCTGAAAACGGGTGTGCTGCTGAAAGGGGTTTGTGTTCGGCATCAGAAAAAATTGTTCTTTTTGGCCCATTGGTAGCAATGGGGTTAAGAAAGCACCCATTATGGGGGGCGGGGGGCTTCCTTCAGGCTCTCCTTCCATATCCTTCATTAAGATCTGAATCCTTTCCCTTTGTAGAGGAGGAGACTGGATTTAATGCTTCTTAAAGCTGTTCTACTCTAGAGGAGAGGCAGGACGCGGCTTGACTTTGAGGCTCCTGCGGCACCTCATCTGTCTCCCCGAGAAAGAGGTTGAGAGAGGTAGGGAGAAGATCCTTGGCCCTTGGCTACGTGCACTTAGCCTTGATCCCCCCTCCTTCCTCTGACCTGAGCTGGAAACTTTAGCTGCTGCTAAAGTTTTCCATGTTGGTGGTGGAGAAGGAAGAGGCCAGATCTGGGAAGGTTAAAGATATCCCTCTTTCTGGGATTGTTTGAGAGCTCCTTGGCCCTTGACTGTGCATTTCAAGGAGGCCCGGGGAAGGAAGAGCCAATGACCTGGAGTATCCTGTTTTGCTCCAGGAACAACCTTACAACATGAGTAGAAGTAACCAAAATAATAAAAAAAATTGCAAACAGCAGTAAAGGAAACAGCAGGTAAAGTCCAAAAGCAACGCAAGGTCTTAACAGCAGACGTGAAACAAGAGCCTTTGGCAACAAGTCTTCACAGCAAGAGCCTTTGGCAAAAGGCTTACAGTATACGGAAGCAAGAGTCCTTGGCAAGTCTGGTGCAAAGCCAACACTCCAAGTAGGTCGGTTGCTGCCAGTGCTGACTTCTCGCTTCACTGTTAATTGATAGCCCTGAAGTCCCAGCAATCAGATCACCTAGGGTGAGGTCTGGTTGCTCAACATTTTTGCTGTGATTCTACCAGACCATCTTCTTTCTTCTTTTGCCCTTCACCGTTCTTGAAATGTAGGGACTTGTACTATGACTTCCTCACATTCTCCTTCCTCCTCAAAACTTGGCCCCAAACCCCCAAGTGCTACCACTTCAGCCTCCTGTTCTACTTCCTCCTCAGAATCAGAAGAGTAGTCCACAATATGGAGCTTGTGGTCACGAAAGCAGAGGGAGAGCTGGTTATTGGCTCCCGCTTGCTTTCGTGTCGTGATGATTTTCATACCCGAAGGGGGCTTCCTGTTCTGTGCTCCTGGAGGGAACAGAAGAAACTAAAGAACGAATGGAACGGGAGAAACAAATTCCACACACAACTCTAATACCCATAGCATCTTCACCAATTTTTCTGGCATCTGATTGGCAACATTCTGGTGCAGCTCTGGATTCTCTTCATGTTCCACTGTCCTGTTCCTTTTAAAATACCTTAGGAAAGCTTTGGTGGTAGCCCAGTGTATTACTGCTTAGAAGAATGGAGCTGGGTATTTATCCAAGGGTATTAACAGATTAAAAAGCTAATCACTACCCGCATGTTCTTGGATACTCCAAGCAACTTTTTTTGAAGAAAGGGGGGGAAAACTTCATGTTGCTTTAGCCTTGTAGTTTACTCCAACCATCAATTTCATTAAGTATGCTGTTACGAACAGTGTTCTTGAAGGCACTAATGTACATTTTAGGGATTCTTTTCTTCTTTCCAGCATCAGATTTGCACAGGACACAGAATCCTGAAGGATGTACTCTAGGTAAGACGAGAGAATACTCTCAAAAGTTTTTATGCACAAAAGATTTAGTGCCCTGAAACAGAGCCACTCATCAGAAAATGGTCAACATTGTAAAACTGTTAATACCTTAGGAATTTTTTGAAAAAAATATTTTAGATACATGCATATACTACACATAGGATGCATCAACATTGTGGATTTAATAGATTTTGACACCACTTTAACTGTCATGTCTTAATGGTATGGAATCCTAGGATTTGTGGTTCCTTTAGACTTCTCTGCGATGTAGTGTTGGTGCTTCACCAAACTACAGCTTCCATGATTCCATAGCATTGAGCCATAACAATTAAAGTGGTCTCAAACAGCCTTATATCTAGAGTGTAGATGCACCCACTTTGAAGGCCATCAGTGTGTGTCTTCATATCATCTCCAAATTAGAACGG